AAATCACAAACTCTAGACTGAGATGCGATAGAGCTCCATGGCACCTGGTATATATATTGACAAGAAGTGTATATATATATTTTAAATATTGTCTTAAATAAAAAAAAATTTAATTGAAAATTAAATGATTTTTATTTTAAATATAAAGTAAAACTTTTAAATATATAAAGTTAAATCACAATAAAATCACAAGAAATGGTAAAAGTAGATTCTTAAATCAATATTTTAAATAACTTTTTTAATAAATAAATAATTTTTATGTCCTTATTTGTTCCTTTTTTTTATTTAAGTTACTTTAATGAATTGTGTGGTTCATATTCATTCTCTTATTTGGTTATTTTTTTTCGTACAAACCCTACTCTACATAGTTTTAGAATATCTCAAACAAATTCATCAAAATTGAGAAAACAGGAAAAATAAAGATTTTGAACCAATTTTTTTTTATTTAACAGATTTTGTAAAACTATCTCCAAAATGGAGAAAACAGGAAAGATAATGTTGTCTCCAAATATGGAGAAAAAGAACACCCAAAATTGATTACCATGTGAGAGAAATATTTTTTGATATATTTCTATAAATGGAAAACTTGGAAAATAAATATTTAGAGAGAGAAATACCATTTTAATAGATGAATGAAATATTTTAATATTATAATTAATGTTAGATTCCCAAAAATTAAATCTTTAAAATTTCCAAAAACAAAAATATATCTAACTGCAACAGGTTCTCTAATTTGAATATTACAACATTTATTGTATTATTAATTATTATATTTATTTAATAAAATATTATTTCTATCTCTAATTATTTATTTCCAAAGTTTCATATTGATGAAAATATATTAAAAAAATATATATATGTTCTCTCTTATTGTAATCATTTTTTTAGTGTTCTCCAAATTTATATATTTGTAAAGCATCTCCAACAGCTTCTATAAAATAGGAAAAAAAAAGAGTTTTTTTCCTTTAAAATGCTCCAACAGTTTTTTTATCTTGTTCTTTAAAATAAATAATAATGGAGAAATCTCTAAACATAGAGAATTCTTTAAAGCTTGATGTTGAGAGTGAGAAATGATTGTGTTATTCAATTTCATCAATGAAATTAGGTTATTATTATTTTATTGTTTAAAAAAATATTAGGGTGATAAATTATAAAATATTATAATAATGTAATTTATGTTAAAATCTCTAAGATAGATAATCTGTTATAGTTGAATGTAATTTTTTTTTTAAATTTATATTCTGGTTCTATATTTTAGAAAAATTAATAGAAAAGCTGTTGGAGATGCTTTTACACTATCTTTTCTGCTTTTTCTATTTTGAAGAATTTGTTAGAGATGCTTTTATATCTTACATAAATTGCATTGAGTATTATTTATTAATTGAATTGACCATTCGATATACTTTCTCGACCCAAATGATCTGAGAATGAATGCCTTGTAGATATTTATCAGATCAAATGAGCATTGACTCATCAACGAGTGACAGATATCATACTTACATTATTGGCATATGTTCATCCACATAATGTAAGGGGCTGTTTGGCAGTTGCTGAATGGTTTGGTGCAGAATGGCTAAGAGGGTCAGAATGGTTAAGTGATGAATGAAATAATGTTGTTTGATAACTGTTTTATGAATAAAAGCAAATTACCATTTTAACCCTCTTTGTTTTTTTTAGTGATCATCCAGTTTCATTATGTTTACCTAACGACTAAAAATTGAAGAAAGAAAACCTAATGGAAGAAAACCTAATCGAAGTTGTGCTACTGTTAAGGGACTGGCGACCATCGAAGCTGTGGAAGGTCGCCGGCGATGGAAGCTGTGGAGCCTCACAGGCTATCACCGATCGAGCGACAACCGAAGACGGGGACGGAGATGGTGGAGACTACCGGAGACGGAAGCTGTGGAGTCTCACAATCGAAGATACCATTGACCATCACCGATCGAGCGACAACCGGCGAGAGTCTCACAGGCTATTTTTCGGTCATCGGCGAGAGTCATAGGCTATTTTCCGGTCACTACCGGATACGGGGACGGAGATGGTAGAGGCTGTCGGAGACGGGGACAGATATGGTGGAGGCTACCGGCTACCGGAGACGGAGCGACGTGCGTGAAGAGAGGGTTGGGAAGAAGGGGTGGGAAGGGTAATCTTGGAAAAATAGAAGTCTGAATGGTTGAGTGAACCATTGGATGCAAAATGGTTAAGAGGGTTATGTAACCATTAAGAGGCTTGATTTTTTTTGCCAAACACTCCTTACCTCTTACCGATTAAGATATTGGCTCTTAATGTCACCATTAAGAGCCAAACAAACAACCCCTAAATTATGACAAAAAAAAAACAGAAGGATGATTTTTCGAACAAAATGAACTTTTAATCATAATAAACCAAGTGTTATTGTACCTCAATCCAAAAAAAAAAACATAAACAACTTACTGAAAATTGAAATTAATCAATAGCAATCAATATGTAAACTCTATTGATACTATGACAATAAAAAAAACAAATGAAGATACCAACGGGCCTTAGGCCTCCTATGAGGTCAGGGGTTCAAACCTCACCAGAAGTGATGTAGGTGTGTGAGTTTATTTATTGTATTTGTCGTATATAAATATTATATACTTCAAAAAACTGGAGATATCAAAGACTAAAATACCGCCAGGCGAAAATACCGCTTGGTTTGTAGGCTTACAATTTTCATGTGTGTGTGTTTATATTGTTAATATAATAACTGAATTCGTTATATTTTATCACTTACTAGATAAAATTCACCGTGGTTTGTAAAAAAGACTAAAAACAGACATTTTACATACCACAAGGATCTTTTACGATAAAATTTTTGTGGGAACCTAATTCAAGGAAATCAACAAACCATAAGGACCAAAAATGCAATTTACTCATGACTTTATTATTAATAAAGTTGTTAAAGTAAACACATGTTATTAATAAATATGCTAAAGTAACATATGTTATTAAAAATGTGTTATAAGTATTAATTTGTTTGATAACATATGTTTCTTTTTAAGATATTAGTTACTCATTGTTTTAATCGATGAATTTAACGTTTCAGCCTGTTCTTAATTCATTATCCAGTAAAATTATATAATTTGTCTGGATTAATCGATCTCAAACCAGTTTCAGACGTCGATCTTTAAACTCCAACAATATGTCAACTTTTGAAATTTATATTATCTCAAACTAATTACCATTTATATTGATCAGCGTCACTGATTCGAGCTCTGTAATGCTGCTGGAGATTTTATTGGTTGTTTTACAGTGCATATGTGATTAGTCAGGGTAAGGTGTGCAAAACCCAAATTATCCGAAATTTGAAACCAAACTCGAACCGAAAATAAAGTATTTATATAAAACCCTAATGACTCGAAATTCAAAAACTCAAATAAAGAAAATATCACATGAAATATTAAAAAAAAATATTTATTTATATATTTTTATTAAAAGCTATTTGAAATAAAATAATTAAATATAAATAACGTGATGAAATTCAATAAATATTTTAAAATTAAATAAAAACAAACAGAGGTTAACCAAAAATTCAAGGAAGGAGTGTTATATGGAAAACGGGAAGCACATGAAAACGTGGGGCGGTGCGTGCACTGCCTTTTGGTGTCAGATGCAGGTCCATTCATCACCGGTGGTCATCCACCCACCTTAATCCCACCCTTATCCCTACGTCTACGCGCCTCCCTATACATGCCTATAAATTTTTCATTTTACTACCTTCTATTATCAATCCAACCTTTTTGTACCCCTAAATTAACCACTTCTCACCACAATTTTCTACAACTAATAAATAGTCTCATGAGCTTATTTTACACCCACCATTAATTTATCTTATCAAATTACAGACACAGATTTATAATTTTTTTCAAAGTGATGATATTATTTGATTATCAAAAAAATAAAGCTGTATATTTTTATTTTATAAAATCATCATCAGTTTGTTGATTAGTTTTTTACTGTTTGTATACATGGTTTTGTTTTTTTTTATTTAAAAAAGTTTTAGAAATATAATAAGTTTGAAATTAAAAGTTAAAAACCAAGAAAATGTTAAAAATGAGATTCGAATCAGCGTTTGGAAGAGGAGAAAAGGCCTCGCAATGCAAATCTATGTGACCAATAAATACTTTTGTTTCGAGAATGTGACGTTCACGATCCTAAATTTTAGTGTATTACGAGGGGTGTTTGAGATTGCTTATAAAAATAACTTATTGACTTATTTCTATGTAGCACTGGTAATAAGGATTTTTGAGTGTTTAGATAAACAACTTATACCGGTGCCAACCTGGTAATAAAAAGTTTTTGAACAAGTTAAATCATTATAACATATAATAAGTTTATAAAGATTTTTATAGAAAATCATAAATTGTTTTAAATAAACAATCCTAAACAGCCCCTATGAGTCTATAACAAAGGAACGAAGTGATGGTTCGTACCAACGTATACGCCACAGAGGCCCCCCAGTCAAATTGTAAAATTTATTTAATTTTAATATGTAATATCAGGGGCCGTTTACCAAACATTTATCCGGGTAAGCGCTTACCAATTCATGTTACCTAATCGGATGAATATGGTAAGGACCAAAAATCTTACCCGGTAAGAACGAGACAAGATTCATGAGCCTTACCTGGTAAGTGAGGGCAACGACTCTTACCACGGTAAACACTTACCAGATAAATTGTTGCATAAGATGTCGTTTTGGTGGACTAAAATCTTACTCGGTAAGTAAATAATAGTCTTGAATTTTACCTATAAGCATTTACCGGGTAAATGTTTGGTAAACGATCCCTTAGTATTTTTTTTCATTGAACATCTTGTAATTTTAAATAGGAGAAAAAGAATATGTGCCAAATAGTTGAGGGGCTAAATGTGTATGAATGATACTATAAGGGCTAAACAAGTTATTTCGACAAAGTAAATAAGCCAAAGGAATATTCTTCACCGTATTTATATCTTCCTCTGGATGTCATCATTTCAATCGTCATTGTATCTCAATCTCTCCTCATAATCCACGCCTCACGTTTTCTAGCTGAAATTCCGCTGATTTCGATCGGTTTCTTCCATTGATTGGAAATGGTTTGTAGGGAGATTTTTTCATCAATTTCCCCTTTTGGCTAAGCGTTTCATAGTTGATGATGTACGAATTGTTATCGGTTGATTGATTTTGTTCGTATAATTGTATTCGGCCTTGTTATTTTAAGAACTGATCTGATCGGCGTTGTCTGGTATCATAATTTGGTTCAGAACGGATATTCACGATGGTTGTTTGAATTTTGAAATAAGTGTAACGTTGTTATTGTTACATCGATCGCTATTAATCTAGGTGAAGTTGTAATTTGTAAATCTCGAGTGTAGATTGGAAATTGTATATTTGATTAAGGATTCGAGATTGATTGAGATTCGAAGTGATAACTTGCTCCGAGGATCAGCTCTTGCACCGGCAGGAATACGAAGAGGAAAGAAAAGGAATCGGATCGGTAGCGAATGGATATGAGATTGCCAATGGTGGATTGCCGAAGCTTGATTGAATTTTGCCGAGCTTTCGAACAGCACAAGAATATGACGCCATCGATCAATAACAACAGCAACAATCAGTCTCGGAACAATAAGAAGTATAGCGGCCATTCAAATTATATAAACCCTCTGTATCATCCGTTTTGTGAGCGATCCCCTTTTGCAGCTCTCGATATTCTCATGTTGATTCTTGTACTAGGAGCACTTGGTTTCTTAATCGTACCATACATCAATACAATCTACCATGGAGCCATTGAGATTCTCCCATTGGTTTTTGAAGTTATTGGAGATATAATATCTGATGCACCAATTGCATATGTTGTTGGTTTGGTCGCTGCTTTCAGTGGAGTCATCGCTAGTATTGCAGCTTGGGAAATCCTTGAAGTAAAATCAAGGAAATGTGGAAAACCAGATTGTAAAGGTCTGCGTAAAGCTATCGAGTTCGACATCCAGCTCGAATCCGAAGAGTGCATCAAGTATTCACCAACAGGAGGAACAACAGGTTATGGTGTGAAGCCATTGGAGCTCGGAAAAGATCACCAGGAGCTGGAGGCAGAGTTGAAGAAGATGGCGCCCCTCAATGGCCGGACTGTTCTCATTTTCCGAGCACCATGTGGATGTCCAGCTGGGAGATTGGAGGTATGGGGGGCTAAGAGAATTCGTAGAATCAAAAAATGATTTATCTTATGCTAGATTTCTCTTAGATAGAATAATCATGAGCTGATGTTCTTACTCAGGACTCCTTTCATTTACATACATAATAATGGATCCTTGCATCTTCTAGTTATCATCATCTATCAAGTTTGCTCCTTCTGATTCATCTGGTCTTCTTCTGTTCTTGCTATATCATGTTCTTCATTTCATATTTTCATTAGTGATCTTGGTTTTATGCCATAGATTTCAAATATGCATGATAATGGAGTACATAATTGTGGGTTTTGTTAAACAATCATTAATTGCTTTTACTTAGCAAATTCAAGCATATTCACTCATCAATTGGCATGTAATATTGCATTCCTCCTTATTGAACTCCTTTGAGAGAGTCATTTTACTCTCTAGTTGTTACAGGGACGGACCCATAATTTTTTTTCATAACGTGACACTATTTGATTATAAGAAAAAATATTGGGAAAAAAATTCAAACAGTTACACCGTTTGACCATAAGAAATAAAATATATAATTTTTTTTTTCAAACGGTGAGACCATTTGAATAAAAAAATGGCATTAACATGATTCGAACTTGGGTCTGGGGTGAAATAAAAGTTTTGCAAACCAACTCTACCAGATAAAACTTGTTCTCATCGTAGTTTCAAAATACATACAGTGGCACACAACAAATTAGTATGGTTGCACCTTTCATGAACCTAAACTTTTTTACCCTTCGATGGAGGAATAATATGATGGCATGTGCCACCGTATGCGCCACTACAGGTCCGTCCCTGAGTTGTTGTATTCATGCTTTCACGAAATGCCTTTCTCATCTTCACTTTTGTGCTAGAAAGTAGAAACAATGTTCATGTTTTTATGTGCATTTCCATCCGATTTCTCAAAATACAGATATGAAGTTTTTGGATAAATTTTCCGCTCCAAACAAATCTTCGAAATTGAGAAATAGATATTTTGAAGATTTTGGTTAAGATTTTTGCTCCAACAACAAATTCTCAAACAAAATAAAAAATGGATATTTTAAGGGGTTTGGATAATTTTTTTGCTCAAACAAATTTGATTTTAAACATTTTAGATAATTTATTGCTCCAACAAAAATTTCAAAATAGAGAAATGAAGATTTTAAAGATTTTTGAATAAATTTTTTGTTCAAAACTTATGGGTTAGGTTGATCGGGTTAAAGATATTTGAACAACTTAACCTAATGTTTGTGATTTGAAATATCTTAACCCAATTCAACCCAAACCAAAATGCAACCCAACCCCTATTGGTTCGGTTGATCGGGTTGATACTTTGGTACATTAAAATATTATTCTAACCTTAAATATGTTATTTCTCAAAATCGTTTACATTTACGATTCTCGTCACATTGCACGAGTACACAACTAGTTTACATATATATGTTCACAGTTACTGAACATATATACAAATTAGTTACATAGAGATGTGAATAGATTGAAAATATGCGTATATGAAGAACTTACATGATAGTGTAATTGTCTAATGTATATATTAATAGAAATTCAACAATCATATTTAGTTCAATAAATAAAAAAATATCTGGTTCATCGGGTTAAGTTGGGTTTAATTAAATAATAGTAACTCAATATCAACTCAATACCTATGATTTAAAAATTTTACAACTTAATTAGACATTGGGTTTGCTTCAGGTTGAGTTATTTCAAGTTAGATTGATCAGTTGGATCAGATTTTTGAGCACCTCTACAAACTACCATGACATTAAATAGGAAACGGTAAAGCATGATGTAATATATTGAAAAATAAACCAAATAAAAACATAAATCTTAAATTCTCATTTACCATGTAACTTTTAAATAGGAATCGTGATTACAGTTAGATAATTATGAAAAAATTCAGTTATAGGGGGTGTTTGGGATTGCTTATTTAAAATAACTTATGTTTTTTTGTAAAAATGCTTAATAACTTATATGGTATCAAAATGGAGTTTTTCTAAAAAATGTTTGGATTGGCTTATAGTGGTACCAAACTGCAATAAGCTGATAAGTTGTTTTTTAGTGTTTGGCAAATTTTGCTTGTATCTGTAAAATGACCAAAAAAGACAAGGAGAAGATTGATGTTGTTATCTGGAGAAGGGAGAAGATTGAGATCGATGTTATCAGGAGGAAAAGAGATAGGTATAAAGGGTAATAGGGTTAAAATTGTAAATTGGTAATAAGCAATTTTTCATAAGTCAGGACGAATTAACTTATCAAAAACTGCTTATTACCGGTTTGGCACCGGTATAAGCAGTTTTTTTTTTCTTATCCAAACAATAGGTATTAGCTTATCACCGGTACCAAACTGAAATAAGTCAGTAAACAAATAAAATAAGCAATCCCAAACACCCCTATAATCTAATTTTGATACATTTATATCTATTTCTATCTTCATATTCTTTTGACAATTTTTTAAAGTACATGTCCACAAGATACATAATACTAAGTCAAGAACTCGAATCCTCAATCTTAATTTATAGTTTGTTTTTTCATTTCCTCCCGACTAGACATGTTCATCGGTTGACATTAATTAGATATGAGGAAAACCGAACCGATTCAATCATCAATTAGATGTTGGATTTTGTTAAACAAATCAAATCCAATTGATGATTGGATTCGTTCAATTTCATGTTTTGGATATTTTTATTGAATATCAATTGGATCATATTGGATCCATTGGACCATATTGGATCCATTGGACATCCAATGGATTATCAGATCGGTGATTCATCTAATGTATTAATTCAATCAAAAATTTTAATAGTGAAATAAATTGATTAATCACTTTTAATATATGTTAAAACCAATATGAAATTATGATTTAAGCAAATGAAAACAATTAATTGGATAATAGTTGGATTGATAGTCGGATGTTGGTCGGTTCTAGACTGCCATTCAAGAACCGAACTGATCCAAATTAAATGTTGAAATTTTCAACTATAAGGGTGGTGCCTGTTTGGTTTGAGCTTGACTTCAAAGATTAAAAGTATTAAAAATTCATAAGTTCAAATCTAAGGAGAAATACAAATTCTTTTGTGGACATGAATGTTCAAATACAGTGACTCCGGACTATCTATAAAGCAGTTGGTCGTCTTGGCATTAGTCGGTTCGCATAATAGGTTGGATATCCAGGTTAATAAAAAAAATATTGAAAATTTTATTTTGACCCGATCTAATTACAATTGACTATTCAATTACAATTAAATATCTAATTTTGGTCGATCTTCCGGATGAATTGACTTTCTTGAATGAGAAATTTTGCATTTTACTCTCGTTAGAGAAAACGACGACGTAGTGCTGTCTCCGTTAAGCCTGCGTTTGCTCCTCCGTTTACGACTGCAACACCGTCACTCTTGCATCCATTTGGCCTTCACAGGTTCTTCAGCTTTCAAAAATTGAAATATCGAGTAAGTTTAGAGATTAGGTCATTGAAATTCTGTTGCCGGTAGGGCGTAAATTAATAGTAGAAGATCAAAATGAAGATACACACATCAATCGTCGCATTCTTCGTACTGAGTTCGACGTTGGTTCTTAGATCGGCTGCTTTTCCATCAAATTATCTGCTCGGAGTTGCTCCAGAAGGTCCAATACCTGTTCTGATGTGCGTGTGTTTTATATGTGTAATTGGTATATGGATCAATCGTAATTATGTTTTAATTTCTAATATGATCTGAGCTCATTTTTATTGATTTTTCCAGATGAGATATATTACAAGGGATTATGGTCTTCAGGAACGATTAAATGCAAAGATGGATCTAAAACATTCACAAAAGCACAGCTTAATGACGACTTTTGTGATTGTTTTGATGGCACTGATGAGCCAGGTCTAGTAGTTTATCAATGAACTGTACTTATATTATGAAATTCTCAACTTGGATGGGAGTTATGACTATTAGTCACTGAATATATTCTTATTGTTCATGGTTGTGTGTTTGATTTTCTATATCTAAGTTAGAAGCTATAGATTCAAGTTCATCCTGCAAGCATATAGTGATCTCAGTTTCCCTTTAGTCTGGCTATTATGGGAGGAAGTGGAGAGGGGGCTGATTTGTTGACTCATATGAAATAAGATACCCAAGGACTATAAACTTGATAGTTGATACTTGCTCTCTTACCATTAGAGTAGGAGTATTCTATTGAAGTATCTGTGGGCAAATTAAACATTGCATGCAACCTTATAATGGTGATAAAAATACATCATTCTGAAAGTATGCACTTGTAATCTTAACATGGTGGTACCTTTGGCCTTGCAGGAACATCGGCTTGTCCTGCTGGGAAATTCTATTGCCGAAATGCTGGACATAGTCCCGTTTCAATATTTTCGTCTAGGATAAATGATGGTATTTGTGGTAAGTAACATCATCTCACATGCAAGTTGCTATGATCTATATGTTCCGAGGTCTGAACTCTCTGCAATCACATAGTTTTTTTCTTCTAAAAAAAGGCTATCTATCTAACATGGCAAGGAGGGCTATTTGAAATTTGAAGTCTAGGAAATACTAGGATGAGAAATATCCAAAGCACATGCAAAATCTTGCTTCCTTTTTGATGCAAAAAGATTTCATAATATTACTGCTAATCAGACTTGAGTGATCTTTGATATGAAACAAACGGATTCCATGTCACTTGCAGCATGTTGATGTTCACATAAAATGGAGTCAAATAGCTATGACATACATCGGTTTTCATATCAAGGCAAACCCTAAAACCAACCTCTGGGAACTGCAACTCCTTTCTGTCTTTCCTACAAGATGCGATGAGCATGCAATTTTATTGCAGTTTTCTGCTTGGTTCGTTCATTGCTTGTCCAATTGTTCACCGTGTGTGGTGTGTATGTATGTATTCTCCCTTCCCCTTTGACTCTGCATGTGATATCCAAAAGCTGTGGTCATCTAAAACCTTCCCGACTGCAAACCTCCTATATAGTTGTTCTTTGTGTGAGTTCTCGATACAATGCTACAAACTGAATCACTGGAATTCCATAGCATCTTGTTCAATAATCATGACTAATTATTCTGTTTCTATACATTATATAATGGATCTTACCAGGAGCTGGAGATGCGTTCTAATTTCTTTATTTCTGATCGCCTTGATCTGGCGCGCACCATCTGAGTTTTTTTGCAATAGGATATGAGATTATTTGATATGTTATGACTCAAGTTTAATATAGTCTTGGTTGGTGAGGACAAGAGATCTGTTTTTAGGTGTTCTTCTTAACCTTGTATTCTCTTCTTATGTGGATGAATATGTTTGTCATTTTTGCCTCTTAATGGTTTTGGTGGTGTAAATTGTAATTGGCCATGCATTTTCTTGATGGGTGATGATTGAGAACTGAATTTCCACCATCTAGTCTTTACCATGGTTGTGTAATCGTTCCATTTTCTCGTAACCACCAAGTTTTATGTTCGTGTGAAAATTTTAACCTGGTTCTGCTGAACAGATTGCTGTGATGGAAGTGACGAGTATGATGGTAAAAACAAGTGCAAAATTACCTGTTGGGAGGCTGGAAAAATGGTGCGAGATAGATTAATGAAAGAGATTGCGACATTTCAGGAGGGTGTTGGCATAAGAGCGCATGAAGTTGAAGAAGCTAAAATTTCAGCTGCAAAAGACGAGGCAGAGTTATCGAGGCTGAAGAATGAGGAGAAAATTCTCAAGGAGATTGTCGAAAAGCTTAAGGGTACTTCTTTCTGCATAACTCATCTTTAATTTACTGTAAATTTGGCTTTTTCATTCAGACTATAGCAACATGGTCGGATAATTAATTCCTCGCTTCACCATGCTTCTCCTGAAAGGTCCAAAAATTCTCCTTCAATATTTCTGCCTGTTTATGCATTGTTACATATGTTGACCCCATAGTTTGTTATGTTTAATAATTTGATATGGCTTTTGTGTCCCCGCCACTCTAGAGCGCAAGGAACAAATAGAGAAGGCAGTGGAGAAAGAACGCATCCAGAAAGAACAAGAGGAGAAGCAGAAAAAGGAAGCTGAAGAATCTGAATCGAAGGAACACAAAGATGAAGACAAAGTTGATGTTCCAGAGCAAGAACCTGCAGAAAATACTGATGATGATAAAGCTGGGATTCTTGATAACCCTCCTCCGGGCCAGGTTGGTGTGACTCTTCAAACTTAAATTTCAAAAGTTAAGACGAAGCATTGTGATACATAAAGGTTTCCTACACTAATTCCTTTGTATGGTATTTATATTGTTTGATGTTCGTTAATTCATGTCTACCCCATTTATACTAGTTCTCATACTCAGATTCTTCTATTAGAATCTAAAGGAAGACCCTGCTGAACCTGCGGTTGAAGTGGTACACAATGCTTATGCATCTCTTGACATCGGAGAAGAGGTGGATTTAAATACAAGCTATACTCTCATTGAGAATCCTTCATATGAGATGCATGTTTTAAATGTTATTGTCTCTCTTTATAGAATGCTGCACAGGAAGAGGAAGGGTCCAAAGTTGCACATGCATCTGACCCGAGTACTGGACTTGGAAGTAAGGTACCTCATTAATCAGTTCGAGCAATCATAGCAATTGTCTAGTTCTATTCACATTACTTGGGAATCAGCAAGAATTGACAAATATTTCACTTAGTGAGTTTCTCTTTAATCTGTTCCAATTCATATGCAATTCCATACAATCAAAGTTTTTAGTCAAGCCCTAATGATTTGTCAAGGAAGTTGGTCCTGTCTTGACAAATTATTGTGGTATAGACTCAGCAAATCACAGAATGGGAACCCATGGAAATGTGATTTTCTGTTCAAGTTAACAGTATTTGGTAGTTGTTAGTGCCACTCATGATAGATCGACAGGGAAATATCCAGTCATCAAGTAATTCACTAGAAAGACAAGAAGTCAGCTAGTAGACTGACATTATTACATGGTGGCAAAAAGTAGAAATTTTCTGTAGAAGCAACCAAATGTGCAATGAATATAGAGAAAAATTGCTTTTCCAAGTGCAACGACTAAAAGGACTATCAATTTTGATGTATAGTGGTATAGCCTAGTGGTTGTGAAAAGTAATTTGCTTTAGTGGTTGATATGTCCTAGATGAAATTGACGGTTGCAACTATTATGTACCACTTCTCAATTGATTGCATCTAGAATCTACAAAACTTGTACAAGAGTGAAAATCTTCTTTTTTGCAGCTTCTTCCGTCTTTGAAGTTTTTTTATTGGCTCACGCCATTTCTGTTCTTTTACCACCCTTTGTATTTTAATAAATATCACCCTTTACCATGTGTGTTACTGTTTATAGCTGTATTAGACTTCGTATACACGCAGATGTGAAATTGTAAATTATCATCTCATTCTTTTCCCTGCTACCTAAAATCACAACTGGATGTTTGGTCAGGGAGAAGATGCAACCAAAGACATTGATTCATTATCAAGGGAGGAGTTGGGCCGTGAAATTGGTTCACGTTGGTCTGGAAAAAACCACGAGCAGCAACATAATGATTTTGATGATGTTAAGAATAATGACGAGACATCTGTTAATGCGCATGATGAAGAAAATGATGGGTACGATACAGAAACAGACGAATATCATCATCAACATTATGAGGAGGATGACACTGAAGACCAGATGGGTGATGTTGGAGATGAAGCTAATGATGACTCCAGTTCTTCCTACAAATATGAGCCAGATGATGAAGTGGACATGTCAGGTGTGCAATGGTTGTTTGTGATCTCTCCATGGGTGTGTTGTGCTTATACTATCCTTTTGTGCACTAGTTGTGGAGTGTTTCACTTGCTGATGATGGATTTTCCAATTTACATGTTTAAGATATTGAAAGCACAAGCAGCCCATCATGGTTTGAGACGATTCAACGAATTGTGCGGAATTTTCTGCAGGCTGTCAACCCGTTCCAAACTCCAGTGGATACATCTGGTAGAAATGGGTTCTTTTAGTATTCAAAGGGATATCCTGAAATTTTCCTGAATCAGTTACTTGTTTGTATGTTCTATAGAAGTTGAAAATGTACGAAAAGAATATGATGAGGCCAGCGGGAAGTTATCTAAAACAAGATCAAGGATATCTCGGTTAAAAAAGAAGCTAGGAAATGACTTCGGTATGTCTTAATTTAAGACTATCAGAAATACATGTGCTTCTTCTTCTATACATGGACAGATGTTCTGATCATTAGCTTCAATGACCTATGTTTGACATTACAGGACCAGAGAAGGAATTCTACTCATTATATGGACAATGTTTTGAGAGCAAACAGAACAAGTTACAACCTTTGCAACTTCTTGCGTTTACTTGTTTGTTTTCCTTATTGATCAAATTTCTCTTCATAATGTATCCTAATTTCACTTAATTTTCTTGGCCGTTCTGTCATTTAGGTATGTTTACAAAGTTTGTCCTTTTAAAGAAGCCACCCAGGAGGAAGGCTACAGCAGAACTCTCTTGGGGTACGTATTCACACATCAACTATTCACTTGAACTCAATTTTGTGATATCTCAAATTTGTTTATTAAGGAAGCCAAAGTTACTAATCGACTATTTATGTTCTTTTCTACCTTGGAATTAAGAGTGAAATGAAGGCTTATATCTGCTATTTCATTATGGGTTTTCATAATCTCTACTCTTGCATTTGTACAAGTAATGTTTGCTTGTGAATTCTTCTTTTAATCAACACACTAGCAAATATTCCCTCCGTCCCAAAATAAATGTCCACAATGAAAAAGGCATACAGTTTTAGAGTTTGTAGTTATTACATTTTAATTAACTAAATGACACTTTTACCTTGATAATAGAGGGAGTAATGAATTTCTCCATCTCATACTTAAGAGTAGAATTGGAAAGTAGACACTTATTTTAGGACCAACTTAATTAGAAATGTGGACACTTATTTTGGGATGGAGGGAGTAATCGGAAGCCCTTCGCTACCCAGTGGTTTTTTAATTAAATAAAGGGGATTTAAACTCTGGCTATTACATGTGGCCTGGTATAACATACCAGAATATTCTGATATCTCCAAATATTAATGTTCAAGCATGAAATGTCATATTGCCATAACGTGATCCAAAAGGCATAAAATACAAGCAAGTGACCGGGAACTAGTCTACAAATCCTATTCTTATAATTTTTCTTCTTGATTGGTCAATTTATTAATGTTTCTTCCTCCATTTACCATACAGGCAGTGGGAGAAATTTGAGGAGTCATACAGCGTCATGCTCTTCTCAAATGGTGACAAATGTTGGAATGGTCCTGATAGAAGTTTAAAGGTGTCAAACTTCATTGTGTTGTATTAGATTCTTGTTTTTCAATTTGTGATCGTGAAATTGGTGACAAATGTTGGAATACTTTTGAAGTGCTTCATCCTTTTCAATTTCACGATCACAAATTGCACATATATGCATTCGAAGTTAGTTCCCTGAATCTTAACTCTTAAGATGGTATTTGGGTGTTGTGTTAAGAAGGCATTTAGGTTTCATATCCCGATTGAGATTTCATAGTTCACCAATACATCAGCAAGCATCCGAAATTAAACTTAATAAAAATATATTGCTTAATCAATTGTTGCATGCCTTTGTATTTGTCACTACTTGAAATGGGTAGATTCAATCTCTAGAAGGTTTTCTTCGAAAGGTTTGGGAACTTTGAGGTAGAAACTAGGCGATAGAACAATAATAGGTAAAATATTTGTCTTACTATCTTTTATCGTTTATTGAAGGAGTTCATTCTTAACAGCCATTTATCTGGTTTTTATTATCAACGTATGACAGGTCAAGTTACAATGCGGATTGAAAGTCCAGGTTGCTGATGTAGATGAACCAAGTCGTTGCGAGTAAGAACCCCCCCCCCCCCTTCCCCTTCTCCTTCCTTCCTTCTCCCCTAGGCAAGATGTGCTTGATATGGCCCAGGAAAACAGTGACAATGTCATGTTTTCTTGTCATATCAATCTTACTATTTGAATTCTTGTTTATAACTAGTATTAGGGGCTGTTTGTTAACAGCTTAATGAGCTTAATGGGATTCACAGCTTATTCGGTCAGCTATACATGACTGGTTGACAGTGGCTTAATGATATAGAAAGTGGCTTATTCAGTAAGCTTTTAGGAGGGAGCTTTATGTAGAAGCTCAAGTTTTTTCCAAACCTGTCCCTCCAAATTAAAAACATTGTTCTTCCATCTATGAGAAAACTCCCCCACACAAAAATTTCCCAATCTATACAGACAGATTAATCCACACAGACAACTTTACCATACATGACTTAATGGAAAACCAACCAAACAACCCCTTAGTCTTCTTCTATATATGTACCTCCTTATCCACAAATTATATAATGTTGATAGAATCCCACATTGGCTACACTTGGACCGTTTCTTGCGACATATGTTGGAACCTCCTTCCTGTACTCAAGGGCTCTTTTGAAGATCAATACGGAGGTTCCACATATTCTCACATGTGTCAGAGCCAAGGTCTATCACACTGGGGGCAATATGTACTTGTCTAAGCCCCCTCTCAATACTCTAGAGTGTTTGTGTGAGACGTTGATAATACGGGCTTATTCAAATCATTATTTTTCTTGGCAGATATGAGGCAATGTTGACTGCTCCCGCTCTTTGCCTAAAAGGAAAACTCAAGGTATCATCCACCATTACTTTGATATATTGGTCGACGATAACAGATCTTTTAACGGTATTTGGGTGGCTGACGAAATGTTTCAGGAACTAGAAGATGAGCTACGTGCCCTGAACAAGGAACAACCACAACTTCGCGACGAGCTTTGAATCGTTTCGGCTACTTCTAATGTTTGATGATTCAGAGCAAGTGTTTGTGGAGAAAACCGCTCGAGCCTAACATTGTATTTGTCAAATGTCGAAGGGATCAATCAACTCCCCCCGGTATAGCAAAAACCGAACTTGGTAAAAACGTAACTGTCGAAAGATGGCTTACCAGCCTCATTCTTCTTCCATTTTTGTATGCTAAAAAGAGGATCAATACAAGACTTCCATGAAATGTGGAGGTGAGGCTTGTCTGCAGGATAAGGATTATTTGAGAGCTCTAATTTTGCATCCTGTGTCGTTTTTTAGTGGTTTCTCTCTTTATTCTTGCTGACGGGTAGCTCGTAGCGTGCGTGCGGCCCAAAACATCTAACGACATCATAGACCTGTTATTGCATTAAACTTCCGTGGCCAGAAAGGCCATAGTCCTCTAAGAAGCTGGCCGTGGAGCCACCTTGGAGGTGCTCTAAGGTTTCATTTTCCGTGGGTGATATTTCATGTCATCTTTCTTTCATATTTCAAAACATATTGAAACGAGATTTACGAAATAAAAACGTTAAACAACTTTGTGAAAGGTGAAACCAAGTGTAATTGGGGAAATTGATCCAAATGACCATATTTCATAACGAAATTGACCTCCTAACTATTTCTTTCCAGGCTTTACCCAAAAGTCACTAGGTCGCAATACTCAGGTTCGTAATTATTGCAAACCCACTAAAAGACAACATTTTAGAGTTTTTTGGCCCAGGTCCGTAACAGCAGGTCCATAATTATTACGGATTCGACCCAAAATCATTTTTCTTGAATCTGTAATGTCAGATCCGTAAGTGTCCACCTTCATAGGAAAATGGGTTTTGGGCCTGATCCGACCCAAAACCCATTTTCCTTGAATATATAATGCTAGATTCCAAAACCCATTTTCCTTGAATATATAATGCTAGATTCATAAGTGTCCACCTTCATAGGAAAATGGGTTTTGGGCCGGATCCGTAATAGTTACGGATCGATGGTTACGAACCTGGCCCAAAAACGTTGATTTTGTTTGTTGTTTAGTGCATTTGCAATTGGGTATTGCGGAGCTAGCGACTTTTGAGTAAAGTCCAAAGAGAAATGATTGGGAGGTTAATTTGATTGTGGAATATGATCATTTGAATCAATTTCCCTTACAATTGTTACTAGAGATGGACCAAAACAAGTCAAGAAAAAGTCATAATTGGTTTCTTGACGGGGCCGGGTTAAAAGGTGTCACGATTCTAGTCCTTGTCTCAAAATCTGTAACTAATACGGACTTTCTCAAGTCTCGAACTTGACCAATGGGCAAGTGACAAATGACAGATTTAAAAAATTTGGTCCTAACCGGTAATTTTAAGTGATCATTTAAAAAAACCTGTATATAATAAAGACTAACCTGCTATAACTAGTCCTAATACAAAATTGGGTCTTAACTGTTTAGTCTAGTCTAGTCTAGTCTTTACGCCCATCTCTACTCGTTACTGATAACTATATCATCCGATTAAAACACACCTTAAAAATTTAATTGTTTTTACCTTAATTTGTTTTCAAACATTTTTTAACTATAAGATATGGTCAACTAGTTTTTCAATCAAATTTTTATTTTTAGCCAGACTTTAAGTAAACGTCTTATGCATTTGCGTAAACTCGATTTTCAGATTAAAAAAAAATCTTTACTCAAATTTGCATAAGGATCTCCATTTGTGTAAATAATTTTTTAATATGAAAATAGACTTATGCATATACGTAAGGCATCTGTGTAAACTTTGACTAAAATGAGAATTTGGTTCCAAAAGTCACTAAAAAGTGAACTAATTTGGAGAGATTGACTATTTTGGTCATTTTTCCCTTAAAATGGGGTCGTGGCTATGCAGGTTCGTTTGCGATGATTCAAGACAGTTCGTAGTAATTCGTAGGATTAGTCGGTGCATGTAAGCTAACGCAGATACCCATTTAAAAAAATCACTAAAAAACACTTATCCTAGGGGAATGTGGATACGAAGCATAAAACAACTGCAGGGTGTTTGGGATTGCTTATCAAAACAACTTATTGACTTATTCCGGTGTGACATCGGTAATAAGCACTTTTGAGTGTTTGGATAAACAACTTATACCGGTGCCAAAACGGTAATAAAAAGTTTTTAAAAAAATCAAGTCCTTCTGACTTATAATAAGTTGATAAATGTTTTTACAGAAAAGATAAAAGTAAGTAATCCCAAACAACCAAGAGAATGAGTTTGGGAGCGGTTTTTATTCACAGTTTTCTTTTAAGATGCAGTTAGACCCCATAATATGATGGTTACAGATATAAATCATGAAAAAATACGCCATACACACACATATATATATAAAGGAACCCTCCGCTTCTGGTGCTCGGTTTCTCAATTTCAGTTGTGCATCCCTGTCAATCCGTTGATCCACAAATTCTGCAATCACTTTCTTACCTCTTACTCTCAAGAAATTTCCCAATTTCCTCTTTAATTTTACATTATTCAATCACCACACTCTTCTTCGTCCGATCGATTGATCGGAATATCGTTGTTGATCGGACACAAAAATGGATCAGATGACCACTGATCAGAGCCAACAGGAAGTAGGTTACAAGAGGCCCAAGACGAAGATCGTCTGCACTCTCGGACCGGCTTCCAGGTCGATTCCTATGGTTGAAAAGCTATTGAAGGCTGGTATGAACGTTGCTCGCTTCAATTTCTCACATGGATCCTATGAGTATCATCAGGAAACCCTCGATAATCTCCGTACGGCCATGGATAATACCGGTATTGTTTGTGCAGTCATGCTCGATACCAAAGTATGTTTGTTTCTTCACTATCAATCACTTGTTCTTTCGTTCTCTCCATGTATCTGATACAACAGATCAATCGTACGTATATGATCTACGTTACCATATGTTAATGCTACACTTAATAGTTGTACGTAATCATGCAATATGTTCATGATCGGACGACTTCATTCAATCCTTCTGAATCTGCTACTTTTTTCATATGAATTATGTTACAAATGCTTGATCTGATTACAAGAAATTTTTTTCCGAATTAAAGTGTTGTTTGTGTGATCAACTTAACATTTAGTTCTGTAGGAATCATATGATTTAAACATGATAAACGTATTTGTTTGTTTACCTGAAAAAGGAAGATTGATCTACGAGATAGATGATGAAGAATGAAAGAAAATTATATAAATATGCACCAATGCACCAGCTAGATATAATTCATATCAGTTTTGATTATATTCTACTTAAAAGGCGTTTTAAGAGGTCATTATGAGCGTGTCTCAATGAGTATTTATTTTTTAAAAGCGATCTTCTATTTACACCATCTCAATGATAGGTTACTATAAATAAACTTTTTATAAGTCACTTTGCTATATTTTTGGAGTTCTTCTACAAGAACTCTAGTTGTATCTTGAATTTTGTGTTAAATGTTATTTTTTTGAGCTTCAAACCATTTAAAAAGATATAATAAAAGTTAAAGGTTACGGCACCGTTTACCAAACGTGTATAGAGTAAGTACTTACTGACAAGATTCACTAACCCTCACTTAGCTTATCGAAAAACATTATTGGCCATCAAAATGGGTTGTTGGTAAACTGTTAAGTGCTAGGCAGGTAAGAGTCTTCCCCCTTCTTCCTATTTTGGGTCTCACCCGGTAAAGTAAATGACACATGGTAAGCATTTACCCGATAAATATTTAATAAATGACCCCTTACGTTCTGTTCAGGTCCATTCGATTTTGAAACTGGTAAAATAAATAAAATGGTACTAAACTATAATCCCAATCATTGCTTTCTCTCAAGTTCAATTGAGATAAAGATCTCACCTTAGGTATCTGTCTGTTAGCAGTTTAATAGGCTTACTAAGACTCACAACTTATTCGGTCAGCTATACACGACTGATTGGTAGTGACTTAATAATATAGAAAATAGTTTATTCAATAAGCTCTTAAGAGGAACCTCATGTAGAAAGTCAATTTTTTAAAAACTTGTTCCTCCTAATTAAAAAATACGATCCTTCCATCTATGAAAAACATATCCCAAACAATAACCTTCATAATTTATACAGATAGATTCATAAACACAGACATCTTTATCCATATAGGACTTGTTGGAAAACCGAACAAACATCATCTAAATGGTTGATGACATTTGTTGGCTGATTGGTCTTTATACTCTTTGAATTTTGACTTTAATTAGTTAATTTGGATGATAAATTACACAAAAAAGATGTAATATGCTCATGATCACTTAGGAAGGAATTAAAAGTGAGAAACGTAAGAAGGGATTTCGACCTTTGATCACTTTTAATATCAAAACAACTCATTATTGCGCGTTAGAAGGGAATTGACGTAGTGTATCTCATTAGTGTCGATTTAGTGGTTCTTTTTAATTAGGATTGATTCAAGGGTAAGAACTCTTCTTACCCTTCTCACTGTAACTTCCATTTTCATCGGAACCCAACCATGATCTCTATATGATATTATGATCTATAAATTCTTTTTACGATTTATGAGTAGAAATTACAAATGTTGGCTCTCAAAAATCTAGTTGGTTTAGCATGCAAACTGTTTCATTTTGTTTCTGATGGATATATCAGGGTCCAGAAATTCGAACTGGGTTTCTGAAAGATGGGAAGCCCGTGAAGCTGCAGCAAGGTCAAGAGATCACCATCTCTACAGACTACACAATTCAAGGTGACGAAAATATGATATGCATGAGTTACAAAAAGTTGGCTCATGATCTCCAACCAGGGAGCGTCATACTCTGCTCAGACGGCACCATTACATTTACCGTTCTCTCTTGCGACCCTGAGAACGGCTTGGTTCGTTGTCGCTGTGAGAACACCTGGACACTCGGTGAGCGGAAGAATGTTAATCTACCGGGAGTCATTGTCGATCTCCCGACTTTAACAGAAAAAGACAAAGAAGATATCCTTCAATGGGGGGTTCCTAATAAAATTAATATGATCGCCTTATCATTCGTCCGCAAAGGTTCGGACCTGGTTGAGGTTCGGAAATTGCTTGGTGAGCATGCGAAAAACATAATTCTTATGTCAAAGGTACGTTTTTATCCGCATTAATTTGGCTATTTATTTGAGGTGGAGGTTAAGTTTACTTATACGTTGCCCCTGTAGACCCACCTCAAAGTGGGATATTATGGGTTTGTTTGGTTTAGTTTGGAGGTAGAGGTCATATTAGGGGTGGACCTATGTGGCGTTGAGCGGGTCCCGTCACCCGTGCACCTTTACAACCGATTTTTGCAAGTAACTTTTCTTGGTGTGAAAGGTGCATTCACTAAATTTCGAGGATTGCTCTGGGATTTTAGAAAATACAAAACATCAATCAAAAAACCGAAAAAGTGTTTAGAAATCAACAAAAAAATTTCAAAAATTCCCTCGAAAGGTGGAATTTGACTAAAAACACATCGGATGACTTTGCGGGTGTTTGATCCACCACCTTAAATGTACACCTACTAAACAAAATTCATGAGTCCCAAACCCACTACCCAATGGATATTCTCAGTTTGTTTGGTTTGGTTCAGTTTAAGGTAGAGGCCATGCCAACGTAATCCCCCCCAGATGGGATTTGTTTGGTTTGGAGGTAGAGGTGTTTGCCACCCGAAAGGCCGAAACTAACCTCAGATGAGATATACTAGATTTGTTTGGTTTAGTTTAATTTGTTCATCTCTTGAAATCTTGGAATCTATCTTTGCTAGGTTGAGAATCAAGAAGGGGTTGCGAACTTTGATGAGATCCTGGCCAACTCCGATGCGTTCATGGTGGCTCGTGGCGATCTGGGAATGGAAATCCCGATCGAGAAAATATTCTTAGCACAGAAAGTTATGGTCTACAAGTGCAACTTAAAAGGAAAGCCCGTTGTGACAGCCACACAGATGTTGGAGTCGATGATCAAATCTCCGAGACCGACTCGTGCAGAAGCCACAGACGTTGCCAACGCTGTCCTCGATGGAACAGACTGTGTCATGCTCAGTGGAGAAACTGCTGCCGGAGCTTACCCTGAACTAGCGGTTCGAACCATGGCCAAGATATGCATGGAAGCAGAAAGCACGATCGATTATTCAGTCGCTTTCAAGATGATCACTGCAAACGCACCCGTACCCATGAGCCCACTTGAGAGCTTGGCGTCTTCTGCAGTTCGAACGGCCAACACATCGAAGGCGAGTCTCATATTGGTTCTAACCAGAGGGGGAACCACCGCGAAACTGGTGGCTAAGTACAGGCCTCGGATCCCGATACTGTCGGCAGTGGTTCCTGAAGTCAAAACCGATTCTGTCGATTGGTCGTGCAGCGATGAAGCACCGGCCAGGCATAGTCTCATCTTTCGCGGTTTGGTTCCAGTTTTATGTGCAGGATCGGCTAAAGCTTCCCACACCGAGTCAACTGAAGCAGCACTCGAATTCGCCTTGCAACATGCCAAAACTAAAGGTCTTTGCAAGGAGGGAGACGCTGTTGTGGCTCTACACCGAGTCGGGAACGCATCTGTAATCAAGATCGTGAATGTCAAGTGATCGCCTTTCGCGATCATCACCATTTTCTGGTCGTTTTCGTCAAGTAATAAATCTCTTTGCTAGTCTCTAGTTCATCTATTGTTTACCCGTATCTCGAATCGACAAACCGAGCCTTCCCTACACGTTTAGCGAGTCAACTCAGTTCCATCTGTGTCGCCATGTGCTTAATGTAATCAAAACTAGTTGCAACAAGTGTTTTCATTCTTGAACCCCATCAGATGACTCTTTAAAATAACTAAACTCTTTAAAATGTCTAGGTCGAAATACCTATCTGTAACCCCATCAGATTATTCTTTAAAGACGCTTATACCCCTCAAATGGAGGCTAGACGTCCCAAATTGCAGACGCAAGAATGTTTGGAAAGAATTTGAAGGAGGTATAAAATCCTTGGTAATCAGTACATACAAGCAGACAGAATCACGAAATGCTTTTTGTCGATATTACAATATATAATAACCGAATCTATTTACATATTTCTGTTATAAAGAAAACTTACATCAAGTCATCATCTTCCCTCCGACCACCCTCGCCACCTTCCTGACCCGCCGTCCCCGATCCCGACCCCGACCCTGACCCCAATGAAGTTGATAGGTTCATTATCAACTGTGGGTTCGAGTTCGTGATTTGGGTTCCGGATGTTGACGAAAACAAGCTGCTAAAGGGCCACGGGAGAGCAACGGAAAACCGCCTTGTGTTTCTCCCTTCATCTTCACCTTCTTCGCCGTTTCCACCGTTCTCGGATTCCCCCGTGATCGCGTTGGTGTTAACCATGATGCCTTGGGAAGCTTCTCGATCGCGTTCGAGCTTTGACTCATCGGAAGGCAATTGATACCTGCAAACTGGACATGAACTATGAAGCTCTAGCCATGGCAGGATACATTCCCCATGAAACCTGTGTTTACATGGCATTTCTTTCGCTTCAGCTCCGACCTCTACATCATCCAAACAAATCGAACACTGGATCGAATTCTCCTCGATGATCACCGTCGGCATTGCCTCCACCGCCTCTTTCTGCGCCGGTGGTGTCCCGTATCGGTTCGGGTCGTTCTCCGCCAAATGCTGCAGGAGTAATTCGAGACCTGGACCCACGAAATAATCGCCTAAAGATCCGATCGGGTGGTTCTGCGATGGGCCACCGGAATCAAACGGATTGCCGCTGCCACCACCACCGCCAACACCGCCTTGAACAATAATCGTCTGATTAAAAGGATTGATGAGAATAACACGCTCTCGCTCTCGTTCTCGTTCTCTTTCTCTTTCTCTGTTATTCTCTCCACCTTCCCTATCGGCATTGTTCTCCGATTCAGTTATCATTCCGGCTCGAATTCCCTGAAGGAGCTGGAGGATGGTGGCGGAGCTCCGCCTCCTCCTCCTCATGATAGATTCAAGTTCCCTATCCAATTCCGACTCTCCTCCTTCACGGTGATAACGACGATACCGTTCTTCAGAATCGTTACGATCTTCATTCTCATCGTTTTCATCATTCTCAATCTGTCTGAATCTCCGGCGACGGCGAGGATTGCTCATCATACCGAGCAAAATCGGAGCCCACAACGAGAGAGCACGATCAGATTCAGAATCTCCGGCATGGTGATGATTGTGATTATCACTCCTTGCGCTGTCCAATTCCTCCACGAATCCGCCGTTACATAAGGAACACTTGATCGTCTCCGCCTCCGCGATAGTTTCAACTACCCTAGAACATTCATGACACCAGTATCTCGTTGAATCGCTCCCTTCATCCATCTAAAATCATAAACATAATCAGAAAAACCGAAGATCTGGTTTTCAAAAACTTTTTCTACAGATCTAAGCAGATTAAAGTTTAAACCCCATTGATCTCCTCATAAACCACTAAATCGCATAAGATAAGATTTTTCAACTCTTTTACGTGATCTGATCTGAAATCATAATCAAATGAACACAAAACCTAACAACAAATTGAAAGCTTAAATCTCCAGATCAGAAATGAAATTAAAAGTGAAATTGATGGAAGAAAAAGAAAGGAAACCTGGTAGAACCGAACGGGATGATTGTGGAAAGATGAATGTGTTGTTGTTGGCTAAAATTGCCCCTCTTTTCTGACGAAATGGAGGGGTTTGCGTTTGGTGGAACCAAGTGAAAATGGGAATTTTGTAGCTCCCATGGGGTTTTCTCTGATGGAGTAAAAATGATTGCAAAATGGGTGGGGGAGAACCCTGACAATCAACGCCGCATTTCCCTTTTCATTTCTATTCCTTATTTTCTAACATCATTAAAAAAACACACACAGATTATGAATTTGGTTATAGGTTTATTTATGAAACTAGTGATTCATATGGTTTGCATGAAAATATTTGAACAATTCAATTTAACGCTTACGGTTTGAAAAATCTCAATTTCAATCCAAACAAAACTACAAATTCTTACCATACAAGTTAGGTTGGTTGAATTGATCGGGTTAAAACTTTGATAAAAAGTGTATTATGGTGGAACCAATACTTTTTTATATATTTTTATTTTATTCAAGTCTTTTACATGGATTGACTATTAGATGATGTCATCATTAACAGTTCAAATACGTTAACCACATCCTTAAATAAACAAATTTTTTTGATCCAAACCTATAAATGATAATTTCAAAAAATTGTTTCTCAAAATAAAAACCATATAATTTTATTTTTTATTTTTATCTATACTATATTATAAAGCATTTGACAAAACCCATTATAAACTATTTTTTTTATGCATGAAGTACTGCTTATTGATGCATATTACTTAAAATTCAAGATTACAAGTAAGTTTGTATAAATACAACTTATTAAAACTTCATTTTTTAAATTCGTGTAACTAACTACAGATAAACATCTATTTTAAATATAAAAAATTTAAAATATAATTAAGATAATCATCGAGTTCTAACATAATGTTTAATTATTATCTTTATAAAAAATTATATTATTAAACCAAAAATAAATTATTTTGTTATTAAAATCTAAATTAAGTTATAATAAAAAATTGAATTAAAAAAATTACAACAAAAAACAGGAACTATTAAATATTTAATTTAATATTTTCTAATTTTTACGCTATTTTCAAATTTATATTTCATTCAAAAATAAAAACATTATCGTTTTTTCAAAATCATATAAAACCGTATTATAACATCAATGGAAACATAAAATAAAACAAAACAAAACATTAAAATCGAGATGTATTTTATTGTATTGTACAAATACTCTTCTATTAATCATAAATAAAAAAATCGAAAAGTCAATTGGAAATGATGGCTGAAAATATCGTACAAAATCACATGGACATTTTAGTCCGTCAACTTATCGCAATTATTTCCCACAGATCCCACATTTGCGCTCTCGTTCACCCATGTGCAATAATACAAGGGTTGTACTTACGAGTCTTCCTTTGGGGTCATATCCCATCATATATTCAAAAACTAGAAACCATGTTTTTTTCTTTTCAAATGTCGAATTAAAGTTCCACAAAACGCATCGAATACAACTTTTAATGCATAAAATACATGTCACAAAAGCAACATGAGGTTCGATGGTTATCGACCCTTTCCCACTCGTCAAATTTTGAACCAGGCCATGAAACACGAGACTGCGAATGAAGAAGTCCAAAGACTAACAAACGAGCGTAATGATTGGATATGACTTTAACCATACAACTCGTTATATAAAAAGATTAATCATTTGTATACCCAAAAACCGACAACAAATAAATTGGTAAAAAATGAAACTGAAAAAAAAGAATGGGTAAGATAAAATAGAGGTGCATCCATGCTTTGCCAACATCATCTTCGACACTCCAAAACCACATTTTTTTGACCTCCAAACCTGTGAAAATTACGAGCCTTGCCATCTTGTTTTGGCCAGAAAACCGGCAACTGTACAGAGTTGGATACTGCAAGTTATCCATGTAAAAAACTAACAAATCTCCGTTCACCAGAAATAAGATGTGGGTCGTGATCTTCATGCCCAACCAGTATCATACATTGTGATGTAATCGACTTCAAAGACTCAAATGTCGGTTTCCTGCCATTCTTTCCTGCATACAAGAGCTTTGAATTAACAATGCCGTCTACTTAATGATAATATATGCATCAAATCAAGAATTGCCGATTCTTTAGGGGATCAGCGACCACTAGAGTACAAGGCCTGTTTGTTAGCAGCTTAATGAGCTTAATAGGACTGACGGCTTATTCAACCAACTATACGTAACTGTTTGGTAGTGGCTTAATTTTACAGAAAATGGCTTATTCAGTAAGCTTCTAGGGAGAGCTTTATGCAAGAAGCCAATTCTTCTTCAAACCTGTCCCTCCCAATTAAAAAAACAGGCTTCTTCCATCTATGAAAAACCCTCCCAATCCATAAAGACAGCTTAATCCACACAAACAACTTTATCAATACATTATTTAATGGAAAACCAACCAAACAGCCCACCAAACCAAGAAAAGGGAGAATGTATCTCATACGTCATACATTATATGTATAAAATGGGCATATTTAAGTTAAATCTTTATGGAAACAACCACTCTACCCATTGGGCAGAGGACAAGTGTACATCCTCCCCTCCCCACCAAGGGCCCCAAGACCCTACTTTCGAGTGGGATTTACTCGATCAATTTACCTTGGTCATTACTATCAAGGAGAAAGAATTCATTGCATTATCCTGCCTCCATCCTCTCTTGAGGGCATAAGAACTAACTTTTAGTTAATTTCAAAATTTATTGTTTTCTTCTGTATTTATTGGAAATACCAAAATACCCCTGCCGTATCTTCTTCGTGGTCAACATAAGCCACACTCCACTACACCCTAAAATAATGGCACCTGATATAAGGATTCAACACAGGGTACATGCACCTCTTCTTCCTAGATAAGTGAAGTTCTTAGGGGCTGTTTGGTTGGTTTTCTACTAAGTTCTGTATGGATAAAGCTGTTTGTATGGATTAATCTGTCTGTATAGATTAGGAAGACTTTTATTTGGGAGGGTTTTATCATATATGGAAGGAGTGTGTTTTTCAACAGGGAGGGGCAGGTTTGGAAAAAACTTGGCGTTAATGGCATAAAGCTCCCCATAGAAGCTTACTGAATAAGCGACTACCTATATCATTAAACCAAACAGTCATGTATAGCTCACCGAATAAGCAGCGAGTCTCATTATGCTGCAAACAAATGGGCCCAAAAGGACTGACCCTTGTGCATCTCTACTAGGCATCACAAAGAAGTAAACATTATTGGTCGTTCCAAGGCTTGTCCCAATAATGACATATAAACAATAAATCTTAGCAAATTTAATCAATGGCGGTCATTCCATCGGAAAGCTTCATCTTGAATTCTTGATGGGATCAAAAGGAGATAGAATGACAAAACCCTCACATCAGAAGTCAAAACTTACTTACATATATAGATGGCTTCAACTGAGCTGCATCATCCATGCCACTACAATTCTGACCCTACAACAAATGCAACCATTTATAACTTGATACCAAAAACAAGAAAGCACAAGTATGAAAATAAAGATTCATACCCCATGTAAAGATCCTTCATCTTGATTATCTGTAAAAAGAGATGAGTAGTATGGTGGATCATAGATGGCACCTCCTAATACATCATCTGAACACGGAGAACGTCGAACTACAGGAGGGGTGGAGGGATTTATAAAACTGTTTCTTGATTCCAAATCTCCGTCTCTGGAAAATGTACTATCTACATGTGAAGCTCCCAACCTATAAATCTGTATCCATAATAACATGGATGATGACCTCACTGAGAACCCAATGATTTCCATCAACAGAGTAAGTTTCACCGATAATATCACAAACTTCCCATAAATCTCAGAAGAAATGTGCCTGCATACACAACAAGCTTTTCAAGACCAAATTGTTGTGTCAAGAACCTCAATAGCATGTTCAAAGTAATAAACATATAACGGATATAGCACATTCATTCTACATGTAAGACGCTCTATTCTTTGGAGTGAAGGTCAGGTTTGCATACATCTCAACGCCAGAGGGCCAGATCCCACATCTGAGTAGGATATACCGAGTTTGTTTAGTTTGGTTATCAGCAACACAACCAAATATAGCCATGACTTTACAACTTCTAAGAAGTTCTCCCCTGATTTTGTGCATGAGAAAAGGGTACCCAAATGAAGAAAAATGGGCAAGAACAAAAGCACCTAAGTAATACATTATACTTATGAAGGAAAGATTTAATTATAATTGGGCAAACAAGCAATTCGCCCTTTCCATCCACACCACCAGATAGTGAGGCTCTCCCATTTTAAATAACCAACCACAGTTAAATCTCCAAACAGAACTTTTTTAAATAGTCTAATGTCCAACCATGAGATGGAATTTCAATGTCTACAAGAGGTAATTAGAAAAATGCTACAAATTTGGAAAAGTTCATCCAAAGATTGATGCCAAATAAACACCATTTTAATGCCTTGAAGGGCGTTTGTAGCTCACGATAGTTAATCATGATAGCATGAGGAAGACAATAGACTCAGAGAAACACAACTTAACAAACAGTACTGCTACATATTCAGCTCGTTGCTTATTGTCAAATGTCAACCACTATATCATAAAAATAACTTGTACTTGTCGTTTTTCTGCTGAAAAGTTATAGCTTCTAGGAAAAGAAGAAAACCAACATGTCGTATAATAACAATCAGTCATAACCAGCACGAACTATACTCAAGTGGGTTATTTCTTTGCAAAATTGTGCCAATTTCATATGTGGCAATTCCGCCAATAAGTTAGTTGATCAAATTGTTATTTCCCATATAATTAGAAGATGAGATTGGTCAGCGGTTATTCATGTACGACGTTCATACTAGATTATAGGTACTAAACAGTGGAGAAATTGTGACTGAAATGGCAAATAGAACTTACCAAATAAACAAAAAGAACTTACCAGATTTCATGACTGAAGAGGATGAACCACAAAATATCCAACACAATTGCAGAAAACAGAAGAACAGCATAATTTCGGCCAAGATTCTGGTTGCCACTTTCAATTGCAACCAGTGCAAATAACGCAATCCCAAGGTTTATAAGAGAAATTCCATTGTACAAAGCCCCCAATGATCCAATCAAAGCGCACCCAATCTTCAAACATTGTTACAACTTCCATAAGTTAAAAATACGATACACATTGCACATAAACAATCGGATTCAATGCTAACAATTATACAAAATCAAAACTCCAGGTCCTCATTTGGAAGCTAGGTCAAGGCTATCTTGCAGAAAAGGATTCTAATGGCACAAAGCCGTTCTCGGTCGTCTGTCTTAATAAGTTGAGCGGATTCCGATCTCGCTTTCATAAATCATAGATGAACATATAAAAAAATATCGATAAACAAAACGAACACAAATACTAACACAAACGCACACTGAGAGCGAGAAATATACTTGAATGTGAATGAGGAACACAGCGAATGATTGAATCTTGTCGTAATTACGGAGCCATGTTTGTATCCGAGTGTTCAAATCATGACAAAGCATCCTATAAAGAACACCCGCTCCTCCCTCCTTCAAAAAACCCAAAAATCTGAACCCACACTCCGCCTCAACTAATCAATCAAAATTGAGAAAAACATAGATTTCAATCAAAGAGAGGGCTTCAATTAAGAAACGTAGATTACGATTGATGTATGACGATAACATATTATCCTTCAAAGTGGGGTTTTTCTTATCGTTGTCAGCGTTCGTTTCTTGCGCCTCTGTGTGTGAAGATTGAAATAGCGGGGAAAGAATTTCGAAGGGGAAGAAGCCTCTCATCACTGGCAAGAACTTTGCTGTTCTTTTTCTGTTCGTTCTTTCTGCGTTTGGGCTAAAATAAAATTACACTTATTACCCATATATTATACAATAATGGCATACAACCCCCTTAAGTTTTCATTAATTTACTTATGATCCCTCCATTTTTCATGATTAGCTTACATATCCAAAACTCATCATATTCATCTGAAATTGTATATCATTTCAGTTGTAGCCATATATGTGATGTGCTCTAAAACATCATATTCATGTGTATTTGTATATGATTTCAGTTGCATTCCTATATGTCATGTGCTCTAAAACATCATATTCATCTGTATTTGTATATGATTTCAGTTGCATTCCTATATGTCATGTGCTCTGTTTCATTGACCTAAGCATGGTTATGAGTGTGTGTTGGATTATCCACTGTTGTATTTACACTTAATTTCAATTTTATGACACACAATATATAAAATTTACATGAACTCATGGTTTATTAAAAATTATGATTTTCATCTCTATGGTTTGAAAATTGCAGTTTTCATTCCTATGATTAGTAATTTATTGCTATTTTTGTTCATGAACTAATTCTTACCTTTTTAAGTACAATAAACCAAAATAATAAAGAACTTTAAACCACAAGGACTGAAACAACGATTAATTATAAATCATAAGGTCGAAAATAGCAATGATTTACAAACTATAGAGACAAAAATCATAATATCTAAATTACGAGGACGAAATGACATTTTTTAACAAATCATAGGGACAGAAAACGTAATTTACTCAAAAAAGTTAATGTAGTTGTTCCAATATTGTCATTAATAAATAAACTTGGGCTTTATTGGCTCAAGAATGAAACTTGAAGGGGCAATTTGAAATGGACACGAATATTTGCTGATGTCATATGAAAATAACCCGAAAATGGAAGAAAAACGGACAAAAAGTGAGAGAGGAATCAGCTGAAAAAATTGGGAGATCGACGAACGGAGGAAGGAGAAGATGATCGGTGAGGTTGCCGCTAATTCACCACCTAGTGCCGCTGACGGGACGCCGGAGAATCAACAGCAAGAAAAGCCATGGCATTCTTATATTTCTGAAGATCTGCCTCGTACGGTACAGGAATCCGCCGATTCCGCCGTTCGCTCCGCCCGCTCGCTGCAGCAGAATTCGTCCACTCATATCCGAACTCTCCAGGTACTATATTTATGCATATGTATCATGTTCGTGTATGTTTCATTGCACGTACAGCTTTCCTTATAGTTAGGGCTTCCGTCTATAGGATGAATGTTTATATTCGAGAAATTTGATGTGTTTCGAAGGATATTATTAAGGATTAATATGATCATCTAAATTTGGAAATTTGATATACTGCACACTCTGAGCTTGTTAGTCTATGGGATGATTTTTTTGTGAATGGACTTTATCGGTTTTAGTCTGAAAACTAGCTTAATGTAATCATACCTATGTTATATCTAAAACAATGGACAAATTGATGTATAAATGATTAAGCATGAATGCATGATACAAGCTTGTGTGTACATGCTGATATTCAGGGTGGGGTAAGAAGATTGTCTATTCAGCAAGCTAGTTTTGTCATATTACTGAATTTATTGATTCCTGGTATCATGAACTTAAGCAAGGCTATTGGTGTGCTAGCTAAAGATGGGTGCTTATCAAGTAAATATCTTATAGCAACAATCGTGAAACGCTTTCAATCTCTAAGAATCATATAAAAATTGTGAACATACATAAGACCGTAGAGAAAGATAGCTTGATAAGCATTTAAAAGAATGCGTCTTGACTATGTGCTGTAAGATCAGTTTTTCCTCACCCTCTGACCATCAATGAGCTTCCTTATTTATGCTGAAGCCTGAAGCAAATGAAATATTCCTACATTTTTTATCAGTATACACTTATGAAACTAGAAATAATTTTTGTATAATTTCGCTAAACTGTGTCGAGGGGGAGGGGTTGAAAGTTGGCAGATAGGATGGCACATACCTCTCTGTGTGCCTATATTTTTTTCATTTGTCCGTCCCCCACCTCTCCTTTGCTTATAGTTGCCTTGACATTCAGGGTGGGATTAGATTGTCACATATCCACATAGATCATTACTTACGAATTATACTTGAGGTGTATACTATGATGGAAAACCTATTCCCATGAATTTTGGTTCATGTTCTGGAAAATCCTTGTCAGTCGTGTGAGCTTCACCCATCAAGAACCTAAGAGATTGGCAGTTCTTTGTTAGTATATTCATGCAACACAAGTTCAAACCATATTAGTTCTTCCTCACTTATTTATTTGCAACCTGATAGTTACATTTACCATAGTTTTGATATGTTCTTCGTGATCATTTATCACATAAAAGAAGACCTTCCCTACTTATAATGGTCATTGGCATTTGATCTGTACTAGTTGGTCTTCTTTTTTTCTAACTTCCCCGTCCCTTTTTTGATGCTCGAGATTAAAAATTTGGGAGAGGTTGGGCTAGTCATTTTCAGTATTAGTGATCTTGCGTTTGGTTTTCCTTTTACTAACATTGTTTGAACATGTTCTAAGTTCTATTCTTCATGTTTAACTTTCCAGGATCAAGTACTTCAATACACAGCACAGTATAGGAGTTATGAAGATTTAGTCTTCAATAAGATCAAAGGTCACTTTCTTCAAGATCTTCCAAGGGAATTTTTCATGATACAGACCTAAAATTTGCTGTCATATTACATTGTGTTATTTTTCATTGAAATTGTTTCTTGAACTTTCTATCATTTTTTAGTTGTTTCTTCTAGTATAAGATGTAGAGGATGACTGATTGTCATGTCAGCCAATTGGCTCACAACTCTTCAGTTGTTTCCATGATAGTTCAAAAACTTGTCTAGTTCAGTTAAATTTGTAGTTCTAGAATGGTGAAATGCTGGAATTAAATAATGCCATGTGTGCACACACATACATGTTCTCACCAGCATGCATTTTGCATTCTGTTAATTTAACAATGCATTTGCGATTGCAAAACATACTGCGTAGAGGACACTTTTAGAAATGCAAGAAAATATATCCAAATACCCTGCTGGAAATTGTATGGTCTGGTTCTATATCTTGTAGTTGTCATTGGTATCTTGTAATTGGTTAAGGATGCTCTTGATAACTCATCAGTGATGCTACATTTTAGAAGGCTCAGTTAATTGAGGTTTCTTGGAATAAGTTGCTAACTACTTTGATTGTCTACAGGCTGAGTTATTCTCTCTCTCATACGTTTGTTTTAACAGATCAAATAACAATTGCAAGAGAACACCCAACTATGTCTGCTGGAATTGCAATCACAGCTGGTCTCCTCCTCATGAGAGGTAGCGAAAGGATCTCTTTCCATTTGATATTCTTCAACTTGTTAAATGAGGCTTATGTATTATTCTTTATTGTAAAGTAGAGCCAATATATATCTTTTTTATGTTCACAACGGTTATTTGATAGGAGCTACTATTTTTCCACGTAATCATCTTGCTCGTTTTGATCGCCCATAATGTTTTTGCCTTGCTCAAAAACTTGTTTTGCCGATAACTAAAAGTCACTCATTTCAATTAGCACCGAAAATAGGATTCTAGTTGCTGAAACTTAAAAAGTGGGCGTAATGCTCTTTGGCTTTCAGACCAACGTGAAAATTTAAGGGAAAGGGAATACTTGAGCATATGCCTTAGCTCTGTACCAACCTATTAATTTAGGTTTTGAAATATTTATTCATCTTCTATGGACTAGGCATGGCCTGTATGAACAATTAGTGCCCCATATTTTTTTTTTGTCAGAAACCTAAAACTACCAGCTTTAAGTTCATAGTTTAAAGGCAAACTTGTCTTTCGTGCTTGCATCATAGCAACACGTGGTCGTTGTTCAACTGCAACATCCACTGTCATCAAGTATTTTGACGTATGCTATCTTCTTCCTAGTAGCACATTCTATTGTTTTTCTATAACATCCAAAGAAGTTGGTCGGAGTCACAGCATTTATCTGATGAGAAAGCTGCATGGCGGAAATGGAGGCATTTATTTCCTTCCCTAAAATATTATGAAGGCAGTTTGGTCAAAGGATCTCTGGGAGCAAATTCTGCAATTTTGGCGACTCTAGGCTTTCTTATAATTTGGATATGCTATTTCGGGGTCAATTTTTAGGAATAGGGCTACATAGTTATGGTTCATTTACGTTACCCTGTAGTTAAATTCAAGAAAAGTTCTTACAAATACTGAATACAAACAGAATAGAGTGTGTAGAAAAACCGTTGCGTCAACCGGCAAGAACCATGTGAATCAAGGAGTGTAGTGATTCACACGGTTCTCGCACAGGCCAAGTATGTTGGGTTCAAATTCATAAACAATTCTGTAATAGGTTAGTCTAGAAAATAATGGACGTGACAAGGCAAATATGTGTGTACTTTTTTGTACTGGTACCATGGAGTAAAGTTCTGTACCTTCAAGGGTCTTCGTGAATGTGTGTGTTCTAGTTGAATGTAATGACATGATTGGCCTATTTATATCTCTTGACTTCCTATATGCAGGCCCTAGAAGGTTCTTATTCCGCCGTACTTTGGGTCGATTTCAGACCGAGGAGGTGCTTACACTTTCGTGGTTCATCTGCTGGCTTATGATCTATCAGCTTACAATCTTTGCATTATCTTTTATGGAAACCTGCTTGCCACAATGCTGAAACCCATTTCATGTTCCAATATGGTCATTTTTGGGTTATATTTTCCCTAACATTCTTTTTTGGCTGCAATGTACATGCAGGCACAGCTAACAAAAGCTGCAAACAACGTAAACCATTTGACCATTTCGGTTCAGTTAATGAAGAAAGAGAGTGAAAAGCTACTTGAAAGGGCTGCTCTTGCTGAGAAAGATATGACTTATGGCTATACTGAACTAAGGTACACTGCTTGGCACGTTCTTACTATACACTCCCTCCATCCCGTGAAAATCACAATTATTTCCATTTTGTAATGTACCATAGCAACAGGGGAAGACCCAGTGTATTGGATACGGTGGCATGGGCCAGCGTTTTGTTCGTCCGTGTAGTGTAGAAAGTTATGGGGTCGTGAAAAGTGCCACCATATCAATTTGTTGTGTGCCACCGTTTATATTTTGGAACTACAATGAGAACACAAGTTTCCTTTGGTAGAGTTGGTTTGCAAGGCTTTTCTTTGAGCCCAGACCGAGTTCGAATCCCATTGGTGTCATTTTCTTAGTTTTTAGCTTTTAATTTCAGATTTATTACGTTTTTGAAAAAAAAATTGCAATAAAAGATTTGAACACAGGACCTCACGTATGAAAAGCAATGAATTAACCAACATACCAATGATGATTTTGTGGAAAATATCCCTATATTTGTTTCTTATAGTCAAATGGTGCCACCACTTGGAAAATTTTCTAGGTTCGTCTCTGCATATCAAAATGACTATTTAGACAAAATTTTAAGTAAACTTGCCTAGTCCCTAAAGTCATCATTACAAGTGTCTTTGGGATATTGACTTCGATCCATAAGATTTTCTTTGAATGAAAACCAAAAGTTAATGTCAAAAGCAATTTCTATCTATTTTTTCTTTGATGGAAGGGTATTGTAGACATCCAACTAATTGTCACACACTTCATCAATACTGTGTAGAGTCAAATGTTGAATTTTTTTCTCAGATGTAGGGGTCATGTAATTTTGTAATCTCAAGCAATAATCTTATTTACTAATTTGGTATGTAGGAATGCTGGAGGTGAGATCAAAAGTCTTGCTAAATCGGCTCACAAGGTCGAAGTTCAAGCCAACGGTAAGCTTATTTGAGTCGCATCATGAGGATAAAGTTTGAAACCTAATGTTTTCCCAATGATTGCCTCAATGGCCTCCCACCCCTCAAGAAAAGGAAATTAAAAAACATTTCGCAGGGTGCGTAGGACAAGACAAGCATGGGCAAAAATGCAGGGCGGGATTAAGTAGGACAAAAATGCATTTTTTTTGTCCCACCAAAATAGGTGGAACAAAAATCAGTAAGATGAGACAAGATTGGTAAATTGCTAAATGACTCGTGTCAAATTAAAACTCTAAAACCTTTCACAATTCTTTCACCTGTCTTACCACACTCTCATCCATACGAGTGAACTCCTGTGTTCAAGGCACGGCACCTCTCCTCTGCCAATGGGATGCATGCACTGATTTACCAACCCCATGATGACCGTGGGAGCGATGAGGTGGGCGCCTCAAAGGGTGGCTTCTACCGTCTTTTTTACTAAACTCGTCTGTCCAATGCTGTCAAGTGAAGTCTTGTTTGCATGCTAAATGCAGCCTCAAGAAAGAGGGGTTGATGCTAAATCACTTGTTAGCAGCTTAACGTGCTTAACGGGACTAACAACTTATTTGGTCAGCTATACATGTCCGTTTGGTAGTGGTTTAATTATATAGAAAGTGACTTATTCAGTAAGCTTCTAGGAGGAAGCTTTATGCAGAAAACCGTGTCTTTTCCAAACCTGCTCCTCCCAATTAAATAACAGGCACCTTCCAAACAAGGACCTTCCCAATCTAAACTGACAGATTAATTTACACAGACAGTTTTATCCATACAGGACTTGATGGAAAACCAGCCAAACATCCCCTTATTTCTTTATTTTAAATTAAATCTCTCCTGACAGTACCAAATACCAATGTATGCTGCAATGGAAATACAAATTTACGCTATATGTCCTACATTTTTAACAGATGTTATGGAAGTTCTACGAGAAATTCCCGGTAGAGAAGCTTTGCGACTGCGAGCAGAGGTAAAAGCCATCCCGCATATTATCAACCTATAGTTTTTTTTAACAAGAACTAACTTTCGGGTTCCACTCATTGATCAATCAGGTTGCTAATATGGCATCATCTCTGAAAGACAAGAGGCTTGCTATGAACAAAAGGATAATGAGGATTTCCGAGTTGGGTGTTCGTGTATAATTTCCGAGCTGCTAAATTCTTGGCTCAACATTTCGACAAACCAAGGTTTCTCTCTGGTCTCTTGCACTATTCTGTTTTCAAGAATGAAGCCAACAAGTTTTTTGCTTGGTTTCAATTGATACTCAGGGTGCATTTGGTATCCGGACGTGATAGAATAGGACAAAATAGAGCAGTTGTTCAGTGTTTGGTAAGACGAAACTGGACATGACAGAATAAATAAAATGACCAATTTATATATTTTGATTAATTATGTAATTTATTAAATATAATAAAATAAATATTTTTTTTATAATAAAATATATCATTAAAAAGTTTTCGTCAAGACGATTAAATTGACACCAAAGGAATGCGTATTTGATGTTTTAGAATAGACCTGGTTGTAAAGAGGAATGCGTATTTGATGTTTTAGAATAGACCTGGTTTTATTTTGAGGTTATATTGGTAAAACATAAGTCTGTTCCACCTTGTTCCATGTGGTAAGGGTGGAGGACGCTTGTTCCACTTTATTCTACTCCATTTCACATAAAAGTCCTGTCTAACATGGAACAGTGATCCTTGTTCTGTGCGGTCATGTCCAGTGTGCCAAACCCACCTTTAGTGTTGTTAATAATGGAATGTTGTTGACAATACATTCGAGTTTATTGGCTTCTTTTTTTCTTCACAGTGGATCGAGAGTGCTACTTCTTTGCTCAGGGCCTGCTTCCGATCACTCTTTCTTCACAGTCGTAATGGCCAAATCCGAAATAATATACAACTTGAGTACCATTATTTTATCATAAGATTTAGCGATTGTTGCCCTGATGAACTCTTAGCTTTGGACTCTTTTCGCTTTTATCATTGCAATTTTGCAATTGCAAGAACAAAACCATCGAGCGTATCCATCCGTGGAAGCAATTTTCTCGTGTTTTTCAGCTCGACTCTGAAAACGATCAAATTTTGTGGCTTTTGTATTTTGAGAAAGAGGTAAGCTTTATGTACATTCATCACTAAATCCTACCCCTTCAGACTCTACCAGGTTTGTCTTGCAAATTGCTGAATTTATGAGTAAAAACTCATCTTTAGTCAAAATTTAAGTATGGGTTTAAAAAGAGAAATTGGCCAAGTTAGGGCCGTTTACTAAACACTTACTTGGTAAGTGTTTACCGGATAAATTTCTTCATCAGATAAACATGAGAAGGGCCAAGAATCTTACCGGGTAAGAGCGACAAGAATGATTGAGAGTTTTACCCGGTAAGTGAGGATGACGACTTTTACCCAAGTAAGCGTTTATCCAGTAAATTGTTGCATTCGATATGTTTTGATGTACTAAATCTTACGCATCAAAATAAATCATAATGCTGACTCATATCGATAAGCGCTTATCGGGTAAGCAATTGGGTAAACGGCCCCTTAGTCATTTTAGATGAAATCTTCATTTTTAGCCAATTTTTCATGTTTAAACCAAAACAGTCAAGGTTTCGCAAGTGTCTTTCACCAGCTTGTGAAATGTACTTTTTATGAATAAAATATGATTATGATGGGTCATTTCGCAAGCCACTGAGGGTGTTGGTTTGAATGAACGGTTTTGAGGAATTTGGATTTTGTTGAAAGATATGGAATTATTGTTTTTGGTGTGTTTGGTATGTAGGATTTCAATTTCATTCTTTATAAATAGTTTATTAAAAAAATTAATGAGAGTAATTAAATTACTTTTTTATTAATTGATTATTACAAAATAAATGTTTTAAACTTATTATAAAACATTATTATATATAAATTTTATGAAATTCGCAAGCCACGGTTCCCATTTCACAAGCCGATCCATTAGAATCATATTTAATTCAGAAAAAAGTACATTTTACAAGTTGCGAAAGTAACACTTACGAATTCTTAGCTATTTTGGTCAATTTGAAAAAAAGTTGGTTGAAGAGGGTCTGTTCGTTAGCAACTTAATGAGGTTAATGGTATTTACACTTTATTTGGTCAGTTGTACATGACTATTTGGTAGTGGCTTAATTATATAGAAATTGACTTATTCAGTAAGCTTATAGGAGGAGCTTTAAGCAGAAAGTCGAGTTTTTTTTCCTTCTAAACTTGCCCTCCAAATTAAAAAAACACGTTCATTTCATCTATAGAAAATCCATTCCGAACATAAACTTTCTTAATCTATACAAACAGATTAATCTACACTTACATTTTTATCAAGGATGGACCACATATTTTTTTCAAACAGTGGCACCATTTGACTATAAAAAAAAATACATGGAAAAACATTTCAAACGGTGACACCGTTTGACTATAAAAAACAAATATACGAAAAAAAATTCAAATGGTGACACTATTTGACTAAAAAAATGACACTAACAGGCTTCGAACTTGGGTTTGGGGTGGACTAAAAACCTTGCAAACCAACTCTACCAAAATAAACTTATTCTCATTGTACTTTCAAAATACACACGGTAGTACACAACAAATTAATACGGTTGCACCTTTCACGAACCTAAATTTTTTTACCCTTCGACGGAGGAATAATACGGTGGCACGTGTCACCGTATGCACCACTATAAATCCGTCCTTAATTTTTATCCATACAAGATTTAATAGAAAACCACTCAAACATCTTCTTAGTCTAAAATGGCTTAGTTTGCTAAGTTCCCCTTAAATTTGTAGAAGTTAGATTGAAACCAACATAAAATAATAATGAAAGAAAGATGGTTGAAATAGGGTTGGAATGGTGTTTTCATTGATAGATAAAAAAAGTTGGTGGCGTGGATTAAAAACATGGCAATTAATTATGTAGTTGTTGGTATCTTATCTTTTATTTGTTAATTATATTTACGTCTTTCTTTTTCACAACCCAATTTCAGAACATATTTAAAATTCGTACGGTAAGTGCAAAGACACCAAAAATATATATATAAATTAGAATGCTGTGTTTTCAAGAAAATAATAATTTTAGACAATAAAAAATATTTCAAAACTTTCATTTTGGTATTTAAAATGTAAAGTTTTAAACATTTAAGTATCCGGGTAACGGGTTGAAGCATTAAGCGGTTACCATGCTGATGTGGCGAGTAATGTGGTATTATTATTTGTTATTCAACCCAATTTTATTCCATCACTCGTCATATCAGCATGATAACCGGTTAATGTTTCAACAGGTTACCTAGGTACTTAAATGCTTAAAACTTTATATTTTAGGTACCAAAATAAAAGTTTTGAAAATACGTTACCTAAAATAAGAATCACGTTTCTTTTTCATGCAATTTGTCTTCTATATATATTAGAGTTTGTCTAAACCATGTAATTGAGATAATATGGAAACATGGTAATTTGTGTAATATTTGATATATACAACACACTACTAATTTTTTTTTTTAATAAAGGTTGATATTTCACACATTTTACTCATAAAAATTAAATTGTTTTTTGCAACAATAGTTGGTTTTCTAAAAAAATTAAAATAAAATTCATAATTCAACAAAATTGCAACCAATAGTGTTTTTTTTCCATTTGAGTTGTGTGACACACATTAAGATCAAAAGGATACAGGGGAAATCTTATATTTCCTGCATTCATATTCAGGCGCTGTCAAAGCTCTTGTAGTGACAGACCGGCCATTTGTGATTGTCCAACGATTAGTCGGTGCGTATAAATTGGTTCAGATATCCACAATTACCTTAAAAAAAGTATAATGATTGTTTTGTCTCTCTCTCTTTCTCCCCTTCCTCTTCTTTCTTCTTTTCTGTCTTCCTCCTTCTTTCCCCTCGGGGTGCCTTGGTTTTTTCTGGTGGATGTGGTTCTCCCCCACCCGAGTGCGTATTTGGCTTGCTTTTAGCATTTAGTGTTTTCTCTTGATAAGAGGGGCCTCCCCCCTCTCCATCAAAAAAAAATATATAAGTAACATGGTTACTTGTTCATTTCAAACTTAAGAAGTAAAGTACAACTTATCCTGCACAGTATACAAATCAATTCAGTATAGAAATGTGATCACAATATATCTCAGATTAAAAATGACAAAGGAACCACCTCTCTCTGTCTCTCTGTCTCTCTCTTCAGTAATCATACTGATTCAAGAATGTATGCTTTTCTGTCCACAACCCACACTCCAAAAATGCTTCTGTTATTTACATTGGATTTTCCTTCATGCTATCACATGTGATGTACTTCCAAGGAATCTCAATTATCTGAAACATCAAACATACACACTAATACTACATATTATTCCAATTTGATCAGATAAAAACCAAACTAACCCAGTAAATCCCACACAGAGTATAAGATGTACGTTAGACGTATTGTTTTGGTCTATGCATCTAAATACAAACAAACTGTTTTTCTGCAGCATCCAAAGTCACTAAAACTGATCATACTCCTACTTTTCAAAGAAAACTTTCTCATCTTTGTTTTGGTCATAATTGACCATTTCCATTCTTTCAATTCCCTTTTCTTTTCTCAAACCAAAACTCAACCATCTTCTTCTTGTTCATTACTGACCATTTCCCTTTTCCTTTTTTGAGAAAAACCCAAGAAATCACACTAAAGGACACAAAACTTTCGCTGTTCGCAGACGGTGCACCGCTTGTTATTCAGGGGTCATAAGATTCGAACTCGTGATCTTTGAGTTCTTCCAAGAAACCTGTTTGGATTAAGCTGAGTTGGGTAATCCCTACGTGGACTTAAATTTCCTTTTTTCTTAACATCCAAGTTAAGAGAACTTTGTTTTTTCTTTATTTGTGATGATTTTGACTGATCATAAGAAAGAGGAGAATGAGAGGGTAACTTCCTAAAGTAGTGGGTCAGCTTCTGATGATGGGTGTATTTCAATACCTATTCTTAAATGTTAAAAATCCCATATTGATGTTTGCATAACGTAGCAACTACATGTAATCTGATCCAGCAAATCAAATCATGAAAGTATTCATCTTTAATTCTTTAACTTTTAAATCTTTTTGTAGCTTTTGCCTTATGATCATATGAAGATTGAATGAAGAAGATGAAGGATACCAAGAAATCTTTCAAAAGTTTATCTCAAACAATCCATTCTCTCCTGGGATTCAAGAACGAAACTACTTCTACCTGGGCTAATACCGTGTGTGACATTATCAAAAGCTTGCCATCAACGGCCGATTATGAGAATGATTGTGATGATTCAGTCAATGACCATGATCACGATGATGATCTTGATGCTTTTCTAATATCAAAGATACATGGTAAAGTCTTTCGATCAATCTGTGTTTTCATATATAGAAGTTAGAAGAAAAAGAACTTACCTTGGTGTTCCGTAATCATCTTTCTGAATCTAAATTTGTTTTCTTGATTGCCGACAGGTGAACTTGCCACATTGAATGAGGAGATTTCTGAATTGAGTGCACAGAGAAGACAAGTTCTTAATGAGTTTCTACAGCTGAAAGGTACTCAAATCTGATGAACTGCTTTAGATGATGGAGATGATAGAGATAGGTACTAGATATAAGGGTAAATCCAAAGTGCATGAAAATGTAATGTATTTTTATCTGATTCCTATTAAATGAAATTTACTTCTCAAAACCTTCATTTTGGTACCTCAAAGGTGATATGGTAAACATTTAGGGGCTGTTTGGTTGGTTCCTCGTTAAGGGCATGTTCTTTTGGAAGGGTGTCCCAGGCTATACTCGGACCAATTCCGGTAAATTGTGACTGCAATAAATCAACTCTGATAAACTTAGTGTCCACAATCGTTTTGTACGCCTTGAATTGAACCCTGGCAGATGAGATATTCCACCACATCTCCCCGGACCTCAACCACTAAGCCATAACCCTTTTGGTTTAAAGAGCCTCTTTGTAAGCAGCTTAATGGACTCACAGCTTATTCGGTCAACTATACATAACTGTTTGGTAATGGTTTATTGATATAAAGAGTAGCATTTAGTAAGCTTCCAGGGGGAGCTTTATGCAGAAAGCTTAGTTTTTTTCCGAGTCTGCCGTTCCCAACTAAAGACACACTCTTTCCATCTATGAAAAAATCCTTCCAATGAAAAACCTTCCTAATCTATACAGACATATTAATCCATGTAGACAACTTTATCCATACATTAATGGAAAATCAACCAAACAACACCTAAGTCCTGTATGGATAAAGCTGTACATGTGGATTAATCGGTTGATATGAGGTTTTTGTTTGGCAGAGTTTTTTCATAGATGGAAGGAGCGTGGCTTTTAATTGGGAAAGGCAGGTTTGGAAAAAACTTGGCTTGCTGCATAGAGCCCGCCCCTAAAAGCTTACTGAATAAGCCACTTTCTATACTACCAAACACTATTATGTAGCTGACTGAATAAGCTATAAGTCCTATTAAGCTCATTAAGTTGCTAATAAACTGACCCTAAGTCCCATGTACGCTACACAAAATAGGAATCTGACCAAGGTATGTTAAGTTTTCATGCAATCTCGTATGTAAACATGGTACCTAAACGTTCGAAATGCCACATCTAAAGTACCAAAATGAAGGTTTTGAAAGTACGTTACTCAAAACAAGGAATCAAGCCAAAGTACGTTGCTTTTTCATGCACTTTGCCCTAAATATAATGCTCTTACCTTTTTTTTGATATTTCAGGAAACATTCGTGTATTTTGTCGCATTAGACCCACCATAGATGGTGAGAAATTTAGCCGTCTAAAACCTGTTGTACCCGTAGATTCAAATGGTGTTCTCCTTAACTTTGCTGAGAAAAAGACAAAATTATACAACTTTGACACGGTTTTTCACCCTGCTTCATCACAAGGTGCTTTCCATTTCTGTGATTTCACCCTTCTATCCACACTTTACATATCTAATTGATGAATCTATCATGATCTTAAACTGTTAGATGAAGTATTTTTGGAAATTGAACCCGTTATCAAATCTGCATTGGATGGATACAATGTTTGCATACTGGCATATGGGCAAACAGGAACCGGCAAAACTTTCACCATGGTAACATCTTGACATAGCTATAGAAGATGCATATGGGTTGAGTTTCGTTGAGAATGAAAGTTATGATGAGAAGGGTAAGAAGGGATCTCCACTCTTAGATCAATCCTAACCGAAGAGAACTACTAGATCAACACTAATGAGATATGATAGATCAGTTCTCTTCTAAAGCGCAATTCATGGGTTCTTTGGGGATTAAAAGAGATCAAGGGTCCAAATCCCTTCTTATACTTCTCACTTTAACTTCTATTCTCACATGATCCTTCATCAGATGCATATTGTATTATTTGCTCAAACAAGTTTAAACCGGTAGATTTATAGGAAGGAACCCCAGATTGTCCAGGGGTAGTGCCCCGCACTATGGAGGAATTATTCAAGCAAGCAGCGGATGGCAACCATACATACCTATTTAGTTTCAGCATGCTTGAAATTTACCTTGGTCATCTCAAAGATTTGCTCATACCTCAGGCAAGAAAATCAACTGATCCTATGCCACCTTGGTGAGTTCAAAGCATACGATATGTGAGAGAGGTTCAGGGAAAACCCCCAAAAAAACGAAAAACTGAGGAACATCCTAATAACTGTATGGTATGCACATGTGCATACAAGTAATTGAAGATGTTTCCTGGTTTCTATGCATGTGTGCATGTTATGAACATTTGCATACCGGAAAAATTACTTACAAATTACTTGTATGCGCATGTGCATACCGTGCAGATGAATGGTTACTAGGGTGCTCCTCAGTTTTCCATTTTTGCGGTTTTCCCCTGAACCTGACCCTACAATATGTGGGAACATATAAATTCATTATGGTACCTCAGATGTGACATCTTAAACATTTAGGTACATGGTTTACATATTGAGAATGTATGAAAATGCACATTGCTTTGGTTTGATTCCTATTTCGTATTAACTACTGTAGTCTAAATGTTTTTTTTTGAGATATCATTTCCGGGGTACCAAAATTAAGGTTTTGAAAGTATGTAATGCAAATTAGGAATCATACCAAAATACGTTGCATTTTCCTGCAATTTGCCCTTATTTTTATAGCTAGTGTCAAGACAGACGTAAAGACACATACACGAGTTCCATTGATCTCAGTTGTGAATTTTTTTTTGACGATGTGGAATTCAAATTCAGTTGCAGACATTGACAATTTCTTAAATTGAAAACTTCTTACTTGCAGTCTTTCCATCCAAACAGATCCGAATGGTGGGATTGTGATAGACAATCTTGTATCGATCCAAGTCAGCAACTTTAATCATGCAATTAGCCTTTATAGGCTAGGAAGCCAACTCAGATCGACCGCTTCAACAAATTCCAATAAAGCTTCTAGTAGATCTCACTGGTAACCACTTTTCCTGAAATAAGAACATGAGGGAGGTTCAGGAGAAACCCCCCAAAAAATGGACAACTGAGGAACACCCTAATAACCTTTCATCTGTACGGTATACACATGTGCATACAAGTAATTGAAGATGTTTCCTAGTTTCTACACGTGTGCATGTTATGCACATGTGTATACCGGAAAAATTACCCACAGTTACTTGTATGCATATGAGCATATTATACAGATGAACGGTTACTATGGTCTTCCTCAGTTTTTCATTTTTTACGGTTTTCCCTGAACCTTACCCTAAGAGCATGAATTTCATAATTAAGCTTGATAAGCTGAAAGCATGATCTAATTAACCAAAATCTGGTCTATAAGGTTTCTGAGTGAGTATAACTTCAAGAGTCTGAATTTCTTAAAACTCTTCCCCTTGCAGCATGATACGCATATCAATGACTTGTTCTGATGCCACTGCGAGGAGAAAGATTACGAATAAAATTTGGATGGTTGATCTGGGAGGAAGTGAGCGTGTCCTTAAAACCAAGGCATGGGGAAGAAGATTTGAAGAAGGAAAAGCTATCAACCTCTCACTTTCTGCCCTTGGCGATGTCATCAACGCCCTCCAAAGGAAAAATAGCCACATACCTTACAGGTAATGGAACATGAAAGAATTTTCAAATGTTGACCTTTATAACAAAGTGAAGCTCCATTGCGTCACATTATAGTTTTGCATGTCTTCTTGTTTTCTGCATTCATCCAAAGAACCACAAGGCACTTTGAGGGGCTGTGTGGTTGGTTTTTCATTAAGTCCTGTATGGATAAAGCTGTTGTGTGAATTAATTTGTCTGTATAAATTGTAAAGGTTTTTGTTTGGGAGGGTTTTTCATAGATAGAAGGAGCGTGTTTTCTAATTGGGAGGGCAGCTTTGGAGAAAACTTGGCTTTCTGATACTGATTAAGCCACTTTCTATATCATTTACCAAACAGTTACGTATAGCTGACCGAATAAGCTGTGAGTCCCATTAAGCTGCTAACAAACAGGCCCTCTGCCAACATCAAATGCATAAAGCAACACTTTCCTTGGATACATGCATACCTAAGACCTGCTCAAAGTTTTAAATGGTAGTCCAAGCTCTAAAAACTTGCAGCAGCATCTGAATTCAGCCATTCCAAGTGAAGTATTCTTGTGTTTCAGGAACAGCAAGCTGACACAAGTGCTTAAAGATTCATTAGGTAATCATATTCAACCTAGCCAACCATTTTTCATATCTATCTTATGTATATTGATTGCATAATGTTCAAGAAATCTTTACTTACCACACTTGATAGCTTTTACCCTCTTTGCAGTTTAGTTGTTTGAACAAGATAGTTCAACAATCTTTACTTCCGACACTTGATAGCATAACGTTCAAAACACTCAGAGAGAATATGATAAAAGGGTTTCGACTTTTGGGTTGTTTCAAAAGGTGCTGAGCTGCAATTGCTCATCTCCTTTTATCATCTTTGCCAACATCTGCAAGTTGAGCAATCTGCAAAATCCACTGTGTTTTTCTGGTGCCCTGCTGATATGTAGACCAGTTTTGGACATGATTTGGTTTGGAGATCACTCATGAATGTCTCCTTGAAGAGCCTCCATACCTCCACATTTTCTTTTGATGGTTTCGATTCTGACGGGACGATCAGACCCGTCAGTCGCAAACAACTGGCCTAATTTTGAAAGATTTTGATGAGGGTTTCTGCTGAGGTTTTGATCCACCCTGGCAGGATTTAAACAATAAGCGATCAAGAATCGGTTTTGTTACAACAAATATTAATTACTTTGATCAACAAAGCGAACTCAAATTGATCAGTCTAGTTCGAGAAATTAATATCCATGAGGGGCTGCTGCGACCAAACCTGAATCAAACCAAACCTTTTTTAGCATTCTAAACTTAAGTGTTTCTTCATGTTGTTCATTTCAGGAGAGGATTCCAAAACACTGATGCTTGTTCATGTCAGTCCCAAAGAAGAAGATTTATGCGAGACAGTATGTTCTCTAAATTTTGCACTACGGTTGAGAAGCATTCACTTAGGGAAGACCGAAGCGAATGTGAGTTCATCAAATCGTAAAACGTCACTGTATCCTTACTTCAATTGCATAATTATGTGCAACACTGAGCACCAAACTGAAACAGGAAGCAAGAGCAATGAGGGAAGGAGCAATGACTAACCTGCAACGGGAAATGCAAAAGATCGAAGACATCCGTGACAAACTTAGGAAAGAAGTCAAGAAGTTGAATCAGAAATTGGAATCTCTAACAAAGACATCATCAGGTTCAAATGCTAAACTGGATGGGTTTCTATTGTCGTTGAACGTCTCGCAACCAAATGCAGATGAAATTTCTGCAATGCCACCAAAATCGAAGATGCCAAGTTTTATGAAGCCCACAATCTGCAGTACACGAAAATCAGGAACGGGTCATCAAACTTCATATAAGAAAGACATTAAACCTGCAAGAAGAAAAAAATTACCATTGTCTCGTGCAGAATCTGTGAGTTTTCCTATAAAGGGCATGACAGAAAGCTACTCGGGGAGCAGTATCTCGAGAGCAAGCTGCTTGACAGGTCTGAATGAGATAAATTTGGCAGATAATGACACAGAATACAGCCAAGATATGTCGCAATGTAGCTTCAGAACAGGCATAGGAAAACAAAGAAGTTCATCCAAGAATTCAACTGATCGATCTGTCCACTCAAGTCTCAGCGAGGATGCAGAATTCAGTTCCACAAGTGTATCAGACTCTAACCACTTGCTTTACTTACAAGAGCATAAAACAAATAGTAGCAGTCATGCTCACCAGAATAAGCGGGTTCTCTCTATCCCAACTCCTGTAAAGAAAAGTAAAGCCACGGAAAAGATGAGAAAGGGAAAATTAACTGGCAGGGAAATGACTGATTATAAGTTCACAAAGACAGTATCAGAAAAGCCAAGAAGTTTATTGCGAGCAGATGTAAGATTTGCAGGTAAAGCATCCAGATCTGACTACAACTCGTCAATCCCATCAACTGGCAGTACAAAATTAAGTACGGGTGTGGATGATTCATCTATCGAAGGTGACATCCATTATCAGATTATGCCATGCGATTCCATTAGTGACACATCTCATCAGGATGATTATGTTAATGGAGTCGATGGGACGGTTATATCACAAGTGTTCACACATGAAAAAGGGTATTCAGATGCCTATAAGTTGAAAGATGAATTACCTACCAATGTTTCTACATCAGATGCTGATAGCAGTGCCATTGGCCTTGCGCAAGTTTCTGAAGTTTCCTTTTCAAGATCAGAACTGAAATCACCTTCAGAAAAGGTTCCTACCGGCATGGGTGGAAACCATGAAGAACAATGTACCCATTCTCAATACTCAGTGCCTGGAAAGAAATCTTGGCTTTATGAAGTGAGAACTCCAAAATTTTCTGCTATTGACAATTTCGTTCCCAAGGATTTGACCAAGCTCTCGTCCCAAACACACGCAAATGCACAAACCAGAGGTAAAAGATTCTCCAATCAATTAATGTCTTTCTTTGTGGCTCAATCACATGCTGACCATTTCCTATTTTTCAGCATAAAGCATGTTCTATAACTAACTTGACTCTGAAAAAGAAGACAGCAGGAACAAGTGAAAACCATATGATTCCTGACTACATGAAATCAGTATGCCAACCATCTAACGTTCTTTAATTATCCATCTTGGCAGGGTTCTCAGATCTCCTAAAAGAAAATATTCTGATATTGTACAGCATTGTTCTTCTAGGATTGGGATTTGAAAGCTTGGGTTTTGAGCATGACTTCTTCCAAGCTTTAAAGAGTTAAAGCTTTCAAAATGTTGATAAGCTACATGTATTAGACTTTTTACATTAGTTGTGTGAAATTGTTGTCTACCACAAGTGGGACAGGACAGAAATGAGTCCCGTCTATGAACTAGATGTTTATATCCAGTATATTTATATCCTGTCGAGTTAAATTCTAGTATCAATAAACTGGTGTAGCAGCCAAGTGTCACGTGGATGTCAGTCTATGGGTGCTAAAAGGCGTTCATGTGATGGAAGCATCAGCTTATGGGATGATATTTTACAATATTATGCTACAGATTATAGCTGGAACTACCTTTTGAAGGAAGATTCATGACATTCAGCTTTTGTATAATGTAAATATATGGCAGATGTTGTACAGCGATAATATTAATAATATATTTTGTTTTTCTACATAGCTACACGCTGCAGATTCAGATTCACATGATATGTATAAATAGATATTTGCTATTGTCATGTATATGCATGCATATGTACATGGATACTACTTTTTAGCATATATTACAGAAAGTCAAGGCGTAAGGATAACATAACTGTCTGATCAAGAAACATGATGTTGAATTCCATAACGTAGTAGATAGAATACCAACTTCAACTTGTAACAAATGGCTTTAGGATGATGGTGCCGAATCTAACCTGTGCAAATGCCTTCTAACACTTATCATAAAATACATGCTTATCGAATGTTGATCAGCGAACACCTATCCTATCGTGTATATATAGTTTCGTAACATAAACACAAATTTCTATCAGCCACATAATAGAACAACCTCCGAAACCAATCTTGTATCACCCAGAATGCCAAGAGAATTGATCTGACCCCTTGCATGATTCTTTTGGTGGAAAAGTATATCCGACTGCTTTTAGACAAGATCACACTGAATAGAAATATCGTCAAGCAGGTTCCAACTTTCAATATACATGTACCCTACCACCTCCATTATTCTACTTAACTGGGACAAAACTTCAAATATTCTCTCAGATTGAGGATGTGATCTGTTTCCAGAAATAAACTCATGAACTCTACTATTCAATTCAATGCAACTCACACCAGACATCTTCTTCACACCAATATCCCTCATGACTTTCCTAGTCAACCCAGCTTCATTCCACTGGCCTGCAGCAGCATACATATTCGTAAGAAGGGAAAGGTTTCCACTATTATGTGGCTCCAACATGATCAGATGTTGCAAAGCTCTTTCTCCAAGCTCAACATTTCCATAAATTCTAGATGCTGCAAGAAGAGATCCCCAAATAGCTGCATTTGGTTCAAAAGGCATCAAGTTCAGAAGTTCTTGTGCCTCCCATAGGCATCCAGCCCGTCCTAGTAGATCAATCATGCAACCATAATGTTCGACCCTTGGTTGAAGCCCATACCTTGGAAGCAAGTTGTTGAAATGCCAATGACCCAATTCCACCAACCCACCATGGCCACAGGCAGAAAGAACCGCTATGAGTGTAACATCATTTGGCTTAACATGAGTTCTTTCCATTCTAGAAAACATATCAAGAGCTTCTTTTCCAAAACCATGCAAGGCCAATCCAGCAATGGCAGTTGTCCATGATATAACACATCTATCGTTCATGCTTTCAAAAACCTCCATTGCCTTATTTATGTTCCCTGATTTCGCATACATGTCAATAAGTGCATTGTTAAGAGGTATGCTTTTTCGTAAATTATGTTGATCTATGTAGCCATGAATCCATTCACCAAGCTCTAATGCACCCAACTGGGCACAAGCCGAAAGTGCAGCCAACATTGCAACCTCATCAGGGTGCACACCATCTATTTGCATTCTTCTAAAAAAAGCAACCGCTTCAGAGGGCTTGTTCACCTGAGCATATCCGGCAATCAAAGCTGTCCAAGATATCACATTTCTCTCAGGCATAATCTCAAATAAGGCACACGCTGTCTCAATCTCACCAACCTTACAATACCCAGAAACCATTGCATTCCAAGCCGCCAGGTCTCTAACGAGCATTTCATCGAACACCTTCTTAGCATCACAAACATACCCACTACATGAATACATCCGAACTAACGCCACTCCTACATGAACATCACTATCCAACCCAACACTAATTGCTTGACAATGAACACCTCTTCCCAAACTCAAACCACCCTTACCCAAACGAATCACAGCCTTCAACAAAAGAGGAAACGAAAAAGAATCAGGTCTCAACCCAATAACTCGAGCTTCATTGTAAACAAAGACGGCGTCTTTGACACGAGAATTACTCAAAAGAGCCTTGATCATGGTGTTGTAAAGGTATATGTTCTTGCACGTCTTATGAGAAAACACCGAAATTGCATGGTCCAAGAGACCCGTGATAGAGCAAGTGTCGATGAACCGACTGAGAAGGAGATTATCTTGATCAAGACCTCGAGTAAACATGAACCCATGAGTCTGATATACGTGATTGCCATTGGAGCAGTGGTCCAACAAGGAATAGAGGATATCTTGTGTTACTGTCGCTATGTATGGGGGTTTATGCTTCACGAGTAATGGGTTCAAAGGTGATTTAATTCGCGAAAGCATCCGAGAAAAATGGAGGGAAGTTTTCGTTCGTCTTTTATCGCCGTTAATCCTTCGACTGTTTATAGGAGCTCCGATTGAACGTATAATGTAAATAGTATTTTCCTTCTTCTTTTAACAAATGAATTTATATTTAATAAAAATTAATATTAGTTATTAAATATCATAAAAATATTATAAACACACTCCGTACCACTGTTCAATAATTTAAAAATTAGACAACAGTAATCTATATATATATCTATTTATAAAACAGAAACATACAATGTTGACGTGACATCTCTACATATCATTATTCAATATTCATACCTTTCTTTTTTCTCAATTTTTCCCTTTTATTTTAGGTTTTATATTTAATGTAAAGTTTTTACTATTCATTTTCTACTGTTACAATTCCTTCTCTTCTACATCTCTTTATCTTAAACTTCTTTGTTATTCTCCATCTTTTGATCCCGATAAGAAATTATGGATTGACAGTATAGCTGGCGGTATGTCTCTCTCTATCTTTCTATGCATCTATAGAAAGATATTAAACAATAATTATGGGTCTTTTACTTCCATTTTTTCGATCTCTCTATCTACTCTGTTGTATATGATTATAAGCAAACTAAAGGAGATTAGAGAAACCATATAAAGAGGAACATAAAAAGTCTATGACAAAGTCAGTTGCTGGAGTGTTAACTTCATCTTTGAAGTTCCGAGAAAACCAATTAAATTCCCCAATATCTCCAAACCAATTAGATGTCTCAATATCCCCATGAGATTGGATACAAAAAAACGTGGAATTGTATGTTTTCATTTTGAATTGCTACCTTAATTTTCCACAAAATATGGACTTTGAAGTCGATCTAGATATCTTGGATTGACAATTTTGTTATTTTTATTTTAAAGATTACAGATTGTTTTTGTAAACAATTAATTATTTATCTTCTATTACATTTTTAGGACTCGGGATATTCATAGAAGAAGAAAAAATGATAATTTCTCAATCTTTAAGCTAAAACATAATTTGATAATTTCCTACTATAATCACGTTCCATGTCACAATTTTATTGGATATTTCATTATAGAATGTAATATTCAGCTTTACATCTAATAATATACCAAATTGACATATGTTATTTATAAATTATATTTTTATTTTTCACAAGCAATATATTACACCTCTCTTTATTCTTATAACAAGACAACCAAAAGCAATAATTAGTCCTATATCTATAGAATGTTTTCTCTGTCATTTCACAATTTAACTTCTTTTACGCTACACATATTTATTTTTCTGTAACCAATGTATTTTAACTCTCTTTATTCTAACGACATTCAGAAATAAAATTGTACCATAATTACTGTGATACCTTTTAACACTTTATATCGAATTCAAACTTATTAATGTTTTCTTTCATCAATCAACTCGCATGGTAAAGTTACCTAGTTTAACTACAAACAACATGCTCAAGGCCCGGTAGTGATGAATATTGAATGCGCCTAATCTATATCTTGAGAAAGCATCATGAACCAGTGAACATCCAATAATTTCTATTGTTATTCAAAGTTTGGCTCTTTCGATTTTCAAAAAATGGTGTTCCATTTCCAGCCAATTAAGGGTCATGAAGTTAGATCCAATATATCGAAGATAGAAATCCCGAATGGCCGAATTCTAACATTTAGGGAGACCTTTTTAGCATAGGGGCATTTACAATTAAAGTCCTAGGACCGGCATGGATCGTGTTTGTGAATGTCAACGTAACAAGATGGAATCGAAACAGATTACAAGTGGCGAATTCTGATCAGTCCCTTCTCTATCTATCCTTATGAGGTTGAACCAGTTTCACAAAATTATCAAAGAGACCAAAAAAACAATGAAAGATCGAATTGAGGAGATGACCGATACAAAATATGCATAACGTACACTACCTTAAAAGGAACCTTCACTTATGTAAGAAGAATCGAACACATTATATATTTTATCAATTAAACTAAGTCTAAATCTGTAATAATTGAAGTTTAGGAACAAGATTCGTAAAATCCCCCAAACCATAGGGACCAATTTCGTAATTCATTAAAAATGACAAAAAAATATGGCGTAAGCCGTTACGTCATCTTGATCGTCCCCTTCCTCCGGAGAAAAACGATTCGCTGCATCCCAAGTCAAATTGACTTTTAAGTCATAGTCAAAATGAATTTATTTCAACCCTATTTTGGGTCAAAAACAATTATTTTTAAGAATTATATTTTATTTTTTTTAATTTGAAAAAAGCAAAATATTTTATTTGATTTTATTTTTATGTAAAAAAAGTCTGTATTTTCTTTTTTATATAAATCATATTTTAAAATATTGCATAAAAATACAATAATTTTATGCAACTATTAAACATTTCCAATTGTTAATATACAGTTTTTCTAAAATATAATATAAAAAGTTAATATCTTTAAAAAAATATTATATCCAACTTTAATATCTACTATGTTTTAACAGTTCTAACATTAACTATATTGGTATATTATTAAAATATTTAATACATTTAATAAAGTGTTATTTTTTTCATAAACATCTACTTTCATTACTTTTAGGGTCCATTTGATTTGCAGGAATTGATTTGGAGGGATTTGGATTTCAAATCCATTTCAATCCATGTTTGGTTTTCAGGATTTTTTGGATTTGAAATCCTATGATTTATTTGAAATCCCTCAAACATATGATTTTGAAATCTCACTTGGGTGGTTGGGAGGGAGACTCATGATACAAAATCATTTAGGAGGTTTTAGAACTATTAAGAAGCATACCCCTTTTTTTGTCACACAAGATTCATCTCTTAATGGTTCAAAGACAGTCTTTTAATGGAACTATTAAGAGGTAAACAAACAACCTCAAAGATGTTTCATATAAATAGTACCTATATTTCTATTTTATATTGTAATGATTAATTGAAATAAGCTCAAATGACCATTTCTTTTATTCAAATTGGTTTTCTAACTATTTTTTTTCCCGATTTGATCAAAATGTCACTACATCTGTAATATTGTGAACCTGGCTAAAAGACAAAAAAATGTCAAATTCAACAAGTTTACTGTCGCAATTGCATATATGTGTTGAATTTGAATTTTTTTTTGGCCTTAAGCTATCGTGGACCTGAATATACAATTGTATAGGATTATGATATTTATGTTGTATTACTATCAACTTATAACAACCAAAATATTATAGTCTTAGCGTACAAATTTTGGCGCATGATATTGGACATTGGTACAAAAGTTTGCTTATCAATTACTGTTTGTACGATACTTACTGGTCTAAGGAAAAAAATACAGTATCATACTAAATTCACTGATAATGTAGTATGTTTTAAGTTATTGAATAGAAGGGTACCTAAAGTTGGCTTAGGGGTTGTTTGTTTACCTCTTAATAGTTCCATTAAGAGGTAGCATCTGAATCGTTAAGAGGTGAATCTTGTTTGGTGGAAAAAAAAGTCTACCTCTAAATAATTCTAAAATTCTCTTAATGATTTTGCATCATGGGTTTCCCTTAACCATTCAGCGCCCTAATTTTATTGTAAACAATTACCAAACAATTATATTTCATTTTTCAATATATCATGAGAGCCTCTTAATCATTCTGACCACTTAATCATTCTGCACCAAACCATTCAGCAATTACCAAAAAGCCCTTAATCAGATATTGTTATCCTACTTAGTAATTTTATGTTTTACGAAGTATCAAACTTTAAACTGTTTTAAACTTTTTATTACAAAAAACTTATGATGTAATTACTTGGATATATCGAATGTTCGTTACTACAAATGGTACAATATGATGTGTTCTTTTATATAGTCTAAGATATATATATATATATATATATATATATATATTAACATGTGGTTTTGACTCTAAACTGCACTGTACTCAAACGTGTTTTATTTAATTTCGGTTTTAATAATTATATATGTTGACTTGGACATGAGATCACGTGAGACCAACTTATTTTTGTGAAACCATTTATTTGCACTTGAAACTTCACAGCAAAACGTTGTGTGAATATAACTTTCACAGTGTTTTTGCTGTGAATGTTTGGTTTTTCTTACCTTCACAACATTATGCTGTGAAGTTTCAAGTGTAAAAAAGTGGTCGTTCGGGTCTTATGAAAACATGTTAGTCTCACGTGAATCCAACCTTGTCGATTTATCACTACACATACCGATATCAATGAGCCACATGGCCCACTCTTGTCTGGGCTACACGTGATATTTCTGAATTTTGATGTCTTTCTTTTCCGTCCTCCAAATCCCTCCAGGAAACTTGTTCGTGGTAAAGACAAGATATACTTGGACCAGAAAAACCCGTGCCCAGATTTCAACTTCGATCGGGAAACAAATTGTTGAATAACGATTCGATTCAGGTGAGTTTTGATTCGATTGCATCAATTGGAAGGTGAGATCACCGTTGAAATCATTGAAGAAAGGATTAATTAAAGATCGATGTTGAATTTGAGTTCAATTGTGGGCAGATTTCCAATTTCACCGATCGACGGTTGAACTCATTCTTTTGTCAATGCCGGAGATCATTAATGTCGCTCCACCACCGCCGGTTAATCATCGTCGATGTTGATCGATTGTTGACTTGTGATAAGCGGTAAATTAGGGTCATAATCAACCACTCACGTGATGCACGTAGAGAAGAAACATCGTCCGACAAAACAAAAACGGTTGATAGTGAAATGAAATTAATAAACGCGATGGGAGAAAAACGTTTGTAGTGACGATGATGAATGACGTAAGCAGATACGTCACCAGCTTCGTCTCCTTGAGGCTTGGGGAAGAAAACGTCAGCAGTGAGGTATATCTATGTTCCAAGTCAAGGTCAAAATACTATAAAGGCTCTATTACTTTGGATGTCACTGTTTGAACAGCAATAATTGCATTACAAATAAATAAATAAATAAATAAATAAATATATATATATATATATATATATATATATATATATAAGATTTGATTCACGTGAGACCAAGGATATTTCGTGAAACCTGTAAGACCAATTTATGTTCATTGATCAACTTTATAAACTAATGATCTAATGGTCTAAAGTTGTACGGTGACAATTTTGTAATTATTGAGAAGTCTTGTGACAATTTTGTGATTATGAATGTTCAGATTGTACATCTAATCCGATGATTGAGAATTAGTCTTATGGGTCTCACGAAAAATCTTTGGTCTCACTTGATCCCAAGTCTATATATATATATATATATATATATATATATATATATATATAATAGTTTAAACAACCACTTGAACTTTATTTAAAAAAAGAGGGTGGTTAAATGTATTTATCTATACTATAAGGGTATTCGTGCAATGTAGTGAGATACATCTCGATTTTAGTGTTTTATTTTATTCTTTGTTTCTGTCGATGTTAGAAAACGGTTTTATGTGGTTTTAGACTAGCTTTATTTTTGGATAATATATAAACATGAAGATTTCTTAAAATTTTGAAAAATGACAAATTGCATAAAAAAGTAACGTAGTTCTAACTTGATTCTTATTCTGGGTAACGTACTTTCAAAACTTTTATTTTGGTATCTAAGATATAAAGTTTTAAATAACCGGTTATCATATTGATGTGGCGAGTGATGTGGTATCAAACTCAATATTATTTGCTGACGTGGTTATTGACATGGATTTTTTAATCTAAAATTAGTTTTCAACCAGTTACCCGGATACTTAAATATATAAAGCTTTATATCTTATGTATCAAAATGAAAGTTTTAAAAGTACGTTACCTAAAATATGAATCAAGTTAAAGTACGTTACTTTTTATGCAATTTACCCTTTGAAAAAAATATATAGGTATTAGTATCGAATTAACTATTTAAAAGTTTTTGTTTTTTATGATTTTTTTTAATTCAATTTTTTATTATAATATAATTTAATTTAAATTTAACAACGAAGTAATTTATTTTTAGTTTAATAGTACAAGTTCTTATAAAAACAATAGTTAAGTATTCTGTTACGACTCAATGATTATCCTAATTATATTTTAGTTTTTTTTTTATATTTAAAACGAGATGTTTATTCTTATTTGAATAATATATATTTTTTCTTCTAAAAATTTAATTTCAAGCATTATTATTGTTATGCCTGTTCATTGGTTGACATCTAATAGGGAACTGAACCTATCCAATCCAATGGATTATTGGATCGGTATGTTTCCGTCCATTGGATACTTTTATTGGATATCCATCAGATATCTAATTGATGATCCGTTTGGATTGGATTCATTCAGTGTGTTAATTCAATCCAATTCTCAAACAATAATACAAATTGATTAATCACTTTTAATGTGTTAAAACCAACACAAGAGAAGTTAAAAATTCAACGTCTCTCATAAAATAAATTTCAATTTAAGCAATTTGAAAATAAATAAATTGGATGATAGTTGGTTGGACAACTAGATGGTCATCGAATGATTAATTGGATAAGTACTTTGGAAACTGATCGATATCGTTTTGGTGGACTAAAATCCTACCCGATAAGTAAATAATAATATAAAATTTTACTGATAAGCACTCACTGGATAAGTGTTTGATAAACGATCTTTAAATATTAAAAAAACATTGTCTAATTTAATACGTAATGCTTACGTATTATAAATTTAAAAGCCGACATGTTTCTTTAAAATATATATTTAAATATAAATCAAAAATAAAAATTTATTTATGAAAGAAAAAGCAAAAAAGAGTGGATTCCGTGAAAAGGTCCACACGACCTCCCTTTATTGAACTCAAAGGTCCCCACATATATAAAATAAATCTTTATTAAATAATAAATCAGTTAAACCATTTAAATAAATAAATAATTTTGTTTAAAAAAATAAAATAAAATAAAGTGGATACAAGTTGCATTTATATTTTAATATTTATTGATTTAATTATTTAAAAGAAAAGGAATAGATTCAGTGAATGAGGGTAGAGGGGAAGTGGTGAGCGCTGACCAGCTTGTTGACCATCTCTGCATGTTTACTTTGAAGTTTGAACAAAACAAAAAGTACAGAGCACAAATATCTTTTACTGAGCCATGGACCCCAGTTATTTCTCTCCAGTGACTTCTGTATTATGAAATATTTGATAAAAATTTTAAAAATTATTTTTTATGCATGTAATAATGTTTTTTGATGCATATTATTTAAAATTTAAGATTGCAAGTAAATTATGCGTATGTATAAATTATTAAAACTTCATGTTTGAATTCGTGTAACTAACTGCAGATAAACAAAATCAAATAGAGGATAAACATCTCATTTTAAATTTAAAAGATCTAAAATATAATTATGATAATCATTAAGCTCCATTAAAATAATTAGTTATTATCTTTATAAAATATATATATATATATATTATTACACAAAAAATAAAAAAGTATATATTATAAAAACATTATCGTTTTCTTAAAAACACATAAAACCGTATTATAACATCGACTAGAACAAAAAAATAACGAAACACTAAAATCGAGATGTATCTCGCTGAATTGTACGAGTACCTTTCTAATATTAAAAAAAGAGTTAAGATCAGAAGCGTAAGAAAATTATTTTTTATGTCTCATCTGTCTTAGAATTATAGATTCATCTCCACTCTTGGATACATATTAGGATGAGATGCTTCGAGATCGACAAGGTTAGATGCATCGGATCAATCCCCGTATCAAACACGATTCATAGGTGGATTTGAGATAGCTAGAAGGGTACTCACGCAATGCAGCGAGATATATCTCGATTTTAATGTTTTATTTTATTATTTGTCTCTGTCGATATTTTAATACAATTTTATGTGGTTTTAAGAAAATAAAAATGATTTTATTTTTGAATAAAATATAAATTTGAAGATATCATAAAAATTTAAAAAAAATATTAATGTTAATATCAAATCAACTATTTAAAAGTTCTCATTTTTATGTAATTTTTTTTAATTTAAGTTTAATAAACGATAATTTATTTTTGATTTAATAATATAACATTTTATAAAAATTATAATTGAATATTCTGTTAGAATTCAATGATTATCCTAATTATATTTTAAATTTTTTATATTTAAAATAAGATGTTTATTCTGTATTTGATTATGTTTATCTGCAGTTAGTTACACGAATTCAGATATGGATCTTTAATAAGTTGTACTTACACACAATCTACTTGTAATCTTGAGTTTTAAGTAACATGTATCAACAAACATTACTTTTATACATAAAAAGTGGTTTTCAAGAGTTTTTGTCAAATGCTTTATAATATAGTATAGATAAGGTGATAAAAAGACCAGATTTCTTTTTACGCTTCTCATTTCAACTCTTCTTCTCACACAATGCTTCGCCCTCCTTCAATAACCTCATAAATTGAAGAGTAAATCGTAAATTTAAGGTAACTTATTCTTATTTTATTATTTAAGTAAAAATTGATTATCGACAATTCTAACTGACTCCACGCAAAATCTATCTTTAAAGATACCAATGTAAGTATTCCCTTAAACTCGTAAAATGCGTTAGAAGTATTAATCATCTTAATAAATACAACAAATAAGCTGTAATTTTATCAATTACATATACATATAAAGGTCAGTTTAACGATTAATGATTTCCAAATAATAATAATAATCCATTGAAATTAGTAATTTTAAATTTTCAATAAGGAAAATTACAGGAAAAAGTAACGTACTTTAGCTTGATTCCTATTTTGGATGATGTATTTTTAGAACTTCTATTTTAGTATTTAAGATGTAAAGTTTTAAACATTTAAGTACACGGGTAACCGGTTGAAACATTAACCGATTATCATGTTGATGTGATATCTAATTCAGTATTATTTGCTGACGTGGTTAGTGACATAAATTTTTTTAATCTAAAATTAGTCTTCAACAAGTTATTCGAGTATTTAAATATTTAAAACTTTATATTTTAAGTATCAAAATTAAAATTTTGAAAATATGTTATTTAAAGTTAAAATCAAGTTAAATTGAATTTGAAATAAATCCGCACGTGCACCGAATTACCGGGAACCATCTCAATGTCTGTGGACCCCACATGTCTAGGCCACACGAGATCCTTCTGTCATCTCCAAAAGCCCAACTCGCTGAATCGAAGAATATTCATTTGGTATAAAACCCTCCCATGGGGTTCCTCTATTCTCATCATCATCAAATTCCAGATTGCCGCCTTCAAATTCAATCATTTCAACCTCAATCAGCAACTAGATTATTGAATTCAGATACGATTCAGGTTATTTGTGGTTCCATTACCTTTGAAGATGAGATCGCCGACGAAATCCGTAACGAAAAGGGTTAGAGATGCTGAATCTGAGTTGAATTTGCCGCCAGGTTTCCGATTTCACCCCACCGATGAAGAGCTCATTCTTCACTATCTCTGCCGTAAGACGCAATCCACGTCCGAGATCGTTACCGGCGCTCAACCACCGTCCATCATCGCTGATATTGATCTCTACAAACATGATCCGTGGGAGCTACCTGGTACGTTTTTTTTTTCAAACTCTGCAATGGCCGCTGCTCAATTTACAGGTTAAAGTCTTAAAACAAGAGCGATTATTGATGAATTTTGACCTAAATTTCTTCAGTAATGGCTCTGTTTGGATTCTTTCCAACCCTATATTAGTGGCCGCTACTCAATTTACAGCTTAAACAAGCGTGATTATTGATGAATTTTGACCTAAATTTCTTCAGAAATGGCTCTGTTTGGAACGAAGGAGTGGTACTTTTTCACACCAAGAGACAGGAAATACCCTAACGGGTCGAGACCAAATCGGGTAACGGGAAACGGATACTGGAAGGCTACGGGAGCAGATAAACCCATTAAACCAAAATCCGACCCGAATATGACCATTGGCATAAAAAAAGCCTTGGTATTTTACTCAGGAAAAGGGACGAAAGGGATCAAAACCAATTGGATCATGCATGAATACAGACTTGCGAATTCAAAGCCTTCTCCTTCAAAACACACCAATGCCACAAGTTTAAAGGTGCGAGTTCTTGTCGAATGTCATTCTATTTTAAGGAAAATTGCACAAATAACCATTTTGGCCGATCAAATTTACATCTTAACGATATCTCTCCCACTATTTCAAGAAAATCAACACCTCTGCCTTGTCTGCAACTTGAGGACCCCATCAAGATTTTGTTTTCTTTTTCAAATCTTTAGTTCTTCCGCAAGTTAAGGAATGGTTATTGTGGAAGGTGATGACTTTGTTGAAAATTTGGGAGGGAAATAACTAGGAAGTGAATTTGGTCGGCTAAAATGGCTATTTGTGCCATTTTTCTTACTTTATCATTTCAAAATTAAAACCCCAATTGATTCTTTGATCGATTTTGACCGAAAAACGTTTTGATTCTTACAGTTGGATGATTGGGTTCTATGTCGTCTTTACAACAAGAAGAACAATCCAAACGAAAAGATCATACAAGACGATAATCATCATCTTCATCCTGCATCACCATTAGATGAACTACGAAGGAGTAGTTGCTACAACAGTGATAGTTTAGATTCATTTGAAGAATCAGATGGTGAATTTAGTGGTAATTTTGGGGGTGATGTAACTTCTCCAAGTGATTTGCAACATCAATCATTCACTGAAGTCAAAGGTACAAGTGATCAAAGCAGCATGGAAGTAATGGAAACTTTGATGAAAAGAGAGGAGCAGAATGATGATGGAAATGATTGGCTTGACAGTTTGAGCTTGGAAGATTTGCAGCATTGTTTGGAAGCAATGCCTCCTAATCAAGATTTTTATGAAATCCCAATGATTTACAACTCAAATCAGCAATATTTTTTCAATTAGGGTTTTGATCATATTAGGAATTATGAGGATTTGATTCATGAGTTTTGGGGTTAAGTTGATTGATTCATGGCGTTGAAACTTGAAACACCCAAATGTTGATTTGTTTTTATATGGTTAGAGAAAATCTCTGTAAATGTTGTAGCTGTTCTTTTTCCAACATGTAAAATTTTGAGCAATTATTAAATGCAAGAAATTCTTGTTATACAGGTATAATATATACTAGTATGGGAACAACATGTTATGCAGTAGCATGAATATTTTGATTAATGATTTAAAGATTGTCTATGTAAATATATGTTAGTTGTTAATAGAATTGTCAATATAAATAGTATTCAAATAATTCGAAAAAGTTAATAAAATCTAATTAGTAAAATACATATATATATCTATATATATATATATATATATAATATTGTTAATGTTTATTTTGAGTTGTTAGAATAATATAATATTGTTTATAAAATTTTGATAATAAATTTAATATATAAATCTGTTAGCAATCACTCATCACTACTACAAGGCATCTGATTGGTTGATTTTGGTTTAAATATATTCTTGAAACATTAATATAATACAGAAGTCAATGATTTTGGGTCAATTGGCTGCTACCATTAAAAAAAGGAAGTATTAGTATCTCTAACAATTTTTTATAATTCTTTTAAAATATAGAAATAAAATTCTTAGCCTCAAACAATTTGATTCTATTTTAGATATCATAACAATTATTATATTATTAAAATATTATATACATTTAATAAAATATTATTTATCATTCAGGGACATTTTTAAAAAAAATTTTATCGGTGAAATATAATTAAAAAAATGTTTCTCACATGATAATAGTTTCTGAGGAGTTCTTCAAATTCAGATAATCACGTCCTCTTATTTCTTAATTTTGAAGAATCAGTTAGAGCAAAAAGTTGTCCAAAATCTCAGTTTTCTCAATTTTATTAAGATCATATTCTTTAAAATAAAGATTTTGAAAAATTTATTATCAGCAAACCTTTAAAATTTCTCCAAAATAGAAAAGATAAGAAAGAAAGTGAAAATCTTTAAATTTAGAGAATATCGAAAATTAAATGTTGATCAAGAAAGACTTCTCAATTATTCAAGAAGATGGTCCACAACCGACAGTTTCAAGCAGTGTCATCAAATCAATTGTCAAAAAGCGATAGTGAAGATTCTGCAATATCTATTATGGACAAAATTTGTTCTTGTAGAAGTGTTGGAAGAATCCAAGATCAACTTGTACAATGGGCCATTATCAAGATCAATAATCAAGACCAATAATTCAAGATATTGAATACCTGTCGTTTGTAAAAGATAATTCCGGTAAAACCTCACATCTATCTAAGGTTGTTTTTCAACAGAAGAGCATCAAAATATATAAAGTTTTTAGAAGTTTTCCACTTTATGTCTAAATATTTCCAATGATAAGATTGCAATCTCTACGTCCCAATGTTTCAAGTCCCTAGATCTTCAAATTCGATCAAAAAAAAAAAAAAAACTGAGAAACACTCTAGTAAATAACTGAAGCCGTTTCTTGATTTTTATGCATATTATGCACATGTACATACCGGTCAAATTGTTTACATGTTACTTGTATGCAAATGTACATACTATCTAGATAAACAACTGTCAGGATATTACTCAGTTTTTTATTTTTTTTACTGTTTTTCCCTGAACCTATCATTTGACCTGCTTTTGATGTAAATGGGTGTGCAACTGTGCAAATAGCAACACCCACTAGAGTATAGAAAATTGAAGTAGCAACAACATCCAAAAAAGTTTAAACTGATATTTTCACATTCTAGGGTTTGGTTTTCTTAGTATTCCACATAATTGAATGTTATTTCTATCTTTAACCTATGAGTGATGGGTGATTCTGAAACACCCTTTTGAGGACCAACTAGTATCTACAAGTATACACCTGAAAATATAACCATTTACTTTTTACTTAATATTCCTCTGATGCAATCGGTATACGCACCCCCATCCGCGCTCTTTTCCTTTTTGGATCGTTGCCAACAATACTTTCAACAACTCCACGGCCTCTTCTTTCGACGAGCACTCCAAATTCGTTTGAAAAAGCGGGAGCTGCGTAGGTGTGTTGTGCCATCGTTGCTTCCCCAACGTCCTCACACCTCTCTTTTGCTGGTGCTGATTCTGATTCTGTCTTAACACGACATCTGAACTACTTCCTACTATATGCACGACTTCTTCATCGTTATCCACATGGATTACGCTATCCAACGTGATCTCGGCTTCTATAACCCAATCAAGATCAGCAGGAACACCGCGAAACTCAGGCTTACCCAAGTTTACAAGACTCGAACAGCTAACAATCAAGATTAGTCGCTCGGTGATGATGACGAATTTCCCGCCTTGTTTAAGGGCTTTGGAGAGGACTAGCGTCTCGTCTTTTAACATTAAGTTGTCACCGATATCAGCATCGGTATCAGCGTCAGCAAGTACGGAAACACCAACGGCTTCCTCCCACAAGTAAGGCCTCAAGGGATGGTCCCGGCTCAAAGGCCTTGGGAGACGTACTCTTAGACGTTGAGATCCCATGTGATAGAGTCTGCTTCGGTTTCTTATACTCCGTGCTGTCTTTTCCGTCACTTCAAGGATACTGGCAGCTGGTCTAGCCACAAGTCCAGTTACTCCAAGAGCTATACCTGCCAAAGGGAGAAAGATTTATCATTGTTACTCCCTCCGTCCAAAAATAAGGGGCAGTTTGGTTGGTTTTCCATTAAGTCCTGTGTGGATTAATCTATCTGTATAGATTGGGAAGGTTTTTGTTTGGGAGGGGTTTCTCATAGATGGAATGAGCATGTTTTTTAATTGAGAAGGGCAGGTTTAGAAAAAAACTTGGTTTTCTGCAATAAGCTCCCCCTAGAAGCTTACCGAATAAGCCACTTTCTATATCGTTAAGCCACTACCAAAAAGTCATGTATAGCTGTGACCGAATAAGCTGCGAGTCTCATTAAATTCATTAAGCTGCTAACAAACAGGTCCTATACACATTTGTATATTTTGTCCCGAAATAAGTGTCCACTTTCAAAATGCCTACTTACCAATTCTACCCTTAATTATGAGATGAAACAATTCATTACTCCCTCTATAATTAAGGGTAAAATTGTCATTTCGTTAATTAAAAGGTGTAGCAATTACAGGTTTCCAAAACCCTGCCTTTTCAATGTGAACATTTATTTTGGGACAAATGGAGTAGTATTATTATGACGTAGGAAGGACATATTATATCAAAAGAGGTCATATTTTGTTCTCATATTTAGGATTAATATGATCACTTGAGACCAACACTAATACTCTCAAGGTAGTTTTTCAAAAGTTACAAACTTCTATAACATTTTTTTGCATAAAGTCCATTACTTGCTTAGCAAGTTCAGAAGTAGAACTGTATTATAAATATGTACCTGAGAGGACTCCTGGAAGACCATGTTTTTCAGCTCCTCTTATTGGCGATTGGAGAAGACCAGTGAGCCCCTAAAACAAACAAACAAACAAACAAAACAAGATTAGAAGACATGATGGTTACTGAAAAGAAAATTGACTGAAACAGCTAATCCCATCAACCAAAATTCACTTTTTAGCCACTTTAATCAGAGCATCTTCCCAAAATAGCCGGTCTTTACGCAAATGCTTTACGCATGTGAATAAAGACTGATTTCTGGAAAAAAGAAAAAGAAAAAAAATCCTTACGCATATGTGTAAGGATTCTTTACGGAAAAATTCTGAATCTTTACGCAAAAAAATATTTTTCCATCTTTTAATCTGAAAACTGAGTTTAGGCAAATGCCTTGTGCATTTCTGGCTAAAATGGGAATTCAATTGAAAAAATGGCTAAACCGTAAAGCTGGTTGGAAAGATTGAAAATTTTGGTCAATTTCCCTACTAAAATTATGCAATCATTACATACAATAGAAAACTAAGATTGATTTCATTGCATATAAAGTTTTTAGACGGAGCCTGGGTCATAAACATGGACACTATTTCTCACATGAACGGATGAAACAATTTGGTCTGCCTACGTAAAAAGAACATTCTTCTTGCATTTTCAATTGTGGAACTCTATAAAGCCTGCAACGGTAACAATTTGGTCTGCCTACCCCTGCCAATTAAAAACACTCCTTTCATCCATGAAAAAACCCTCCTAAACAAAAACCTTTCCAATCTATATAGACAGATTAATCCACAGACAGCTTTATCTATGCAGGACTTGATGGAAAATCAACCAAACAACCCCTTAAGAAAGGGAGTAGTAGCAAGAATAAGACTACAAGGGAGAAATAATACCTCCAAAATTTCATTTATTACGCCTTTCCCATGAGATGACATCCCCTTCTGTTGCCTTTCCATCTCACTTGCAGTTGGGTCATCCATTGTAAAGGCAACAATACCCTGCCAGTATGAAATCTATGACACCATGTGCAAAAAGAATTCAAAAGGTAACTGGGCATTTGAAACATTAAATGTACACCTTGTGTGCCGCTCTACTGACTTGGGTGGCAGCATCACTTATGGCATAAACTGTATTACTAAGAAGGCTGGTAGTTCCTTGTGCCATGCCTGTGATAAGTCCTGCTGGGCTCTGCAAAAGCAGTTGTTCAACATATAGATTAAAAGGAAGGCATGATTATTTGGCAAAGTGCAAGCACTGAATGGTGGTTATTGAGAATCATTGCTTGGTAGGGCCAAGTATATTTCTTATATTTCCACTAGGGTGCGTTTGGTACTCAGACTTGTCTAGACAGGACAAGACATAACAAGATAGGATAGGACATAACAATTATTCAGCATTTGGTAAGACAGAGCTAGACATGGCAGAACAGGTAAAAGGAAGATCTTTATTGCCTAGGAGCATGAATATAGTTTTTTTTAAAGGAAACCAGGCAAATTTTATCGAGCATGAATATAGTTAATAAAAAAAGATGACCAATTTACCCCTAAATGAATTGTTTATATCTTTTTATATTTTGATTAATTTATGTAGTTTCCAATTTTCATTTTATACCTTTTTTATGTTTTACTATTATTATTATTATTATTATTATTATTATTATTATTAGTATTCAATAAATTACATAAAATAATCAGAATATATAAACCGTACAAAATAAATATTTTGAGGACAATAAAGTGACAATTTAAAGAGCATAAAATACAATAATTTTTTTTAAAGAATGGATAAACTGTAAAGTCAGAGGTGTATGTGATGTTTTAAAAAAGAATTAAGTTTTATTTTGAGGTTATATTGGTAAAAATAGGTTGGTTCCATCTTGTTCCATGGGGTGGGGGTGGAACCCGCCTGCTCCACTCTGTCCTTTTGTTCCACATAAAAGTCCTGCCAAACATGGAACAATGATCCCTTTTCTGTTCTTTCCTGTTCAGTGTACCAAACGGACCCATTACAGAATATGACACATTTTTAGACTAGGTGTCAATTATTTTTTAGGATGCATTCAGGGCTTAAACCTTACAGGAAACCCCTCTATGCTGTTTCCAGAATCCTGATAGCTGTACTATTTCTTAAAAGTAGAAACATGGACATCAGTTATGCCATAGAAAGCAACATGATAGTACCTGCATAAAGCTCCTGGCTGGAACTGACAGAAAATCTTTGATGCCAAGTCCCACACTCCTTGCAAAACCCATGGGATTACCTATTACTCCAGCAGAACCAAATACCTGAAGCAAAATAATCACAACAGGTTTAAGAATATCATTAAACACACCAAAGGGTCATTGGCCGAACGGTAACCGGTTTACTAGTATAGCCCACCCTCTCAAGAGGTCAACGGTGTTATTTGCTGTATACAAATATTATTTACTTATAAATATCATTAAACAACTTGAATTTCATATGTTGGTGCTGCTACAAAGTAAAGAATGCAAAAGATTAGCACAAAGGACCATAGCACAAAAGGGAAGCGAAAAAAAGTCAAAGAACAGGTATCGTAAAGATCAAAGACTAGGTTATAAGAGATGTCAGCGATGTAAGCCAAGCATACACACCAGAATTTACCCCCAAGGTTGTTAGGTAGCAAGTAATTACATAACTAGGATGAAATGTCCTGATGACCATAAGCCAACAGAATAAAGATATATTCTATATTACCTTTACAAAGCAGATGAATTTAAGTAGTTGGACCCCGAAGAAAGATCATACATTGAAATATCACAAGCTATAGGTAAAATCTAACCTTATACATCTCATGAAGAAGTTGTCGCGTGTAATGTATGATCAAGATCTCTCGGATGGATTCCAAGCTAGCCAACTGATGAGATATTGCAAGTCGCCTGAGATGAATTTGGGCCCCTTCTACATCAGCAAGAGCCATAAGACCCCTCTGTACACAAGTACCCAAATAAGTAGTGTAGGGAGCATTAGATACTAGAATTTGATTTTTTTTTTCAATGATGCCTGATTAAATCCCAAAAGAGTGAGAAACAAGTAAAGTTTCTGAAACTGAAGCACATCAGTCGCTCCTTGTAGAGAGGTAACTCATAACATGGCGCCGGAAGGTAAGACAATGGTAGCAAAAAGTAAAGTGCTGCTACATGTTTTTTCTAATGGGGTGATATTGCCAAATGGATTATGTCGTTTCCTTTACCTTCTCAAGCAGCTAGTTCTATAAAATATTTGGTTTATCTAAGTGGCCTAGCAGATGACTGGAAAAAGTTAAAAAAGTAGGTGGATAGGATATCTTTTGAGGAGTTGAACTCCATAAACACAAGACTGAGTCAACAAGAAACCGGCTCGAATACAGAGTCCAGGCACTAAGAATAGCAAGAATTCATGAACAAGGACCCTAGAGGCTAGGAAGGCAGCAACACCCTCTATTGCCATAGGAATCTGAAGAATACATAAATTTGGCATTTATTTTCCACCAAAATACCCAATAACTATAACCAGGATAAGGACCCTAGCACCGTCTAAGACTGAACCTAACATGTTGGAACAAACATATAGTTGGATAATCATCCCAATTGTCACCCTTACATGGATAAGATATTCTCCTGATGTAAGAATTCCATTCCTTAGCATCCATGGACTGCTCGAAAAGCTGCAATAAGAAAAATCATGCCCATAAGTGAACATATATGCACATCTGGCCTCCTCTGTGAGTGTGATTGCGTACTTTAATATAGGAGCTGAATATTACACATGTAAATGCAAAAAATGCAAAAGAGTGAATCACCTTAGTGTCAAAGTAACAGGGGCTACTTCAAGCAGTTCAACATATATTTTCTTCTGTTTTCTTGCAAGGAGGTAGATTTTCTGCCAAGGAGCTCCAATTGGCATTATTGATGGTAGCAAAGGGCAGCTTTGACTGTCAACAAACATAGGAACACTATTCGAATGAAGATCGCCATCTGCCTTTTCAGTTTGATGGGTCTCAGAAAATTTACTTGTCAGATTTACACTGAAGTTCGAAGAAAGAGGATGCTGGACTGAATCCGTGAGTGGCATCGCTCTGCTATTGAACCTCGAAGATACCGTCTTAAAGAAGTCAAACAGACCTAAGATGACATCTTGCTCGAGCTCAAGATGAAAATCTGTCATTCTGAAGCAGAGGAAATTATTAGTAATTCCTCAAATCTAGGGCTATCTGTTTACATATAATTAATTGGACTTCAGCAGCACACACCTTAAATTTATATACTCAAATGAAAGCAACACTCTATCTTTATTCCTCCATTTTGCTGCACCCAAAGAGAACACAGGCTCGCATGAACTGTCAGATACACACTGTTTCTTACGTTCGCCTTTGACCCTCAAGCTATCATCTTTAATTCTAATATGAGAGGTCGGGATTTGTTTGCATTCGTGGTCGAAAGATAATATAACAGGGTAAGGTGTGCTTGGCAGTTGGTTATCAATCTGCAGAGCAAAAATTTTCAAGGAAAATTTCTGCTGGTCCAAACTCTGAACTAGATCAACCATTGTGTTCCTTGCACATGCAAAAAGCAACTCCTACAAATGGGGTGACTCTATAAGAACGGTAAAATGAATGAATTACCCTTAATTTGTAGCAAATCATCAGAGTAATGGTACCTGCGGTTGAGAACTCATAACAGAAATCCCAATGAAGGGAATGGCAATCGATAACCTTTCCTTGTAAAGAACAGAACTTTCCTGCTTCTGGTCATATAGCCGAGGAGAATGTGGGCTCTTTATATCATCAAAAACATGATAACTTGAATCAATGATACTGAGAACCTGAATGATAGGAAAGATACCTCTTAGACAAAGAACTGTGCGATGAACATCAACATTTGCATCTGAAATACAAGATTTATACCTTCAATGCTCCTTCAGCATGGACAGATAATAGCAACTTTCTTTCAGGTTTCTGCCAAATGGAATCATCAAAGATGGTGAGTTAAGATTAATTAATAAATTATTAACACTAAAAGTAGATTGTAGCCAAGTAATCGCCGAATATCCAGGAACCATTACAATATATAGACATACTTCCTATTGAATTAAGACCTAATACACTGAATGGATTAGCTGCAACATGCACACTTTATAGAGCTCTAGGCAATGATCAGTAAAAATGGCAAGAAATCAAACATGCCTCTCATGTAAAATTGGGCACCAAAATGAACCTCATGCCTAGAACCTCAGGGTCTGAGACACAAGCCTCATTCAATCCACTGAATCCCAGCCAAGAAGATGCCTCAATCTTGAGGCTAAATATTCCTTAGTCCCAGGCATGTGTCTAGGTGCACCTTCCACAAAAATGGTATTCGCTTTTGCTGTGAAAGCCTCAACAATAAAACAACCATCTAGAATATTTTCAACCTCTATGGCATGAAATAGTTGGATAATCCATACCTCGAAATAGGATCAACTTAGAGGAGTTTTTAATCCATATCCTAATCCCAATGAAGGGGTTGTTTGTTTTTTGGCTTAATGGGCTTAATGGCCTATATGACTTATTTGGTCAGCCATACATGAGTGTTTATGGCTTGATGATTAAACTATAATCTACATTGGCTTTATGCACTCAGCCAGAACGTCCTGGCTGTCTGGATTCAACCATTTACCTCTTAATTTTTTCCACCCTTGCACTTCTCGCGCAACCAAAATTCTTTGATATTCATTCCTCCTCTAGTCGATCTACTCCTCCCTCTCTTTCATATTCATACCCATTTTGACTCGGAGTTTGTCGTATTCTGGAGCAAGGCATTCTCGAGGATAACCGGGTCACCATTGACCTCATTTCCCTCCTGAGACACACTGGTCTCATTGTCAGATTCTGGGGCGGGGGCATTCTCGACAACCTCGTTTCACTCCGACACTCGCTGGTGTGACCATCAAGGTGCATTCTTGATCGATTCCCGATTTGCAAAGAAGACCCATCACTCTCATTTTAGAAAGTAAACACCCTAAACCCTATAATTTTTTTAGCCTTACTGATTGGTTAAATTTCCATTGCTACTCATCATCCACAATTATGTGCGTATGTACGATGTGTAGATTTTTACTCAATTTCTGGATGTTGATGAAGAATTTTCTGAGCATGCACACACGACCCGCAAAAGTATGACTGCTGGCTGGAATTGTTATTGCTGATTTTGGGGATTTTTTTATTATATTCATCAAAGAGTTCACTTTAATCCGTGCTTAATCTAGACAGCAGGGGAAAATAGTTATTTTGTCATTCAAACTATTTATTAAAACACAACAAACAAACAACAATTTAGCTTAATCCATACAAACAACTTAATCCATACAGCGCTTAATGGTAAAACAACAAAATAGCCCCCAAAGTGTAGGATGATGAAGCACTTAACCAATCAAGCACAGGAATCTAGGGGCAGTTCTGTAGCATAGAATATATTTGTACACCTAGAGAAGTAGAGAAAGGGTCTAAGAGGTTTTTTAGAACATTGATCATTGTTGATATGTGGGAAGGACACCAAAGACCCTACAACACTGTTGCAAAGTTTTGGGACTTGAAAAGAGTTCTCATATTCTCATTTACTTTTTAGTAGTTCAAAAACTCGGGGCTCTTTGAGATATTTAACATCATTAGCCTACCACTGGAGTTAACCTTACTACAGTTTCTTACTTTGTCTCTTTAATTTCCTCACTGGCTGAAGTTAGTCAAGATGTTAATGATACCTTCAGGGTCATTACATGCAGTATCATTTTCTCAGAACACTGGTACCTCAGTAATGCTTATAGATTTAACCTCTTGTAGGTATTTTTTTTAGGATAAGATACAGTTAAAAGATTACCTCTGAAGTTGCAGGTAAACACACAAGTTTGTACTCTTTTGCATCATCAAGAGTATATGACCCTATTACCCGCTCAGCAAACACCTTGGACATTAAGAATGGAATATATGAGTAACAACCATGTGCTTAATCACAATACATGAGAGTTCATAAATAGAATACATACCTCAACAGTCAGACGATGTGGGTAACAGGGCTCATCCCATGCATAAGGGCAAGATGTATAGGAGTGGATAACAGTCTCGAATGCTTCACATTTTTGTTGATAAATGCGTATTCTCTGCAACATGTCAACAAAGGTTATTACGTAATCCTGTAGATCAAACCCTGTGTGTATCATAAAATGGGTACTAAAATTTGCTTACAGTAGACCAACACAAGGTATACAGATAAAAAATGTGTTCTTTCCCTTTACCGGCCCCTCTCACGATTGGTACAGAAGGTAACTTTAACAAAAATAAAGAGCAATTTCTGATGCTCCACCCTCCTCTTCTAAACATGGTATCATGGGGAAAGACAATAAGTGCACAAGTAAAAAGTAGACACTAATGTCAAGTAGACATGCAATGAAGTGTTAGGCCTATCCTCTTGGGTACAAGGATAATCATGTGTTATTTGAAAACAAAGGGAGGTTATGGACTTCATAATCCACTTTCCACATAAGCATTTACTTATCTACAGACGGAGAAAATATATAAGAAAACAAATCATGATTTAAAAATCAACCAATTTTTTTGTGTTCTCATTTGAAACAAACATTGTTCTTTCATTGGGAAAAAGAACATAGCATCAGAAGCACTGAGAAAAAATCAGAATCCCGAAAAAGATGCAAATAGAAAAACAATCATCCACTATTTACTTGTGAGTGCTTAATTTAGAAAAGGACACCAAAATTTTCAGAACAAGGGCATGGATGCACTAACCTCCTTTGAGAAATTATCAATCCTGTATGGCATAAAGCCGGTATCATCGTCAGATAAAAGAATCAAGTTCGTTCCGGAGTCACAGTGTGGGTTCCCAACAAGCTTTTCATTTCTGATTGCATCATCAGCATTTTGGACCTCCACACGTACCATATTTACTGCACCAGAAACATAATTCCGCATTTTCAACTGGGTATCACCTAAATGTTCCGGAAAGAAGCATCCCGACCACTGCCATCCGGGCTCATTAAAACGAACAGAAACGAGTAATTCCCTGCCATATGCAAGTAGACAAGCATGTGAAAGAAGATGATGACTGGTAAGTGAACAAAGACTTGAAAGTCGGTAGCACCACAAGAAGTGCACAGGAAACAAATCAATATTGAAATAGAGAAAGGATAAAGCTCAAGATTAAGCAATTATTATTGAAGAAGATTAGACAAAGCAAGCCGAAAGTCTTCACAGAAACTGTTCTTGACACTCATAATCAAGATGGTATTGCTTTAGCCTTTAGTTACCTTGCAATATCATTGCAGAGTTTAACAAAATTGTCAATTCTTTCATTTTTTTGTGAATTGAGTACAGGAAAGTTAGTACCATATGTAATGGAAAATTTTCGGACAGTGCCCTGTGTTGCAAGGATACGGATGTGTCGCATGGATATTGGGGTCCTATCATTCTAAAAAATCGAGGATAAAGCAATGAGTTTACCAAAACAAACAAATCCAGTATATCCCACTCGATAACAGGGTCTGGAAAGGAAAAGGGAAGGGAAACGGAAAGAAAACCAATACTAGTAAATTAGGGTTTATTGATGTTAAATGTGTTTATCTCTGTGCGTGTAATGTAAGCTAAACCAACAAAAGAATACATAGTCGAATAATTTGTACATCTGTACAAAAAATATACACTTAAGTATGTCTTAATTTGCTTTTACTCTTACTTGGTGAGCCCATATTAGCCTAATCCATCAAGAAGAAAGAGATCTAGAAATAAATCACCCTATATTTTAGCTTGTGAAAAGATTGTTTAATCCAACTTCGGTTTCAGGGGATATCAAGATTTTGTGGTCGAGTTACAAACAATGGAGCAGAGTTTGACGTTTGTGAAACTTTCGGTGACAGCCTGTGACTTTTCACACCAGTAAAAGGTCAGTGTCAATGCCTCATATCTCAAAGGGGAGAAACTGAATTGTGATCATAGCAACTCAATTTAAGAAGGAAAAAAATACTGTACCTTGTTATGTCTGTCCAATGAATATGGGAGTTCTGCCCAACCTTCAAGTGATATATAAAGTCAGATCCTTTCTGCCGATAGCACAAGTCCTTACTGCATGCATTACTAATCACATATCTGGAAGAAAAAATAAACAAAAGATCAACAAGGAACAGTAAATCAGTATTTCAAAGTAACCAGCACGATTGCAGAGATGTCAAACCATGATAATGGATACCTGGGTTGGAAATTAATAATCCTTGTCCTTCCAGAAAATGGGCCATCAACAGCACTAGACGCAACAGATATTACATATGAGGCGTTGCTAGATGATTGGGGAACAAGAACAGTAGTTGAACCAGTTGGTGGAACAAGGAAAAATTGATTAGACCATGTATAGTCTGAAGTACTTTCCACATTAATTTCAGATTGGCACCGACTAACCCTGACCATGATCTCACTCGAAGAAATATTAGGATCAGGAGAATACATGCAAAAATTGACTTTTTTGCGATTTGATTCATCAAATTCAATCTGTTTCACATCCGTCTGACTGCTAGAAACTGAACTTTTTTCTTGATTGTAGATTGAAAATTTTGGGCCGTCTATATTCGTCTTGTCTGATCCTCCATGAATGGTAGTAGATGAACCAGATGAACTGAAAGGTTCCTTCAAGAACTTACCATGATATATATCCAAGCTCTTCCTAGTGGAAACAAGATTATTGTTTAGGGGAAACCTCCTCATACCATCATTATGCAAAACTTGACCAGATGACAAAAGGCCCAGACCATTTTTTTCGCCTAAAAAAGGGTCCTGTTCATCCAAATTATAACAGGAAGGCACGGTGCAGCCACGCTTTGTCAGTTCACTAGTAGAGTTGGCAATTATGAGGGGAAAGCCACAGCAATTGTACAATAAGAAGGGAACAAATATGCAGATTTCCCGAGCCCCAGAGAACGCATCCATCACCTTTTCCATTGTCACATATAATGGACCTACACAAAGACCCAACAGCCACACTGATCAGCTTTTGCATGCATGTGCACGTGAGAGAGAGAGAGAGGAAAAAAGGTAAAGGGATAAAGCATACATCACCTTTAAAAGTGTCGGAACTAAAGCTAATTGATTCCGATGAGGAAAACTTTGTTCCGCTGAATTTAGCAATTTCACTGAACTTCTCTGCACGTGGGAACTTCAGAACAGATGATCCAAATCCATGCATGTGGAAAGTTAATGAAAGATCATGTGACGAGTCGATATGATAGAAAGAAGTTTCAACCTGCAGATGTTGCAATAAATACAAGTCAGTGATTCTATCCACCTCAAAAACAATGTAAAAGGCTATAACAAGCTACCAACCTCTGAAAGCATCATGCTACGCGTAACTCCACCACTCTCAACCACCAGAGATATTGCGATTGGTAAGTAGTTTTTTACTATCAAAGGATTACTTAATGTAACCAGATGAATGCAACGCATATTTGAGCGATCCTGGTTCTCTATCTTGTCAACTTTGCTGTTCTCAACTGATTGCTTTAAAGCATCATGAATATAAAGAGATGATCCCTTGTTTATCTTCCCAATGGAAGGCAAACACATTTCATGCACCGATACGCAACAGCGAAAAGGATCACTACTTGGAAGAGATGGATAGCAGACGAATGAGCGTAAATATCCAATCTTACTTTCATTAGATAGAATATTAGAAATGCTATAAGCTTCGCTCCAAAGGTAAGTGCTGCCTAGTGGACGCCATCTTATGCGACCAGCTTCAGCTAAATGGAGAGGAAGAGGAAACTCATGACCAGGATATACTGGGTCCAGAATCTGAAATTGACAAACGCTGTAAGACATGGATCTTGCCACATGCGGACTGGCCCTCATGGGAAAAAATCATTACAGGCAGGTTAACATTATAAACACATTTTCTACACCTGGATACCTTGGGAGATACGCCAAACGGAATATCGAAGCGCACTTCAAATGGCACTGAAGTTGCATTCAAGAGTATGACCTGACATCAAAAATCTATTAGAGAAAACACAGACCATCAGAAGTAGAACTAACATGGCTGACCAGTTGGACTTACCGTCGAGTACAAGCGCACTAATTTTGTGTATCGCTGAACTGAAACATCAATCACTACGGGAACAACATAGCCACTGTTTGTGTATAATCTCTTGCTCCCCTCAAATTCTTTAACGCCTTTATACACATCTCCAATGCTGTCAACTATATTAGTAGATGAATTAGAAAAATCCACCTCAAAATAGCTGACACCAACAAGATCAATAGAGATAGGAGTCGACAGCATGGAAGTTCCCTCAAGTTGAACAACAATATAATGATGTTGTGCATCAGCGAATTGCCTGTCACCAAGACTGTCAGAAGAATGGCTAGTACTAAATCTGTAGATTTGTTCATCTGGAGCATCATCAATATACACTGGGTATGAAGAACCTGGCTGCACATATTTTCCATCTTTCAATGATGATACATCAAAATCATCAGCACTTTTAGAACCTTTGGAGATATAAAACACTAGAGGCAGCGAGGTTAAATTTTCAAGTGTATAAGGGGCATATCTGCTGGCAAGTGCATTTTCATTGGTTCCGATTCCTGTCAATCTTGAGTTTTCAGTAAAAACATTCAGCTCCATGAGATCCCATGCATCCTTAATCATATCAAATGTTCTGAAAGCAACCTTCAAAATGCACAATTTGGAACTAGAAATTAGTACAGTGACTTGCAATATATGACATAAATGAATTTTACTTTATTCATGTATCCTTCAGTTTTAAAGAAGTGGAAAATTGTCCAAACACAGTGTAATGACGATGATAATAAATTAAAGTACTTCCATTGTCCCAAGAAAATTGCAACATATGACCAGCACATAGTTTGATTAAAATAATTCTTTCATATATCTAAAGTATTTGTCAATGCTGCCAAAGCATTTGTAATGGTGATCCTAGGTAAATAAGCAACTTTCAACTTTGGACTTTTTTCCAGAGAAGACAATATTGCAATTTTCATCACAGAAGGGGAATGGCAGCAATTTCAATGGTCATAAGAAGTAATCATTTTATGGGATGGAACCCATTCTTATTAGGAAAATAACAACTTGAATCAGATTATCAATGGCAAAGCACAATTGCGAAGAAAGGTTCCACTGCTGGAAAGGATCTAACTTCATAACTTATCCCAAAAACTGGGAGGCAATTTCTGATAGCAATGGATAGAGAGATGGAACAGTGAATAGAAACATAAATGAAACACAGCTCTATTTCCAACTTCAAATCCATAAAGGACTTCGAGAGAGAGTAGATATGGGTTTCAACTATGTCTAAGAAAAAGAACAAGTAAATTTGGACAGAATACCTGAAAATTCAAAACCACAATAATTTTGCATATCAATAGAACATTGTATAGATCAACATAAAAGACATCCAAGAACATATATTCAAGATATTAAACACCTCAATAAAGGATTCAGTAACATTGATATTGAGATTCTTTGCTGATTCAAGATGAACATCAGTCATGAGTGGGCTGTTCTGTAGGGCGCTCTTCCCATGCTCTCTTCTTAAGCTTACTTGAAACTTCCAAGGCTCAAGAAAAGGCTCCCACAAAACCTGGAGGAGTAATGCAAATAAGTTTCATTGTCAAGTAGACTACACCAGTAGGACTAAGATCACCGGGTGCTTCAGCAAATACTTTACCTTGTGAATGTTATTGTAGTTCACTTGAAGCTCACTGTCAACTGATCCTTCCATTATGTTCTCCGTTATGATACCATGAAACAACAAGCTTCCCATAAGAATTTCTAGTAGAGGACCATTGGAGCTCCACTAGATGATCACAATCACAGACAAAACATAAGTTCCACTGTAAGTTCTTTTAAATGGGAACATATTTGCAAATGCAAGTCACAAAAATTAAAAAAAAACAATCAGTAGTTCTAATAATTTATATTAAATAATAATGGGAAACGGAGTGGGAGGGAAATATAAGAAAGTTCACTCGGTTTGGATACTTGATCTTCTTTTTCATGAATGAGTCTCGTATCTACGTGAGGAGGGCAGAGTGCAAATAAAGAGTGCCCATAGTCAGGCAAAGCCCTATGTTTGCATATATTAGCAAAAAAAACAAGATATTCACTTATAATTTATTATTTTATGCCAGTATGCCACCAAGAATTTAGAAAGAAAAAACCAAATGAAGGTTTTTAGTTGTTGGGGGGGGGGGGGGTTGGTGTAGGAGGACCTGTCCACCCCATAATCAAGAAGTCAAAATATCAGAATAAAAAAGAAATACCAAAACTTAGTTTACCTAAACTATGAACATCACAAGTACGTCTTACCCAATTATGAACACATACAAGTCCACCTACACCAAATCATGCACGGGCATACAAATGTATCATTCCAAAATTACATACATATATATAGGTGGCATACCTTTTGATCTGTCAAAAGAAGGGAAAGCTTCCGTAGGTGAAATCTGAAATCTACACCACACATTGGAAGTTGAGGAGACCCGGCCTCCTCTGGAAACACAAACAGCATAGTTTGCCAGAAGTAAAATGTGTGATTTGAAAGCCAAACATCTACATTATCACAGTGAACCTCCGCCTTCAAATGCATGTGCTCCATCTCATCATTACCGACATTGGCCTCAACATCAACTTGCAATAACTGAAAAAGGGGCCAAGAATGAACACGTTTGTTCTCACGCAGTTCAACTGTTCCTGTTGTTTTCCACAGATTGGACTTCAATTTTGCTTTTTGGCCGTTAATATTCAGTTCAGTGAACCTGCTTTGCAAATAAATAAAGAGAAAACTGTGGTGATCCCTTCCGACATCGTCAGATGCACCATTCAATGAATTCTGCTCGCGAACTTGGGGTGCCCCAAAATATCTAAATGCTTCTCCAGATACCTGAACAGGAATACAAATTTTAATGCCAATATCATCCGACTTCACAATTAGCGAGAAGGGATGCTGCATTATGTCTTCATAATGTAAATGACTTGACACGCTGAAAGATGGAGATGAGTTTTCTAGAGTATCAACACGATCAGCCGGATCTAAAGTGGATTTCTTTGATTCCTCATCCCAGATTGCAGTTTTAGGATGTTGTATGCAGAAAGATAAAAGCTCAATAACCTTACTCCAGTCAGACAAAAATAACCAAACATTAACACAAGGAAGGGAAAACTGAAGCTGATATTCGCCCTCATCTGACAAGAAGGCATTCACGTGAAGAACCGATACATTTTGGCTAGAAGATGTGCACTCCACTAAGACAACAGAGCTAAGCAGTGAAGAGAGTGTCAAAGAAATGAATGACATATCCAAGCGGAGAGGGTTTCCATTTTTTAATGATAATGCGCATGTGAATTTCATGTGAGCTTTGGCAATAAGTTCATAACCAACCAATTCTATCTGCTGAGAGTAAAGTTTTACTGACATGGATTGGACAGAACATTTAATTTCTGTGAAGGCCACGCTTGAAGATTCAATAGGAAGCAAACCATTTTCTTTATAACTACTCTTTAACTGGAAAAACTGTAAAACATCCGAAGTGAAACATCGGGATAGATTTTCCACAGATGAGAACTCCTCAATGACATCTTGTAATGCTCCAAACGAGCCAATTACGTCATTTCCTGAAGAAAGGAAGAGAATTACATTAATCAAATATCAATTATATACAAAACAGTAGTGATGCATCTGGAAGCAGAGTGATATTAAAGATAATACTCTACCTTCAACAATCAATTGACAATCAAGAATCCTTAACATGATATATATCGAGGAAGAAGCAGTTGCACAAGGAGACTTAGAACTATACGGTATTCTGATCCATATATCACCACCAAAAGGTGCAATTAAGCTGACACTTCTCACTTCACTACTCGGATTAAATTTCAAGGAATCAGAAGCATCATCTTTCCTAAGAAGATGATGTAGAGATAAGTCCCGCCCGAATAAATTTAAACAATGATTTTGATCGGCAATAAATTCAGCTGGAACGGAACACTCTGATGGAATTCCTTTTAATAAGGTATCTGAATCACAGTTTTCAATGAAAGTGCAGTACAGCTGAGGAATATCAAGCTTTAAAAATTGGTAATCAGCATTAACCACAGGTATAAACAAAATAGAGTCCAATATCTCGAACTTGTAAGTGAAACTGATGCTGTCCCCTGTATCCTTGTCTTTGCAATCATTAGTAGCAGGTGACTCCTTTGCATGCGAGTTCCAGTCAGGCAATGAGAAGTACCCAATTAGTAAAGCCAGAAATTCAGGTGGCAATATGCATGATACATTTTGGATTCTGAAATTTAGTCCAATAAGAGATCCTGCTGATCCAAGATTCTCTTTTCTCACACGAATGTTAATCACCGGAGAAAGATTTAGTGATGCAGGGCCCCATAGAGAGTCTTGGAGAGTCTGAGAACACCAAGATGAGGAGAGATTCAATCCCTCAGTAGAACAAAACACATCCAAACAGTCGTTATGGATAGCCAAAGAAGATTTGGCAGCAGGAAGTGTAACAGATGCAACAATGTACGAAGAGTCATGTAAGTGCAGTCTAACGCTGCTGATGTGAAGATTGATTACAACCAGACCCACTTGTTCAAGATCTGATGGTACATGTACACCATGAGTTCCAGCGATGGAATTCAATTGGGTGTATAAATTCTGAAATTCCTTCTTTTCACTGAACTTTGAACTATTGATCTTGGTCTCTCTTATCTTTAGAGCCTTCTTCCAGTCTGGACTGATGTCAATAAGTGAACTCTCAAGGTTGAGAAGAGGCCTGTCATTGTATATTGTAATGAAAGGGTAATGATCAACAGAGATGCTTTCCCAGTCCGAGGTACTGGTTTCAAAAATATTGGAGCAACCAAACCTTTGAAAGTCAAAATAAGAACCTGAGAGCATACTGTTACTTCCCACAAAACCTTGATTCTTGGCAGCATGTGAAGGACTATACTTGGATAGCTTATCAAAAAATTCAACCAGCAACCCAGTAATATATGGATAGCAATGAAGATCAACATCGGTTAGCCATATGCTACACCTATGGTGAATTAAACCACCACCATAATGTAACATGATGCACCCATTAGCTAAACCATTTAGTCCATCTTCATGGCAGAACCTAACACCTGTCTCATGTTGTTGTGAAGAGTGGGTAGAAATTTTATTTTCAGATAAGCATATTATAAGATCATCCCCACTTTTCAGTGAACGAGACGTTACTTTTAGAGCCCTTGCACATATCCAGCAGCCTGTTGTGGACTCCGTAACAATAAACCTAAATAGAAGGATCAAAAGCAAGAAATTATTCCCAGCAAACACTTCAAAGCCTTCAGTATATGTATATCAAATCTTTTAGATTGCAACAGAACATTATATACATATATATATATATAGAGAGAGAGAGAGGGAGGTTCACGAGAAAACTCCAAAAAAATGAAAAACCAAGAAACACATTTTCATCCTTTAGATTAAAAAAAAATCAAGGGTCAAGATTCAAATGACATATTTGAAAATAATTTGAAGTCAAGGGCAGTTATGGGAATGTCAATGCCTTTTAGAGGGCATATTGGAATAAATTATAATTATATTTCCTTTAATTAAATTCCCTCAATCTCTCAATTAGGTATCTCTCTCTCTCTCTCCCTCGATTTTCTTCCCCACGCTACGTTTCTTCCTCATCACGATGGTCTCTTCTTCTGTTTCTTCTTCATGTCTCTATTGTTTATTTTTTTTTCCTTCTGCAAATCTCCTATCTTACTAGATCTTCGATGGCGGTATAACATGGGGAGTATCTAAACAGTTGTCATTTCTTCCTCTTCTCATCTGCAATTTTCCATCCTTATCGGATCTTCAAAGACGGTATAATTTCATCATTAATGGTGGGTCTGAAACCTTGGTCGTCCTTGAACGTGAACAGATAAAAAGATTCAAATATTCATTTCTTCTACTCTTGTTTTCTGTGTTTTATGCACACGTCAATATGATGAAATACATAGTTCACCTGTTCATGCAACCCAATAAACTAAAAGACATTGAATATGGTGGTCTCATTCACGTAGGCATTCAACCCAGAAAAGTTGAATGTGGTGATTCATGCACATGTGTAGCAGAGAAATTGAAAGACGGCGAATTTTCGGTGATTCATGCACATGTGCATGTAGCGGAGAAAATTGAAAGACTACGAATTCGGTGATTCAATCACATATGCATTCAACCCAGTAAATGAAGGAAGGTGATTACAAAAACTCATTCACATATGTATGGAGTGCAAAAATTGAAAGACAATGAATACGATGATTCATTCACATGTGCATGCAACCCATAAATCGAAAGATGATGAAAACAGTGACTCATACATTTGTGCATTCAACCCAAAAATTGAAATATGATGAATATGGTGATTTATTCATTTGTGCATGCAACCTAGAAATCGAAGGATGATGAATACGATGATTCATTCACATGTGCATGCAGCGCATAAATTTGAAGAAATACAATACCCTTTGAATAATTTTTCTTATTGTAGATTTTTTAGTATATTTTGAAATATTTTTTGTAGCTATTTTTAGAGGATAATTGAAGTTCCATAAATTGTGGTAATTTTTCTTTGTTTAATAGATTTTAATAAATGGAAATGATTATATATTGATGAAATGTACCATTTTACCCTTTTTACATTTAATAAATTATTTAAATTGCTATTTTTGATAATTGTTGGATTAAAGTTGATCAACGTTGATTAAGGTGTTCTTCGGTTTTTCATTTTTTGCGGTTTTCCCCTGAACCTGACCCTATGTGTGTCTGTGTGTGTATTAAAATAGAGATCGAGTAATGTCAGAGAAGATGTTTGGATTCCGAGAAGATAGTTGAACATATAAAGAATCAAATACACACTCCGAGTTTATTTATGTAGGTTCGCAATTGCACTCTCACAATCTTGGATGATTGAAGTTCAAAAACAAACCAACACACATCTATTAACATAACCGCTACAATCCAACCACCAACTGGCTATACAATTGATATAGAACAGGGTAATTGAACGTAATCGAATTATCTCTATTAAGATTTCCAACTTTCGAGAAGTTGAGTCTCCCTCAGGCTCACACCTCGAAATCAATTACCACCTCATGCCCCCACTCATCTTCCCACTCCTGTATTAACAGAATACTCCCTTATTTTTCTATTTCCCCCTTTACCCTGGTCAGAATATGTGGAACCTCAGATTAATCTCCAAAAAAACCTTTGAGGAGAAAGGGGAGGTTCCAACATATATACAGAAGAAATGGTCCAAGTCTAGCCGATGTGGGACTCCAACACGCCCCCTCCAACAAAGGCTAGATGGACATTCATTGTCCCAGGGTGTCGAGAGGGGGCAAGCCAGAGTATTGAGTCCCTAGAGTGGCAGACCTCGGCTCTGATACCATGTGAGAACTGAGAATAAGTGGAACCTCAGATTAATCTCCAAAAGAGCCCTTAAGGAGAAAGGGGAGGTTCCAACATATATAGTGGTCCAAGTCTAGCCTATGTAGGAGTCCAACAACCCTTACACCAGTCAATACTTTTATTCCATTACTATTTTCTATTTATTTCTTACCTCTACATAAGTAAGCCTGACAGCAGGTGTATCACCAACCTCCATTACCTCAAACGCCGGAAGAACACTCGCATTAAGCAAAATAGATAAAGTAATGTTGCACCAACACATGGTTAAAATGCATATACAGTAGCTAATGAATAATTTACTTTGGAGAAGTTTCCTAAGCAACTTTGGTCACAAGCACCAAACTAGTGGATTTTGTGCACATTGATAGGCACTAGTCACACACAGAAGTCAGAGGACCAAATCGTAATCTCCTGCCAAGTTATGCAACTTGGCATACTACCAAACCAAACGAGCCTAGCGAATCCCACCCAGAAGTAGGGTCTGAGGGGGCGATGGGATGTACAGACCTATCTTCTACCCCAAAGAGCAATTGTTTCTGTGAAGACCCCCAGCTTGCAAAAAGTGTATGCAAAAAATTTTTGAACTAAAAATTTCATAAATTTTGCCAAAAAGCTTGAAGAATTTGAAAAGAAGTTGAAAGCGAAGAGCTTGAGACCCGAAAAGAGAAAAAAAAACGCCGATTTTTTAAAAGAATAACCAAGACTAGTAGTATGCAACACACAAAAGAAATAGAAGTAGGCACATAGGAAAGTATACAAGGTATGAAAAACTACACAAGCCCTTCGAAGTATTCTACTAGCCTATCGATAGGCCCTCTAACCCTCCCCCGTCCCATTCTCAACCTCTCCAACTTCCTTCCTCCCGTCTAATCTAGTTATAGGTCTCTACACCTAGCCTTCTACCCTAGTCTTGCATCTCCAGGAACTCCTATCAACTTGACATATAAAAAGTAATTAGAAATGCACAACAAGGCAAGTACGGAAACGCCAGGCGAGGCGCAAGACTCGACGCGTAAGCCTCAAGGTGAAAACATATTACACATAAATCAAAGAATATACCAAACAAAACTATACTCTACATATTATATGTCGGACATAAATTACACTTGGTACACACAAAAAATGTATATACTAACAAAGAAAATATATAAGATATACATGCACAATGTATGTATATACTAACAAAGAAAAAATATATACTCAATATATATATATATGTATCATAATATACTAACAAATAACACAATATACTCAACTAGGTTCAGAAAAAAGACTTCTATACTCGGTGTTTGAATGCAGCAGGTTCAAAGAATATAATATATATATAAATATGTGTGTGCACCAAGTGTGAGATAGGGAAAAAAAGGAGGTTCTAAAACGTGATTGAGAAGTGAATCGCTGTTCAGAGTTAGACAAGAACCAGCCGTTCTTCTTTTACCAGAGTTCATTAGTGCTTGACTTTTTATTATTTAAATAAAAGAGACCCTCCCACATAACAAATACGCCTCTCTATAGACTACCGCCTTACCTACCGCCTCACACATGCAAGGCGTACTAATCAGCCAGGCATTGAGAGGCGATGCCTTGAGGCGTACACCTCAACCACTTTTGAAAACCATGTGAACCGCAAAAGAATTAGTACAAATCTTATATCTGGGTATTTCCTCGCTTGGTTTTCAATGCAAGTAGACATCATTTAACAGATTTTTGGTGTTTACTGGCCCAAAAGGCCAAAAATCCAGCTAACAAATAAGAAAGTTTCAGATGAAAGTCACTAACTCCAAGATCAAGTTAAATAATCACGAGAAAAAATAAAAGACCTAGAGAAGGCACCCAGTCTAGCACATCATGAGTGAGCAAAAGATAATAAGAAAAAAAGAGTTCACTATTCGACTAAAGCATTCAAACATGCAAGAGAGGTTAGCTCTTCAGTTATGTTATTTGGCAGCCATGAATAAATTAATATAAGCAAACTTAAAAGAAGCATCCCACTTATGATTCACATAGTAACATAAGAATTAAAGCTAAGGTATATAACCAATAATGTACACATTTGCCTTATCACTTTGATTAGAGGTAAATGTGCTGAATGCCCTCATATGCACTTTTGACCTTTACTAACCGTATAATTATGTTCATTAAATTAGGTAGGTGGCAACTAAGACAGAGATCAAGTGTAATCAGCATGGGGACATTAAGGGTAGAAATGTCAATTTACTTTCATAAGAGTTTTCAAATATAAAGCATATAATAAAATTTGGAACAGGGGAGGTAGACGGCAGACAACTAGGTGTAAGAGTCTTAGGACAGGTAGCCAGGTGGGTCTTTCGGTTATTTGCATTTTGGGACGATTAGTTGTCTCATACTTTTCCTTATGCTCTTATTGCACTTACTTATTGCATCTCTTTTCATGTTATTTACTGTATGTACTCGTCCTAATTGCTCTACTCTTCCTCATTAACTCTTCCAAACTGGATTTCTTGTTTTATCTGACATATTTTCAGGGTCACTTAAGATTCTCAATTTTTTTTGTAAAAACCTTGTTGCTAAAAAAATCACAAGGGGGTTTTCACGAAAACAGCCTCTCTACCCCTTAGGATAGAGGAAGATCCGCTTACATTTTACCGTCCCAAACCATACTCAGTGTGGGATTTACTGGTTTCATTTGGTATATTTAATTTGGAAACACATAGAAAGAAATACATAACATTTATCTGGGACAGAAGGAATTGCTTTAGAAGAAAAATACATTCATGCAAGTAAACATAAAGAAATAAAAACTACTATTTTAATCTAAAGAGCAAAGGTCCTTTAAAATCTAAGCAACAAACATACCTCATATCCAAGTCCTGTAGATAAACGGTTAGTGTGCAGCTAGCCTCTAAGCCATTTTCGAGGTCAATGATGACGCTAGCAGACTCCAAATTAGCAATAACAGAAATACTAAAGGTGCTAAAGTTCTTTGATTCATTCAAGTCCATGTCAGATGATGAGGTAGTTGCTGTTGTCCCCAAGTGCGATGGAAGATGCAGCATATTGACACTTTCAACTAGTTCCAAAACTGAACCAATTATGGATGGTGACAAGTGTGCCAAAAGCATTGCCACTACTACATAAACCTGAAACCAAACAAGGAACTATATCGTAAGTATACTCTCATGTACTTACCAAACCACTGAAGGTGACTAATTGACAGTCAATATAGTAAACTTTTAATACAAAACCTTCCATGCTTATGGTCAACATTTAATTCATATATAATCAGTGATAGCATAGTGTCAATGTATATTTTAAATAACTGAGAGGACAACATACAGTCATTAAGGAGCACTGGAGACATTTTATTCCATTTTTACCTTTCCAAACGAACGTGTGAAAAAAATTACTGACACACAGATTTAGCATGCTCGAATAATTCAAGAGACCAGCCAGTGAAGCAAATATGGTTCTATCCATGTTTGAAATCTAATAGCCTCTAGGGTTTAGATGTTGTGTAAGAATCACAATAGATTATGTTCTGTCATATTTCTAGATTCACACTATATTCGTTAAACATTGTGTGCGCCATATTTCATTAGTGGTCCTATAGCCTTCTTACTTCCAATTGGTTCATCATCAAATAGAATTGGAGTAACTAGCAAACATGGTCACCCTTTGTCACATGTTCAAAAAAAATTAGTTCGTTTGCTAACTAAATGTTACCGAAAGTGCAATAAGAAATTCTACAATCACTGAATCAAAACTATGGCAATAGTCATTGAACCTAGGCTCCAGGCTCCGTGCTCCCTCCATATTTTACATGTAACAAAAGAGAAACAATTGCTTGAATTCCAGTTTGAGCTGTTTGATTGATTGGTGCTCATGATAAAGATAAAGAATGTTTTAAACTAGTTCCATTCACTGCAAAAACAAACTTGTAACCAAAGAAGGAGTCTGAGTGTATGATTGACGAGTTGGATGATTGTTGTAATGAAACAATTTCATGGTTATACACGATCCTAAAAGTCCACAGCACCAGGAAAGGTTACCTTCACGCTCAACATAAGGTACAGGTAAAACAATACTACTGCCAAATGTTTCCCTCTTGTCCACCAGTGTACAGAAGTAATATTTACTTGTAGTAGAATACTGTAAATGTTACTTCCCAGAAAGTTTACCTACCTCCAATGCTCTCAATAAAGATTCATCCTCGAAAATGCACCATGCTATAGCAGAAGAAGCGTTGAGCTTCTCTAGAATAGGATAAGTATAAGGATAGAAAGGCACAAACAAGTTTATCTGCAAGATGGTAAACATCAGTCTATGCTCAGCAATGTAAGACACTGACTGAAAATGACAGACAATGCTGACCTCAAAGTCAATTATTTTAATTTCAAAGTGATCATAGAGATCTTGAATCTGAATTCCCTTTAGAAGCTCACTTGAAGAACCCGCATCCACCAAATTACACATGAATTGGGATGGTACATTCATATCAGGTGCAAAACAGCCAATATCACGCTTGGATGCAAAGGTAACAGCTGTTAATCCAAGTACCTGCACATTTCGGTTATAAGTTCATATACTTAGGATGGACAGAAGTTGAAAACACTAGATGGACAAAAACGATATTCCACAACAGATAAGCTATAACTAGAAAGCTAAGATACAAGTGACATACTGATACAGAATTGAAAATAAGTTGTGGTATGCCATTTATAATTATTGTATACACACACACACACGCGCGTACAAAGAAAAACATATGCATATTTGTCTACAAGTTAAGCATTTGTCAAACACACTCCATTCTCAACAAATCCGACAAAAATGTCAAGATGATAACATACTAACCAACATAATGCCACATACAACTAAATGAACAAAGTCAATAACCAGACGGAATATTTTCAGACTCCCCAATGTGAAAGGTTAACATTATCAAGAATAATGTCAACTGCAGCTTGAACATCTGGTAAAAAATACCAAGTAACTAGGTCATATGCATTTTTATGTTTCAAGATTCTCTTTTGAAATCTCACTAAATCCACAAACATATGTAATGCAGTTGGCATCAAAATGAAGTATTTTGCTTCCTCGAGCAAAATGTAAAAATGAGCTGGAAACACGCCCTTAATGAAGTTGCTTTCAATTAGGTGCAGGCAAAACCACTTGCCACTAAAACTTTCCTGGTTTTTCAAGGACAGTCCAAATCATTGGAGATTTGGAGCATGATGAAAAATTAGGTACTTCATTTCAATGAAATGGCATTTCCTTATTGTCTAGCTCATTCCAAGGCATGTGACCTAACAATTAGGCAACATTATGGTGCCCGGATGAACATCCAACCAAGAGAATGAAAGTGCTGGAAGCAAAAAAGACTACAAAAGGTTACAGTTCCATTTCAGCAAGAAAGCACCAGAACACTAAGAGACCTACACATCTAGATACAGTACATATCTAAGAGAAGTTTGTTGTCTTCCAGAAATGAACACATAGCACATGATGTGTAGACTCCCATCAATATCAGAAATACATGCCAGCAAGTTCATTCATATCATGGTTGTGACATCTGTGCCAACTTTGCTTTGCCATTATCACTTGAGATCTCATCTTTCCTGATATCTCCTGATGTTACATGATGTTCTCTAAGACATATATTAGCTTTATGCTCACTGAAAGAGGGGGCCGTCAACTCTTCATGGTTGGCAACTAGATGAGCTTTATCTCAAAATTGAAACTGTTTTCGACAGTTCAGCAACTGGTTATATAACATGAAATGTCCCATTATTTCTTCGTCTATCCTCCCCCCTAAGTTCTAAAATCTTTTGTTTTCCACAAACCCCTAAGCTGCCCAGTGTGAACAAAAAATTCACTTATCAGATTTATCTAGGGTTGCATCCCATTTACCAAGAAAAAAATCACTTGTATTATGTTATAATATTCCAGTTGCAAGCAAATACTGTTTTCATAAAGTCAGAACGAAGCTCATCAGCTGAGAGCCACTAAGATAACCACTTTAATCACTAATAGTATTTTATTATTTACTTTATTTGATGATGATTTCAATCATGAAAAATGTTCCTTAGTAGCAACTAGATCGAATGTCCTGTATATCTTTTCAACATATGCCAATGGATGTGCGATTCTGGCTTTCTAGACTTACCAAACTGGATATGCAAACAAGATGGAAATCATCATATATAGATCAATTACATAATCACCAATAAATACATAATGCCATTTTAGCAAGTAACAAAGTCATGAAAAAAAAAAACAGTTGTATAAAAACTTGAGGGCATACAACATTGTTGCCAAACATACAGAACAGGATGATCATATCAAATTATTAAATCATATCACGATAGAAGATTCAAAATGGACGACCATGTCAATATAAATTAAATACCAATTTATGCATCTCTGACTTCCCATTCTCCCAGGGAATAATGATCTTAATATTTATCAAACTAATATCCCACATGATTCTCTTTCGAATTGACAATATGTATCTGCAAAACAACAGAAGAGAAAATACATAAAAGATATATTTTTTAAGCAGATATAGCTCTAAGCAAGCTGTTGCTGTTAACTTCATTTCTTGACCCTAGAGGGATATGAGATTAGTCAAACTTGAGATCTCCATTCTAGTTTGTGCCCCAATGAGTACTGAACCACACCCCAAAGGGATATCATCAACAAATGAAATACAAATCTCATAAATAGCAGTTGCAGACTCGGTAGCTCCTGGAAATAATAACCTAGTAAGAGCATAACAGAAGACATACTCGGCTTTTGATATTAGCCGTGACTTCACATCATTTATCCCATTGAGTGATTCTAGGACCTGTAACATGAAACCAGTGGAAGCTGTTATTCCTGATCTCATAAACTTCATGCCTTTAACTGATGCTATTTGTTACAAGAAATTATGTTGTATGTTCAAATAATATTGTCTTTGCCATCTGCAGATGGATATGACATCCATGTCAAGTTGCCAACATCAGCATGTATTATGGCATCACAGATGACTACCAAGCAAAATGAGATCCTACGACTACAGCAAAATATGTGTCCATCGGGATAAAAATACACAATGGAAGGTTCACAAGGAGAGAGATCCGGAGCAGAGAAGCATCCTTGGCCTATATGATTTAGCTGAGTGATTTTTCACCAGGCAAGTCTACTTGGAGCATAAAGTAAGACAAAACCAATTGCACACGAGAATTGGACCATATAATCCTACCAAAAAAAAAATAAAGGCAGTGTGATATTGTTAAGACAATAACTATAATCAGCAAGGTTCACACTTAGTTTTCCCTAATTAATTGCATCAATGAAACAATGAAACTAGTCATTTAAAAAAGTAATTGTAAGAAAGTATACTGTATTGAAAGTGTGTTTTCATATGTTCACGAAATCTAAAAAATAATTACAATTCAACTATTAAATGAACCGATGATGCTTCTTCTTAACTGTCAACTACATATACTATTTTGATAAATGTTGTGATCTACGGAAGGTTCTTAGAAAAGAACACATGGTACAGAATTCCACCTAGAAGCATTACTTTCACAAATAAAAAAGTAATGATGCTCTACATAATGTCTTGAAAAAGAATGCACATACTTCACAGAATGTAAACTAGAAAAAGAACACTGACCCTTTCTTCATGAGATTTAAAGGAACTCAGTACAGTATATAGCTCCATAATATTAAAAAACAATGTTGGATCACAAGTCACTTCCATCGGCTCAAGCAGGACCTGAAAAAAAAAAGCCAATGGTCATTTTCATCATCAGAGCTTCTAACACAAGACAAAAGAGCTAGTAGTGGCAATGACATCTTCTGTCGTAATTAGAAAACTGCAAGCATAGTCATAGTACCCTCAATGTCGATTCACCCTCACGATTTTCTTTTGGAATGTAAGCATGGATATTAAGAGATGGTTTCCCCGCTTCAAGAAATTGCTCTTCAGATATGACCTGAGAGAAAATGGACAATACTTGTAACAATCAAGAACAAACCACAAAAGCAGTTCATTGGAGGACTTTATCTACAATTATGAAGAAATATTATTAAGACATTGGCAGAAATACTATTTATCCTAATCAAAGTTACTGATTTGGATAGCAAGATTAGGGTAAACAATAAGTTTATCATTAATATTTCCCAAAACTTGACTTGAATCTCATTCCACCTCGAAATTCATTACCAAGCATAACCGATGCTAGAGGTCACAAGCAATAACACTGCACATGCAGATTACAATTATCATCGCTATCACATTCCAGTCACTTAAATAAAGAAATTGAATTCTTTGCAGCCAATAGTGTTCTCTAAAATGTCTTCTTCTGCATCAGACCAAAGCATATAGACCTAGTCAGACTCTAGTTTTGGTATGCAATTGAAAAGCATGTTAAATCATAATTACATAGCACATGCGATGCAAAAGACTTCTCATAAAATGATGACAGTTTTATGATCGCTCATGTTTCAAGCAGATATGCCGTTCCTTGAGCACATCAGACTAAAACATGTTCACCAGCTAAAATGCAGAAACATACATCAACCAGGACTCTACTCGAGAAAGTAAAGGAGCAGCTGATTTTAAGATCTTTGCAGGCTTAAAAGGACTTTAGACAACCAATATATACATAATGTGTGTGTATGTGTGTATCAACTATAATAGTTTAAGCAAGCGCATATGGGTAAGTTAAATCCAAATAAAGTAGAAAATCAAATACCTCCAGAACTTCCCCTATTAATAAGAACAAAAAGGTACAGAAAACATATGAAGAGACAAACCCTGTTAACAAGTAAAATGACTTGCTCATTTAATGGATTAATCATCTCAACAGTATTGATTGATGCAGTAACAACAGCAGATTCTTCCGATATCATGCACTCCACTAAATTCCCCTCAAAAACCACTTCAGCAATAGCACGAGCGAACTTCCTAGGAAAAAGAAAGAACGTCTTAGAAACTAATCAGTCATTCCCAAAAAAAAGTGAGCTTAAAGATCATTCAAAATTTCATTCAAGAAAATAAAGTAGCAACTTGATATATGCGAATGCCAGACTAACATCAACGGATATTTGTCTATAAGTTTAGTCGGACATGGTTCTCATGCAGAAAATCAGAAAGTAGCAACTTGATATATGCATGAAAAGCACAGAAGCAAGAACGGAAATCATCTAGAGGAGCCAATTGTGAACAATATACAAGTATAGGATATGCCTAGCCACAAAGGTGGAAAGGTGAGTTGTTTCTTGGTACCCAATCCATCTCCCAAATCGATACTAGGTCAGTGTATGGTGAATATGAAGTGATAAGTTACCATGCTTTTCCACTAACACGCATGGGTTCATTTCAAGCAAGCATGCCTCATAAGCATGCGATCATGTCATACATTAAAAAAAGCCTTAGCTTCATCATCAAAATTTTACTATAAGGCAAAAATAGTATACTAAACCAAACAGACCCAGTAAATCCCAGCAGAGGTAGGGTTGGGGAGGCGGGGAGGATGTACGCAGACCTTACCTGCACACAACACAACAACCAAATCGACCCATGCACCAACGAGAAGAAGATAAACCAACCTATCAGAACCTAAAGTGCAAGAAACAGCAACCCCCTTAAACAGACTGAAAATCTTTTGCACGGAATCTGCTAAAAGAATATAATGTCTTAGCCTCGTGTATGCTGCCCATTGCCAGCAACAAGAGCATAATTTTAGCCTTTGGTAACTTCTTATCTTTGTAGTAGTTTTTCCATAGATCTATACTGCAAAAGTTGGACAAGCAACATAGCCAACTGCTACTTTCAACACCACTTAACAGTCAAGGATGAAGTTGGTATCTGGTTTAGGTGAGTACAAGATGGAAAGAAATATGTATCTGGAGTTCTGGACCTTCATCATTCCGCATTACATCACCAAGAATCTATTAATCACACTTGGTAAGACAGAAAGGAGAAGCTTGCAAGAATTCACAGCTTGTGATGTCAAATGACAGAGTCTCTGCATCTAAATGCCAATGACATGCAGGATACGTGCATCACTTGGTTGGATGCATTTTATGTTACACACCTAATCCTTTAGAAGTCTTAAACATTCACAAGGTTGCAATAATAGATCATACTTGTTGCGCAGCGCTGCAGAAATTCGATCTATAGAGAATTTGATGGAGGACAAAAGAATTCCATCACTTCCAGCAGCATCCAGAACGGGGGAAGGTGCAGGATGAAACTTTGTTGCCTCGTAAATATCCTGTAAAATTATATGATGATCAGATCAAGTGGAATCATTTTGCCTAACCTAGCATAACACACATACCTTGATTACTTCATCTGAGACAACACCAGAAAACTGGCTGGAATCATCTGTGCCTCCTGCACCAAGCATGCCCCGGGAAAGCCACTTCAACCATCCTTGGGGCTTGCTTGATGGTTGGTCATCATCCAGCGACTTGTCATTAGTAGTATTGGCTTCATTATCACCAACACAAGAAGCTGAATCCACCAAGAATTCCTACATGTGCATAGTCTTTAATATAAGGAATAAGTAAAATGCACATGCAATAGATGTAAAGAAGAAAACAATAAAGCAGACCCATGGTGCACCAAGGATCCATGGTTTTGTGATGGTGGGGGGGGAGGGGGGGGAATCCTCATACACACCATTCCCCTTGCATTTTGCAAAAAGGTTGTCTCCATAACTTGAACCAATGACCAACCAGTCACCAAGGAGCAACCGGTACCCAGCCACATAAATAAACAAGGACCAAGCTAAAACATAAAACAGACCAATGGCTGCCTACATCAAGAAGAGTAAGCATAATGATGCCAATGTCACCAGATCAACTCTAGAAGCTAGTATACAGTCACAACGATTAAAATCATACCTGAAGCTCACGCTCAGCAGCAGACCTATAACTTAAGATATCGTCTATATCGGATACTTTCTCCATTTGGTCCAACTCGGAAACAATTGCATCATCCAGAAGCTGGCTACATAATTACCAATAATGAGTAAACCAAGACAGACAACTAAACTGACATAGTCGGATACAAATTGTTAAGATTTCATACTCCCTCTATCCCAAATAAATGCCCACAATAAAAAATTCACAGTTTCAGAAATGTGTAATTATAACACTTTCTAATTAACTGAATGACAACTTTTCCCTTAGTGATAGAGGCAAACCTTCTCTCTGTCTCTCCATCTCATCAACTCTTAAATACTCTTGTGTCATAATTAAGGGTAGAGCTGGAAATTTAGTAAATTATAACTATCTATTTTTGAAAGTGGACACTTATTTTGGGACAAACTTGGTATGATAAATATGGTGTGACAATCATGATACAGGAAAGAAAGATACGGAAAAAAAACATATATGTTTGGTAGTCACCTACAAACTAGATAGATCATAGTGATAAGCCAAGATAAGCAGTTACACGCATCAGCTATATTGCGCTTTATATTACTTTCTAATGGCCATGGGAGTGACTTCTGTTAATAAGAAATGACCTAAATACTATTATACCAATTTTCAGATTATGTAGCTGGTTAATCTTGATATATGATATGAAAGCATCCCAGAATACCAATAGTTCGATCTCCTGTGCCCAAAATCCAAGGTAACAGTATGCTCAATAATTCTATATCGATCAACCAACTTATTAACATTGTCCATATGTTATATGTGACAGAACATAAGGCTGCAGATTTTTGTATAGACATGATTGTAGATGTGTGATAGCATGACCTCATAAAAATGTGCAGGTAGAGATAAACTTTTCAATTTCAACGATCTTGTAATAATTCCACATGAAGCAGCCATACATAGCTATGCCAACCCAAAAAAAAGAGGCAACCATGATCGATGTGCAATACTTTAAATTGAAAACACCCATTAAAAAGTAAAGGTCAGTGGTGGCATCACCCAAATCCCTGAGTCCACAGTTTCTAGTTGATAAAACTCAAAGGTAACCAGCTAAAAGATGCATATACCGACTAATACACAGAAAGAAGTTCCAATATCTCTAACCCAGACGAAAAAGTTGATTTCAGGTAGGATCGACAAAGTTGATTGTTGATTCAACTCATATGTTAAGGTAGAAGAAACAGACACCAATTATACTTTAAACCCATATTTAATCACTATCCTTACCCGAATCCTTAAAATAGTAACCACAGATGAAAAAGTTGATGTAGGTACCGCTCAACAAATGTAATTGAAAAGTTATTCAAGGTGTGAAACATAGTACATCTCTGTCCTCATAAAGTCAGAAATCCATGTATATCAAAAATAAAATCTTGCAGAACACCATATGTGTAATGACCTCACCTCCTCTTTTCGAAGGCATTCCAATTTCAATTTATACAACTTGACATACCGCCGTCTTCTACCTCTGTACAAGGAAAATTGAGAACCATAATAAGAGGTAGCAAGGTACAATGATTACAGAAAAATATACGATCATGTCTCTTTGCAAAAGATCTTATGTATTTTGGAGAGAATGTAATACAACCTAGGGATTAGTTTGAGAAATATAAGATAACCCAAAATGGAAAAGTAGTTTGTATATATGAGTTCATTCTGTTGAATAATAATGAAACTTGGGGAGCGTTATGCAAATAAAAACTCAAAATACATATACAGGTTGTAATTTATTAGAGAAATTTATCCGTAGTATGAAGCAAACTCTGGGAGCATACAGCTAGCCAGTAAAGATTATCGGGTGGTCGACCCTTTATAATCCCGTGCAGGGAATAAATTAGATACAAATTGTTCAAGTACTAGACAGTTCATTTTAGTAAAAGATTTTAAGATTTTAAGCAGGCCTAGATGAAAGATGCAAGATCACAATGAGAAGCAAACAAATAGAATAGCATGATACAGTTTAGTTTTGAATGAGAAACAACTTACAGCCGTTCTCCAAGGTATTTCCATGAAGTTCTCTTCAGTCTTTTACGAACATCAGATAGCACAGATTGTTGAGCATAGTGCCACCACCGTATCTGCCATCCCGCAGGTCTCTCCGATATAGGGCTCCTCCAGGGACGATAGCGTCCATATCTGAAAACATTAAAAAGTATTGTACGATCTTTGAGAATCTACAGGTTCACTAATCACATACGTTTTTGTACCAATTACCCAGTCAGAAATAATTGATTCAACCATTTATACACTAGTAGTCTTAATGAACAAATAAAGGGAAGCATATGATAGCAAGAAAGAGGACATAATTCTCTGCTTAATCCATGCATCTAATAATGCAAGTTCACTATTTGTGCAAGAATATAAACTTTAAGAATTGAACCTATTATGAACGATATATGCTATGTCAAAAAAGATTGTGTTTCATTCTGCACAATCATGAAACCTAAACATGAGTAACAACTTCTATAACAAAATACCATCAAAGCATGCACTCTACATTGAAACTTAATAGGGGTGCTCATTTTCATGGAAAGAGATGAAACAGAATGTGTGCATCAATCATATAGGGCTTATAACAGACAAGAAAGCTACTTGGTGAGTTGGTGTGTAATTAAAAAGTACAACACTAATTAAACGACATTCCACTCACTTCTCTCTTAGCCGACAGACGCATAGATAATCATATAGATACAATATTTGCTGCAACTGATCTTCATTCAGGGACAAGACCTAAAATTGTGGCATCATGTCAGCATGTTATATATTGTCAAATAGTTAGCCTAAAAACATAATAATTAGAAAAGTTATGGAACTAACCAAGCCAGATAATTCGACATCAACAGAATATTGTGCAGCATTATTCTCGAGCCTTCCATACCTGTTCACCTGTAAAGAACATAAGCAGAAAGCTAATTAATATACATACTAAGCATAAATCAAGCAGAAGACATATCACATAGCTCCAAAGAATGGTGCAAGATACAAAAAGGTCCAACTTTTATGTCTAGGCAGTTTAGTTTCTATGAAAATATGCTTTCACAATCACATGGTAGCAAAAAACACGACATCTGCTACAAACTGTGCATGTTTTTCTTATTTTCTATTTATTAAGTTTAACACAGGAATACAAAGAAGATATTCTCTTGCTATCATGCTTCATTTATCTCTTGTAATTCGTCATAAGTTATAGGAAAAATAAGATATCAGTAGATGCCAGCACACGTGAGCAGCAATCACTCCATTGCAGAAAGACAAAAGTAGCAAATGTCACATTCCAAACAAGAACCTCAGGGCAGCCAATCCTAAGAAAAGAGGTGAACCTGAGAAGAGCAGTAAGAGTAAGCGTTCAGGTGCTGGTGCTATGACCTTAAAGGTGGAAGAGGTCTGAAGGTGAAGGTAAGTCACATCCATAGGGAAAAAACCGCTTTCTTACCGGAAGAAAGAGGGAGCCACCTGTCGCGGGAAAGTTTATTGGCAACAAGGAACCCTTTCTCACCCAGTCCTACCGACCCTACCTATTCGAGGGGGGGCTGAAACCGAAAAAGACCTGGTTCCACACAGCCCGGGTCAGGGTCAGTATAGAATGAAGGGGCCGGCCCTAATGTTGTGTTGGCGTACCATATCAAAAGGGTCATAGAAAAAGAACCCAGCCACCTATTTCATTCGACGTTCAGGGGCAGGGGTCCGACCGATTTGACCGACTTTTGCTTGTGGACAACAAGAAGGCGAGTTTCTCTGCTTTGATCAAATCTAAAAACCTTGCTTCCTAAGCATACTGAGAAAGAATTAACTGAGTTGTCACCAATGGGCAGTGATAGATTGTACACATGCAAACAGGCATTCATGCAATATCAAGTCCTTAATTTGGCTCACCAGTTCATAATTTCAGGATCCAAAATGCTTCCTCTATGAAGTAACAAAAAGGTTCCAAATACTATTCCATTTTATGCCAATAAAAATTTAGAAAATTAAATTGCTAATAAATATCCAGATTCACCCAGCCTCTACTTCTCAACGAACTTTAAAACAATCATCTACCACAATTAAAGATCATTAATCATTATACACATACATGGATGATGTGATATATGCAGACTGTCTTGTTTCAAAGTTGTATCTTCAATGTTCAAGAGTTGGAGGATTTTGTGACTTTTTGTAGTTAACTGATCAACCACGAATGAGCAGCAAGGATCTCCAGCAGCTCTTCTGCAGTCTCTTACTTAAGGTTAAGTAGAAAGACAGCAGGATCTCCTAGAGTAGTTTCATGTCATTCTGATCCCATAACAAACTGCTATCATGAAGTCCTCCAGGACAAAAAGCTACGTCATTGTTTAAGGGAAAATGTGGTTATTTTTGGCTCAATAGCAATGGGGATGTTAAGAAGACCAGCTATATCAGACCCTAGAAGAGATTGAAGGTCAATAACTATTGATACCCTCGTTGGTAACTCCTTGTGAATGTGAAGGTCCATTTATTTACCTTGTTTGTACTTGAGTAATCCATCTCAACAATTTTTTTCTACCAAGAAAAACAATACAAAGCGCTAGATAAAATGAAAGCAAACTATAACAATTTTCAACAAAATGAATTTCCATAAAAGAAAGCCAATGGTATATGAAGAATAATGAATAGACTTCCCAAAATGGTTGGAAATAGGGAGACGCCTAAAAATATACCAGAACTGCATGAAGAAATTTATTGTGATATAATCCATGCAGTGCATACATACCGAAAGAGAAGCAGATACATCCACCGGGGCCAACAGGTGAATATGTTCATCACTATGAAAACTTGCAGCAGCCACTGACATGGAGTCTTCACCATTGCCAGTATACAGATCCTTTGCAGATCCATGAATGGTTCTACAGTATATTTCCAAACCTTGAATCTCAACAAGTTTGTTTACTTGGCCGGCTCTCACCTTACCACTAGATACCCTGAAAAATATATTGAAAGAATGACAAGTTTAGCTAGAGTACAATTACATCCTCTCCAACCAGTAGTCAGATTTTGAGACTTTAAGTAGTCAATATATTGAAAAAATAGGTCAATTGAAAACGGAGGATTTAATAGATGCAACTGTGAGCACCTAAGTATGTTATTGGTATTTTTTGGAGGTATGACGGTGAAAAAACTGTGAAAATATTGTCTATCATGCCTTAAAAGGCTATGCTTAGCAGTATGGTTGTAGAGAAAGCAGGGAATACCCAACAAGATTTTGCTTCATTGCTGTCAAACTAGTCAACTTCAAACCAAATACAGTTTGTGCCTGCAAGACAAACCAAATATAATAGTAATATTTCATCTAATATCATTTACAATGAAATATGTTCATCAGCTAAACAGACCAAACATAGCACATTAATACTTTCCTGTCCCAAAATTATAGCTAATATTGACTACATATGCATATACCAAACTCACTTAGATGGATTTTCCAAATCATCACTATATTGGAAGTTGTACCTCCAGATGGAAGAGGGATGGAAGAAAGAGAGTGAAGCATGCTTTCACAATAAATGTCTAACAATTGCTAGAAATGAGTTTGAAAGTTCCATTTGGTAATGTTAAATGGTAATTTAAGTCACAAAAAGATTTTTTGAGATTGTAAAAGTGGATTTAATTGGGTACATATCAGAAGGTGGAGAGCAAAAACTGCCTTCAGAGGGATTATTTACTACTAATCATATAAACCGTGTACAAGAATAACCATACTTCTATGAGCTGTCCTGTACGGTTATACTTATATCTTCTTCAGGTGATTCCTGGAGTTGCTATTTTAAGGTTTTTATATGATGTCTAGATGAACTGCTTTACTTGGCATTTCATCTTTTGGGGGTGCCTAGTTCCTGCCATTTGTAATCTAAACTTTTTCCTGCCTTTTACCTGCATAATCTTGCTATGACATGCCGCTGATGTTTCTTTTTTTCTTCAACAATAACCTTGAAAATTGGGTGGCTGGTGGCAGAAAGGTTACACAGAAAAAAGCACTTTAACCTTTTCACGATTCTCAGTTATACACAGTAATAGTGTAATACCATTGCAGAATAAAAGGAAACTCATCCATCAAAACTAGCATAATTAATTACTAAAAAGAAAACTTTGAGTACTTCAATGAAGTGGGATTTTGCATTTTAAGAAGATAATTTATGTAATACCACAAAAAGTACCTTGTCATTTGACATATCTCCGTATACGACATGAACATTCTTGATAGAGACTTGAATGCCATCAATAATCTGGAGAGCATGATAGAAATAGATATCAGTAACCCTAACAAGCAAAGGAAACACAGACATAACTGTAAATGATTTTTATCATTATTGAGCAGTTAAAGCAACAAAGAATCTCACTACCTTAGCAGTAATGTATGAAGTAAATGAGTTCCCAGTCTGATTATCTGCAGAAGAGAGATTTTATTAGCACCAAACATGTGAAAAATGCTTATCTTTTATCAGCTCGATGCAACAAGGTTGATATCCCCTAGATACCATATCCTAGAAAGTCAATGACTCCACAAGACTCGTTATAAAATGGCAAAAATGCAACCTTCCTTGCTAGACTAAAGATGACGACTTCTCAAATAATTCTGCTGTGTATCTATTCCTTAAATTATAGGACATTTTAAGAAGCTGGCTTATTGATCAACTCAGCCTTCTGATGGTAAATTCATTTTGGCTGGCAGAAAGTACACATTTTCTACTTGGCCTTGTGAAACCCTTAACTTAAAGCATCACTCTTCAATACATGTCCTTAAAATATAAATCAACTAAGCAAGCCTTCATCCCAGTTAAGAACATGAAGAACTCTCATACCTTTATATTTTAGAGAAAAATAATTTCATGTAACACTCGCTCTTAATTAAAGCACAAGCCCACCGAAACACCTGTTTTCCTGGACCCAGCCATGAGTTGATGCTTGGCACTCACAAAAAAGTTTAAATATGTGCAAAAATGAATACACTGTAAATTAAATTTCATATTTTAACTAATATAAATGTGTTAAGATTCAAATACTCGACAACTTCAATAAACACAGAGCAAGTTTAACAAGTGCAAACTAAAATACTCCCACTCCCCAAAAAAAGCACAATATTTTCCTTTTAGATTATCCCAGAAACTGCAACCTCCCTTTTTCTAACAAGCTTTAATCCAACCTTACTTCTTTCTCATGAATAAACATTAATATTTGCACTCTCGAATTTGGTCCACAAGTTTTCTTTATTTTGTCCTAATTAAAGATATTTTAGATATTTTACAAATAACTACATGTTAAATCGAACCTCACATTTTTTTGTGACAGAGTAGGTAGATAAATTAACAATGAGTATAGTTAAATAGCAATTAACTAAAACTCATTTTTTACGTGGGGGTCAACAGAAATTGGTCAAGACCAACAAAACCAAACTCGGACCTGACCAAACTGTAAACAAACCAACTACATTTCGTTCATTTTCAGTCTTTAATCTTTTTCTAAATTGGTTCCCACTTTGTTCTCCGTTCAGGAATTATTCACAAACCAACTCTTGGTTCATTCGGGTCAGCTTTAGAACCAGTACCAAGCTGGGTTTTTGTTGTTTTTTTCAAACCTCAAAGAACATTGCTTTAGGTATATATTTTTCAAATTAAAAACCCCAAGTTTGTATTTGATTCACGGTCCTGTTTGGGACCGAACCAGTTCAGATCTGTCTGGTTTTTTATTCCTCGTTATTATTATTTTGTTACAGTTTTCGACCCAATGAACACTCCTAGTTTTACCTATAACCACTAAAAACCCATAGTTATCCTTACATTCCAAAGAACCTTGTGCTATCCAAATTTCCCCTTCTCAATTGTGAAAATGCAACAAGCAGCTTTCAGATACACACAATTCTTCTCCACATCCTCGAAACCTCTTTGATACATTCTTGTCGAATTCTTTATCATCCTCAAGATACAAATCAAGTGTTGTTCCCCATCTATTATTCAACAACTAGGGTTGTCTATATACATTAATGCATGCCATCCTAGTGTACAATGAAAAACATGAAATGTAACCGACGAGTGGAAGGCAGTCACTCACCACATACACGTTGCGATAACTTAGCCAGTTCCGCTGCAGCAAGTTTGGCTTTTTTGCCAGCAAACTCTCTTCTTTCAACATCATTAGTGTTCCACTACATAAAGAATAACAGTTTAAGATTGACTAAAGAAGTAGAATATGAAAACTTCCAAAACCCTATTCTGAAATACATATACCAACTACAATTGTGTGGTTAAACTCATCATCAACAGGGTTGTAGTTTTGACACAAGTTAGAGGATTGGCATTCATTTCAGATACTTCAGGGAAAGAAAACTTTAGCCCACAAGCATGAAGACGAGTTTGACATGATAAGTCTAATCTTTTTTTTGGCGGTGAAAAGAAAAAACATATGTGGTTTCCACACGTGTCTAGTTACTTTTTGGAATTGCTTAGCATCAAAAATATATAAAACAATGTGAGAAGTTAACTGATATAAGGGAGATACATAATACTAATATATTGAAATGAATTTATACTTACCTCTTCATCCTCACGCTGGGAAGCACAAACCAATATATCCTCCAACATTATTATAATAGGATCCCAGCCAAGCTTTTTCCAAGGAATTTTAATGCTTAACCTCCCAACCCGGCCTACCAAACATTCAAAGATGTCAATGTGGGATGAGAAGCAAGTAGGAATCCAGATTAATGACAACTATCTTAAAAAAGAGAAACCAACGCAACTACTTTCACCCTCCATAACTGAATTAAATTATCGAAGGAACAATTTGTGGCACCGTATATATCTTCCTTGTGTTGAGAAAAAAACAACAGAAGAAACCAATCAGGAAAGTTATCATTGCGTCAAATATTCATTCAATAAGATTTGGAACAACATTCAAATCGTATATGTTATACCTTGTTTCTTACACAAACTTCACAGACAATGTATAGAGATTTCCAGTTTGAATTATGTAAGAAAAATACTAGACAATCAACCACTTAGGTCAGCTACATGTACACACTTCCATTGTTGTAGGTAGGTAGATATGATACACAGAACTATGCAGTCTTCTTCTATTTAACTATTGCAAGCATGGCCAGTAAGAAGCCAGCTGATTATGCCCTTCTATCTTCTATCTTCACTCTCTCTCTCTCTCTCTCTCTCTCTCTCAACAAATTCCCTTTTTTCCTCCATCTTCTACCTAATTCTCTCAATATCAGCTCAAGAATCAAGAACCAAATTAGATTCCTCAGAGGTTGTATCAAGAGAGATAACAGGTATATTTGCACTCCAGATGGGAGAAAGTAAAACAATAGAGGTATTTGGATCACAATAATTAACATTTTCTACACATACCAACAATAACAACATAAGAAAAGCATTGTAAGTTTGAAGGTGATATAGATCACCTTGCTTTAGAGCAAATGGAAGTTCGAGGTAATCGAACGCTTCTAGAATCAACTCCACATTTTCCAATAACACTTCCTCTGCATAAAATAAGAAACACATATTCAACTCCAATGACAACAAACTAAAGAAATTCATTAAAGATGGAGAAGATTATGCCAAATACTTGAAGGAGACACCAAACCAATTAGAAGTGTTGATAACCTCCTCTTATATCAACGATAAAACTAATGTTATAGACCAAGTTACAAATAAAAATGACAAAAAATGCCTTTTCCATCACATCGTTTTTCCAACTTAGACCAATGACAAAAAATTAAATCGAAATGATGTATAGCATATTAACGGAGTAGACCAAAAATGTTGTAACAGTGACATTAGTGTTATTCCAATACTGTTATACCCCTAAAACCACAATGAGTCAAAAGACTAGACTACAGAAATATCTTCTGTGACAACAATAATGAAATGTAACAAGCCACATATAACAAAAACTACATCAACAGAAGGCCATGAAAGATAGTGGTGGCTTACCATTCCACAATGTGATCTTGAGTTGCTCCCTATGTATATCTTTAATATATTGCCCAAGATAACCTAATATCAGCTGCCGTACTAAACCTTCAAACATTTCCTATACAAAGTAAATACAATCAGAACATCAAGAATCTGCATAACCGCCACCATAGTACAGTAATCTCAGAACAATTACAAGTGGAAAATGATAACCATGAACAAGAACGTAACTTACAGACAATCAACGAACTGAATCGACACAGTTATATGATGATCACTACGTCAATAGAATCCAAAAAAAAAACATAAACATCACTTTAACGTATTACCTGAAAATTGCCACCTCGGTGTCAAATTAGCATGGGAATTGAATATGATTGACTGACATTTTGTGGGTCTAACTGTTGAGTGATTGCATCACTAACTATTCGATCAATTATTCGTAAACCTGAGTATGAATCAACCAAAATAAGAAATAAAATCACAGACAAAAATACCCAAACCGGAAGATAACAATAATATAGTAAGACACTCACGAATATAATTCCCAATAACACTAATTTATCAATCACCGAGAGAAAAATCTGGCTAGAGAAAACAGTATCGAGACAGTAGCAAAATTGAAACGGGAGAACTGTATTTGCCTCAGTGGTAGGGCAGAGGTGGAGACGCAGAAGGCTAGGTTGGAGGCGGCGGTGGTGGTTGCACCATAAAAATATGCGATGAAGATGAAGAGATGTACAAACAGAGAGACGGCAAGAAGAGATATGGAGTCGCTGGTGTTTGACGGTGGTGTTTCACGGCGGTGTTTGAAAAGGGACGGCGGGAAGGCAGCGGATGGAGGGGAAGGGATGGGAGTTGGTCGACGGAAATTGGGGAATAACTGGAGTGGAGAAACGTATTTTTTATCATTTGTACGTGCTGCTTTGTTACTTGTTCCTCTCTATATTACTACTACAATTGAATATCTTAGAATTGAAATCTATCTACTTAATTGCAACCAGAATTTGTAATGAAATTTGTCAAAAGAATTTGAATATGTCTGTTTAGTTCATTAAATAAAATAGTAACGATGGCGATGGCGTTGTTGGAGGTGGCGACAGTGATGATGGTAACGACAATGGCAGTGAGACATAATGGAGTAAATGTAAGAATATAAGGAGACGTTTGGTTCGCATGATTTTGACAGAATATGAAGGAATTTGAATGATCAAATTCGTCGACCAAATTTCATGCAGACGGTTGGCTTATCTATAGAATGGAATCGAATTCCACACATTCTACAATTTATGGATTTAATCATTCCATCACAGCTGAGAAGGAATTCAATTTCACTTTGTCCCATTTTCTCAAAAAGTCAAAATTTTATCCATCTTCCTTCCTTGATTTACCCAGACCCATATGATATCCATCTGAACTTTTGTCGACTATCACTGATCTTAACTACCTTCAATCACCACCTCTATGAAACATTGTTGACCACCGACGACCATCACATTTGACCATCTGAACCACGCCCGGGCACCAAGGTTTTGAACCACCGCCGACCACCACCGTTAAAAAAAAGGGTACATTAGTCATTTAGCGTTTATTCATTTCAATTCTAAAGCTACATTTAGTTAACCAAACAAACAAATTTCATTCTAATCCATGCCAACCAAACGTGAGGTCAAATTCCTTCAAAGTCAAAAAAATTTGACATAATTTATTCATTCAGAAGCATTATGGGAACCAAACCTCTCATAATAGTTTTTTTAAGATGGTAATTGAAACTCCTTGTTAGGACCTTAGGGGGTCGTTTAGTTCATGGAATTTGAAGTAATTTGATGGAATTGAAATGACGAAAACCTTTGACCATTCATTTGTTTTGTCCACTTATTAAAATGAATGAGATTATTTAAATCCCTTGAATTCCACAAATCAATGAATTAATCGTTCATTAATATTAGCGAATGAACTGAATTTCATCCATTTGCATCAATTTTAACCAACACCGTCCACCCCTATCCCACCATGATCATTTTATTATTGTCGCTATCATGCCCCCACCCGCCCCCACCCACAATCATTACTATCGTCACCATAACAACGACCTACTCCCGCATCACCTACCCCAAGCCCAACCACCACCATGCCACTACTATTGTCGTCACAACTACCACCCACCCCACTCCATGCTACTATCCTCATCGTCGCACCCACCTACGTGGTAACCGGGGGGGGGGGGGGCATAGAACGGTGTGGAGATTTCAATTATTTTATGAGATTCCATTCAAATTCCTACTAACCAAACATGTGGTCAAATCCCATTATAACTTACTCAAAATTAAACTCCTTTGACAAATTATACTTCCACCAAATTTCATCTTGTAAACCAAATGCACAAAAAAAAAAGGAATTTACATTCCAACACATGTGGAATTTGAATTGTTACCAAAACCCAAATAATGAACTAAACACAGAAATGTAATTTGATCAATGGAATTGATTATCCAAATTCCTTCAGATTCTTTCGGATTCCGGTGAACCAAACGCCATAAACTCTATCAGGGGACTAAAGTGGTATTTTTGAAAAGTCAATGACCTATTCAGGAAATTTTAAAAGTCAAGGGGCCAACATGAACATATATTATTTTTTATATAAGAGTACGGATTTTGTATGTCCGCCTTCTTTCCCAGGTCCATCTTTCCGACATTTCCTTCACCAGAAACAAAACCCTAAATTTCATTCCGACGAAATCTCAGAATCCTTTCAAATTGAACGAAAACTGACCAGTTTTCTAAGATCATAGTCATGGTATGTTTTAATTTTCCATCATATCTAGGTTTATGTACTTTTGATTCATGGTTGGGTTTTTGAAGAATCATTGTATTCATTCATTCTTGAAAGGCGTTGTTCATATGGTTTAATTGAGATGTCTTAATTTTTTCTGGGTTTGGATGCGTGCTTGATTATGAATAGCCTTAATCGAAGATTTCTCTCACGTTCTGCAAAATATTTTTCCATGTCTCTATTTTGTTGTTCTGGTGATAGATAATCAAATTAGAGTACCAGATGCGATTTACTAGATTGATCAGGGTAGGTAGTATGCTTTCTTTTATTTTCTATTCTCTTCAGCATTTTATGTTGATAACAAGATCTTGTTTTGAGGAGTTGTAACCCACATCTGTGAAGATGGTACATTGGTACTGAAGCATCCCATTGTTTTTGTTCAATTCTGACCCAGAATAGAAAAGAAAAGAACAACCTTTTGATTATGTATACTTCTAGCACAAAATAATCATATTCAAGGGTAATGCCAGGGGTGAGCTCTAAAGCAACTGGCTTTGATTCCAAGTGTCTTCTGATACTTAAACTGATAATTTTTAGAGGTACACCGTTTAGGTTATCCAGATTATTCACCACACGGAGGTTTCTTATAACAGCAAAATCATTGTAGGTTTTCTATGAAATGCACACTGTGCAGTGCTTTTTTCCGTCTGCCTGAGTTCCGTGGTCTACAAGCATTACCATTGAGCATCTTCACTATTATAATTGTTTATGATTAATGATTTTGAATTCATTATTGTTTTCTTTCAGTTCATATGATTACCTTGTTATCATTTAAAAAGCATGAAGTCCTTATAAAACAACCTATTGAAAACTGCAACTATTGATTAGTACAATCCGTGGTTTACTGTTGATGAGAAGTTCATTGTACACTTCCTAGTGCGCCGTGAAATGTTTTCTTGAATTGCAATGTTAACTTCTTTTTGCAGGCTGCTAAGATTCTTGCAAATCTGATTGTGATGGGTTCTGGAATCTTGGTTAGGGGATTAGTTCAAGCATACCGTCAGGCCCTTCAGAGTAAGTTTCTGGCCTTATTTGTTGCAAATATCTACAACATTTTGTACTTGGTTTTCTGTTTAGAAGAACTCAAAACAAAAAAGTAAGTTAAAGAGATTAATGGTGACTATGAGGGGTTTATTTGTTACATGGAAAAAGGACGTATGGTGATTGTTGTTAGGCCGTTTAGCATGTTCAAAGCTATAATCTTCTCCATGTGCTTCTTTTTCTTTTAACCATCATTTGGTATGATAGAAAATGAGTAGCTTTTGGACATGACATGCCCAAGTTAGGGGCATAGTAGTTCGTTTGTGTTATTTAAGTTGGTATTATCCGACCACACATAGCAGGGTATAGGGAGAGTAGTATATACACAGACCTTACCTCTATCCCAAGGAGTAGAGAGGTTTGTGTGAAGACCCCGGCTTGTAAAAAGGTTTTGAAAAAAAGATTCCGCGTAGAATTTTTGGTTCTGAAAGGTTGTCAAAAGTTTGGATTTCAATAACTTAACAGCACCGGTCGTGGCCAACAATTTGATTTGTTTGAGAATCTACATCTGGGCTCCTTTCTCTTCCACATCTCTTTAATATTTTTTACATTGGAAGTAAATGGCAGTCATGATGACGTGTTCACTTGTCGGCCCACCTATATTTACTATATCTTGCTGCCTTTTAGGAGTGGTGTCACTTTACCTCTGTTCTTTGTGCATAGTATCAATGCCTTTTTCTTTCCCCTAAATGTTTGTTGATTTGTAGCTTTTGGATTATAAATTGATGGTGGATGTTTCTGCATTGCTTTTTTTCATGTGATACACATATGCTCTATGAAAAGAGAATTTCTCTAATCTGTCAGCACATATGCTCGTGCTTTGCTTAGTGGAAAAAGTATTATTGCCAGCTTATAATCTTGTTTATTATCTGAACTATTTACCTTTTCGTTATATATATGTATAATTTTATTTATTCTTTTCGGACACAACTGCAGATGCCTCAAAGTCGGGTGTTGCTCAAGAAACGTTACAGAATGCTGTGCATAGAGGAAGCAAAGTTATGACAGAACAAGAGGCTAGACAGATTCTTGGTGTCAGTGAGCAGACGTCCTGGGAGGAGATTGCACAGGCAAGTACTTGTCTTCACCCTGTATTACATTGTTGTACCTCTAGTACAACATTTAGGGTATCAGGACAGGACAGGATGGCTGTTTAGGGTCGGTAAGACATAACTGGACATGACAAACATATAAAATGACCAATTTACCCCTAATGAGGTGTTTGAATATTTTATATATTTTGATTAACATATGTAATTTATTAAATCATAATGAAATAAATATTATTTATAACAAAACATATTATTAGATAGTTTTCATCAAGACGATTCAAATGACGCAAAAATAAAAAGTTTATGTAGTTTCCCATTTTGATTGTATATATTTTCTATATTATTTTATTATCATTAATGTTTAATAAATTACATATATTAATCAAAATATAGAAATTGTATAAAAATAATATCTTGAGGACTATAAAGTGAAAGCTTATAGAATATAAAATACAATAAATAAAATTTAAACAGTGAATAAAATGTAAAGAGGGAGACGTATTTGATGTTTTATAAGAGAACTAGGTTTATTTTGAGGTTATATTGGTAAAATATAATTCTGTTCCACCTTGTTCCATGGGGTGGATGTGGAACAAAGCCTGTTCCTATCTGTTCCACATAAAAGTCCGGTCAAATGTGGGACAATGATCCATTTTCTGTCCTGTGTACCAAGCGCATCCTTAATGGAAGGGGATATGGAAACAAAAGAATAATGTTTATAATCATCCAAATGTGCTTTCAAATGTTTGTTGCATCTTTCAAATGTGCCAATAACAATCAGCTGACATATCCGTTGAACCTTCTACAGAAATATGATAATTTATTTGAGCGCAACGCCAAAAATGGAAGTTTTTACTTGCAGTCGAAGGTTCACAGGGCCAAGGAATGCTTGGAGACGTTTTATCAAGCCAAAGATGAGCCAGGTGGTCCTGTGGGTTAACGGTGACTTCTTTGACCTTGAAAGCATTTGTATATTTGTAGTCTGATAGATGCTGAGAGATGAATTTTTGTATTCTTGAATTATGCTTCCGTAAGCCATTATTGGCCATCTTTTCTTGTGACGTATGATAACGTTATACTGGACTACTATCTACTGTAATACGAGTATGAATAAGTTCGCACTCTTGGTACATTGTCTTTTAAGCATCTTTGATTATTATTGCTCCATGTCTTATGGTTCTTTAGGAATTAAAAACTACGAATATGCATTCTACCATCTACAAATATCGACATTTTAACCGTTGCTTTTTTAAATGTTTCTATCATTTAAGCTGTCCCTTTTAACTACTTCTAAGAGGTTATTTCCTTCTTGAAAAGGTGTGGATAGTAGTTGATGGTTGGTTATCCACTTTCTTTTCAATTTGGATTTTCACCTGAATTGGTCGTTGAGACGGAGAACCACGATGTCATCGTCGTCATCTAAATTCAAAAAAACGAGCAACAGATTCAGATGCAGGATTTTGTGTAGTAAGGGTTGTATAAGGACAAATTGTATGAAAAAAGTAACGTACTTTAACTTGATTCCTATTTTGAATAGCGTATTTTCAAAATTTATATTTTGGTACTTAAGATGTAAAGTTTTAAATATTTAAGTACTTGGGTAACCGGTTGAAGCATTAACTGGTTATCATGTTGATGTGGCGAGTGATTGGCAAATAATACTGAGTTGGATACCCCATCACTAGCCACATCAACATGATAACCGGTTAATGCTTCAACCTGTTACCCAGGTACTTAAATGTTTAAACTTTACATCTTAGGTATTAAAAAAAAGTTTTGAAAGTACGTTACCTAACATAAGAATCAAGTTAAAATACATTACTTTTTCATACAATTTGTCCTTTTTTCAATAGTTTGATCTTAAGATGTCTTTTGGACAATCATTACAAGCTGCAAAATTTCTATTGTTATAAGTTTTTTCGCACGACTAATCAACTATCTCGCATACCCTTGATGGGTTTTTGTATAAAATTCAGGAAAAACTTATCTTTTATTCTGAGTTCGTATGAAATAACAGATAGCCGTTCTTGTTATATAGGTTAGAAGATTGCAAAGAGAACAATTTGAAATGGTTTACTGGTATAAATTGAAATAAGATTTACCATTTTATCTTTATAAGTGGTAATGTATATTACACTTCTCAATCTGGTTTAAACGGATTAAACAATACATTGACGTATCTAATATTTTCATGCTTCTCGATCCCTTTGCGGATTTTTGAGCACCTTTTTCATTTCACTTTTTACAAATTTGACAGTATAATGACATGTTACTAATAATACCTAATATTTTGCTCTAAAAAAGAAATATAACTTCAGAAGTAAACCATATCCCCATGTTGTGTCATCACCTTCATCAAATGATGATGTTAATTTGCAGATGATATCTGATTTAGATGAATATGAAGAAGAAACAATATGGCGTATCATGGTAGCTAAGTAGATTGTTCACATTATACAAAGACGTCATATTTCGTCAAAAATGTGGAATATTTATTTTTCGATCACTGATTGAAATACTTCTATGCTATAAATACAAGAATTGTCCAACATGGATCAAACAATATGCAAGTTCTAATGGATCACCATTGATCCAATATCATTGTGAGAGAATTGTCATTTATAGAGGTTGAACAATAGCCGGTTTCAAGAATCTTTTATTTAATTACAAAAAATATCAACAATAAAAAAGCTCATTTTGCAATTTACATACATCAATAAACACTTTCACTTTATATATAATGGTATTTATCAAGAATTTTAAATAATCCAATCATTTGAGTTATGTCGCACCGGTTAAAACCCATAAAATGTAATGAAAATCTCATCTACCCTGGATTCTAATTCTGACGCTGCCAAATCCCTTGTGATCATGGAGGCTCACTAACGATAACTCTAACCATTCGTGATCGTCTGAATTAATCAGTACATGTAACCTGAAATAGTAAAAAAAAAAATCAAATAATCTTGAATAAAGATTTAAAGATAAATAAAAATCATAAATTTCACACAAACCCCTTTAAAAAGATTTTAGGTTAAACTTGCATACACCGACTCAATTCTTTGGTTCACAACACACCCAGAAGAAAAGTACAAGAATCAAAGGATGTATCCTTTCCACCATATGACGTATTATGATACAGAATATTTAGAAGCTTCTTGAAAACACTCTCGACCTTTTGGCGGCCATGTGTGTGGTGGGGTATAATAATTTTCACATAACACCCATCAAAGACTTGCTACATGCCAGCTGGAAATTAGCAAAGAAAGAAAAGAAAGTTCCAATTTAAAAAAAAAAAAAAGAAAAAAAAGAAAAGGGAAAAAATACATGTATCCCAGAAATTCTCCCTTCAAAGGTGCGCTGTCTGCTCTCATCTTTCTCTCTATTCCTTCCCTGAATTGTTGTTGACAGAGAAGCAAAAAAAAGAAGACCAAACCCTCTTTCTGTTTAGTATCATTTTCATTCAATTTTCAACACAGAAAAGAGGGAGAAATCAAGATACCAGCTTATCAGATCTGCCCCTTTTCGTTTGATCAGGTTCGATATCTTGTGTTCTTGAAAAATAAATCACTTTTCGGATCTGGGTTAGTTCCAATTTTCTTGACTGAACAGATCCTTTTTGTAAACTTTTGATTCAAATTTGTTCTAAATGTTAGTTATGTGATTTGGGTATGTGGTAGCTCAGATGTTAATGGTGATTAATTAGGGTTTTTTATGTTTAAAGATTCAATGGTTTTGATCTGCTAGTTGTGGATTTGACTACATGTTCTAAGTTATGTAATTGATGTATTTAATGGGTGTTTTTGTCTTTTCTGCATTTCAATTCGGTTTTTTGTTATTGAAATCAGGAAACTGTTAGGGTTGTGTTTTTCATCTTTTTAGAATTTTAGCAATCAGTATGCTGTATGTGATGGTAGTTATTCAAAATTGATCAGCTGAATGGATTCAGTGTCTATTAGGAATACCCTTTTATATATTCATAATGGATCCATGGCTTTATATTCAGCCACCCTTTTATACAGCTGAATGAAAACTGAATAGCTTCAATTGGAATATAACTTATATCTGATTTAATTGAACTTTTGATATGAATAGTTTCATGTGATTCTCCAAATACCACCCTTTTATGCAGCTTAATGAGAACTGATATAGTTTCATGTAGATTTGTTAATATTTGAAGCTAAGGGGTGTTTGGTTGGTTTTCTATCAAGTCCTGTAAGGATAAAATTGTATGTGTGGATTAATCTGTCTTTATAAATTGAGAAGGTTTTTGCTTGGAGGGTCTTTTCGCAGATGGAAGTAGGGTGATTTTTAATTGGGAGGGGCAAGTTTGGAAAAATCTTGGCTTTCTGCATAAAGTCCCCCCTAGAAGTTTACTGAATAAGCCACTTCCTATATCATTAAGCCACTACCAAATAGTCATATATAGCTGATTGAATAAGCCATGGGTCCCATTAAGCTTATTAAGCTGCTAACAAACAGGCCCTAAGTCTTGTATGGCTAAAGCTGTCTATGTGGATTAATCTGTCTATGTGGATTAATCTGTCTATATATATCAAAGAAGGTTTTTGTTTTGGAGGGTTTTTTCACATATGGAATGAGAGCGTTTTTTAACTGGGAGGGACAGGTTTGGAAAAAAACTTCCAAACTTTGGCTTTTGGCATAAAGCTACCCCTAGAAGCTTACTGAATAAGCCACTTTCTAGATCATTAAGCCACTACCAAACAGTCATGTATAGCTGACCGAATAAGTTGCTAAATGAAGTTTGAAGAATCTTTCGTGTCTTTTTCAACGAAAATAGTTATTAGGCACTTCTGTTTCAATGCCACATGGAGGGTAGATAGTTGCTCGTAATTTCTACATTGGGTTTTTGGTTCTACTGGCCATTTTGATGGTAACCGTGTTCGATTGCACCATGATTCTAAACTGAATATCATTACTTATTTTCTTTTTCCAGCTGGGCGTAAATAATTTTCGGAGTGTGTGCATCACTTGAAGAGGGTTTACGCCCTTCGTGAAAATGAAGAAGGCGTTTGATCAAACTTTCAGGGACATGTAAGTAGTAAGGTTTTTAGTTTTATGTGAACTATGACAACCTAATGATGTTGATTTCACTTTTTATTTCTATGCAGTAAGAGAGGAGTGAATAAGAAAGTTCTTAAAGTTCCTTCAATAGAACAGAAGGTGAGCGTCCTCCGTCTTTTAAATTATAAGAATCACATTTCTTTTCACCATATATATATGCACACGATTGAGCAAATCCGCCTATAGTCACAAAGAAGTGACTAATGGCGGCTAGAGGGAGGTTCAAACGAGAACATGGTCTAAAATAAGAAAACACAAAAACGGCCAATTCACATGTGATTTTCCACGGAAATCATGTGGTTATAGTACACGGTCAATGTAAGGGGTGTGCGGGTGACTTGGCATGCGACACGTGTGATTTTACAAGTGGTTTTAGTGTAAGTCACACGTGATTTGGTTGTTCTCGTGTTTTCTTATTTGGTTACTGTTCTCATTTGAACCTTAACCCATGTCGGGTATGTGTTTATCTTTGTCTCATATCCCATATCCTATGCACTTTGGACTTTATATATATAAGATAAATACGTTATAGTGACACGATATTTGTATGCACACGATTGAGCAAATCCCTCTATGGTCATGAAGAACCAATGCTTGCCGGCAATGTGTTTATCTTTGTCTCATATCCCTCTACTATGCTACAAACACATGTCAATTAAATGATCTACTGATTACTCAGTCTGCTTTTAGAGAATGGTTAATGACATATCAGGGGCTTTTATGTATTTTTCGGAAGGGTGTCCCAGGCTATGCATGGACTAAGCCCAACAGATTGTGATTGTAAGACATCATCTTTGATAAACTTCGTGGCCACAATTGCTGGGAACGCCTGTAATCGAACCCGGGGCAGATGAGATATTCCACCAAATCCCCCTGGGTCTCAACCACTAGGGGATTTTATGTTAGTTGATGTGTTACATGCTTCTTAAATTTAGTTTTGATTCCTATTGAATCCTATGTTTGCAGGTTCTTGATGCAACAAGTAATGAGCCATGGGGTCCTCATGGGACGCATCTTGCCGATATTGCACAGGCTTCAAGAAACTAGTATGGGACACTTGGTTTTTTATTTGAAAACAAAGAACTAAATGATTGTTTTGATGTCCAAATAAGTCATTCTTGTCTTCATGATGTTTAGCCACGAATACCAGATGATCATGTCAGTCGTTTGGAAGCGTATCAATGATACTGGGAAGAACTGGCGCCATGTGTACAAGGTTTGCATCTATTGTATCTATAGACATAAATTAGTATGTACTATGCACAAAAAAACTGCCTTTAATATTAAGGGGCTGTTTGGTTGGTTTTCCATTAAGTCCTGTATGGATAAAGTTATATGGATTGTATGGATTAATCTGACTATATAGATTGGAAAGATATTTGTTTGAGAGGGTTTTTTCATAGATGGAAGAAGCTTTTTTTTTAATTGGGAGTGAAAGGTTTGCAAAAAACTTGGTTTTCTGCATAAAGCTCCCCCCTAAAAGCTTATCGAATAAGCCACTTTATACATGATTAAGCTACTACCAAACAGTCATATATAGTTGATTGAATAAGTTGCGAGTCCCCTTAAGCACATTAAGATGCTAACAAACATACCCTAAATTATCTTGCTTTTTAGTAAGGAAAACCATTTCCTTTTAGATTATGAGCCACAGAAAACCTCCAAATTGAGCAATCATACCCTTGTGGCATTTCTTTAAACTTATGGGATAACTTAACCAAATCAAATTGAAACAGTAAATCCCACACATAAGTAGGCTTGGATTAGGATGTACGCATACCTTCCCTTTGTTGTGAAGACGCCTGGCTGACAAGACAACAATTAAAAGAATCTTTAAACTAATGGGATCTTTTACTTGATGCTTTTGAACTTGCATATTCTCAAGATTAAATGGTTGTTTGGTTTAGGCAGAGGAATGAAAATGAGAATGACATTCCCCCACTTTAACCTATAATGAAATTTGGGCATGTGGGGATACGTACCCATTATATTATATAAAAACCAAACAATTTCTTTTATATTCAATCCCATAAATGATTGCTTAATACCTCTAGCCAAACACCCCTAAGATATTGGGTGGTTATTTTTTCATACCCAATGTTCAATGGGAAATTCTAACTTGGTTTATGTACCAGGCTTTGACAATTCTTGATTATTTGGTAGCAAATGGGTCGGAACGTGTCATCGATGATATTAGAGAACATGCATACCAAATATCGGTATGATCTTTTTCCTTGGAACTTTATTCTGGAGATGATGTATCTTGAAGCTTTTGGGTAGTAATAAGATTGTCTTTTCTTGTGATAGACGTTATCAACTTTTCAATATATTGATTCTACGGGGAGGGATCAAGGGAGTAATGTCAGGAAGAAGTCTCAGAGTCTTGTTGCTCTTGTGAATGATAAAGAAAGAATACAAGAAGTGAGAGAGAAGGCTGCTGCCAACAGGGAGAAGTGAGTTTGCTAAAGATTTTATATTAATCCTGTAACTTTTTTTGTCCAACTATATTTAATTCCATGATGATCTTGATCTTTCGAAATAGGTTTCGCACATCAGGAGGTGGAATGAACAGGCCTTATGATGATGATCGGTATGAAGGGCGTTATGGAAGTAGAGATGAAGATCATAATGGTTATGGCAGAGAAAAAGAATGGGGCGATGACAGGTATGGCCGTGATGGTGGTCGTTATGGTGAAGATGGTTACAGGGATGATGAGTATCGTGGAAGAAGTCGAAGTATTGACGGTGATTATGGCCCAAGAAGTCGAAGCTCTGATAGAGAGAGGGAACGGGCTTTTGAAGACGATGGTCATCATTCTTCTAGGTATGGCACTCTAATGCTACTTTGTATTAGTAAATTATATATATATATATATATATATATATAAAGAGAGAGAGAGAGAGGGAGGGAGGTTCAGGGGGAAACCCTCAAAAAATGAAAAACTGAGGAACACCTAGGTAACCATTCATCTGTATGATGTACACATCTGCATATAAGTAATTGAAGTTCTTTTTGGTTTCTATGCACGTCCGCGTGTTATGCACATGTAAGCTCGTATTCACTAGGGTTTAGACGTTTGCCGATCATTTCGTGTTTTCCTATTGCGTCAACTAACTAACTAGTTTAGTTTTTCATTCTTGTAGGAGTCGGTTCAAATAAGAGGATAAAAATCATTTGTCCCAAAATTTGTAAGCAATTTGTCCGGTATGTACACGTGCATAGAAACCAAAAAACAGCTTCAGTTACTTATAACCACATGTGCAAACCGTCCAAATGAATGGTTACCAGGATGTTTCTCGGTTTTTCATTTTTTGGGTTTTCCCCTAAACCTCCTCTCCTTCAATACACACACACACACACACACACACAGACAGAGAAACTACTTCTAATCTTAAACTCTTTAAGTTTCTGGAGGAAAAATCAATAACGATATCAAAAAGTACAATAAATAACAAAAATACAGTTTTAAGACTTGTAATTTTGTTAATTTATTTCATTGCCATTGGCAGAGGAAGCAATGTTAGAGCTGAAGATGGACCCCTGGATGGAAGGTAATCTAGTGTTCATGCTTGTCTTATTAGAAAACAAATAGAAATGAGAATTAAGATGGATGTGATCATGGATGAATGTTTTTTGGGCAGTCGACTTGAACCAAAATTGTCTGAACAAAATCTTGGGGCACCTCCAACTTACGAAGATGCTGTGGGTGAGGGTCGCAGCCCGGTTGTTCATAGCAAGAGGTAATAAGTTGTGTCAAAGACTATTCTTGATATATTAGCGTTGAATCTAGTCTAACTTACAACATTTTGAAGGGATGGAGAGACGGCAACAGCATTTGCTTCTAATCCTCAAGAAACTGTGGTTTCTATCAAGTCTGCAGCTCCTACACCACCACCACCAGCTGCCACACCACCACCACCAGCTTCCACACCGCCACCAGCTGCCACACCGCCACCAGCTGCCACACCTCCGCCAGCTGCAATGAAACAAGAAGATGAAGGGTTTGACTTGTTTGATCCCCGTGGTGCATCCCCAGGTAAAACTGTTCTTTGTTTATCTATATGGTGATCTTTCATAACTGAAAAAGTACTTAAGAAAATTTGGTGTGAGTATAGCTGCCCCACCTGCACCTGCACCTGCACCTGCACCAGCACCAGCACCAGCACCAGCACCAACACTGGGTGGTGCCGAGATGGACTTGTTTGGTTCTCTGTCAGACTCTTTCTCTTCAGATGCGTTGGCTCTAGTCCCATCTACATCTGCAACCACTGAACCTCTTGCTCCAACAAATTCTAATCCTGGTCAGACCTTCATGGCTGCATCTGGTGTCTCCAGTCAGGTATCTTGATCTCTCAGATCGATTTCTGTGCAAGTTGACTGGATACTACATATATAACATCCATAATAGATACACACATATATGTATATATAGGGGAATGTTCAAATGAGAACCATAAATGTATATTGAGAACTGTGGGAACCATTATATGCATATACACTGCAGTGCGTATATGCACCAAAACATAGACTTGCATATATAGTACATGTACATTGACGAATATGCTAATTTGCATATACATATTTTGATAGTGTATATGCAGCAATGCATATACTGGTTCCCGTTTAAACCCGGCCATACATATATGTGCATGAATACGTATGCATTGCATATTATATGCATCTATACATATATATATATATATATATAAATATATATGTGCATCTATAAATACATACATACATATATAAATACATACATACATATATATATATATATATATATATGCATGCATATTTAGATGAAGGATCGTGTGAGAATAGAAGTTAAGGTAAAAAGTGTAGGAATGGATTTGGACCCTTGATCACTTTTAATCCCAAAACAAACCATAGATTGCACTTTAGAAGGGAATTGATCTAATGTATCTCATTATTGTTGATCTACTGGTTATCTTTAATTAGGATTGATCCTAGGGTGAGGATCCCTTCTTACCGGAACCCAACCCTCCATATATATACATATACACACATGCATATAGGGCTCAGGGGAAAACCACAAAAAAATGAAAAACTGAGGACACTCTAACAACCATTCATCTGTAGGGTATGCACATGCATACAAGTAATTTGTCCGGTATGCACACATGCATAACATGCACATGTGCATAGAAACCAAGAAACATCTTTAAAAGTTCAAAAAACTTGTATGCACATGTGCATAACGCACAGATGAATGGTTATCAGGTTGTTTCTCAAATTTTCATTTTTTTGGGGGTTCCCCTAAACCTCCCCCTCTCTCTATATATATACATTATACATACAAGATTGGTTCCCGGTGAGAAGAAGAGTTAAGGTGAGAATTGTAAGAACGGATCTCCACCCGTGGATGCACATTAGGATGAGATGCACCGAGATACCTTGGATCAACCCCCGTATCAAGCGCAATTCATGGATGGTTTGAGATTAAAGGTGATAAGGGTCTAGATCCCTTCTTACGCTTCTCCCCTTAACTCTCCTCACAAGATCCTTCGCCTATACATACATGCATATATATATATATATATATATATATATGCCTTTATAGTTTACTCATATCACACTCTCTATGCAGCCGTTCGATGATCCGTTTGGTGATGGTCCTTTTAGAGCTGCCCCTTCTACTGATGGATATTTGGCTCAACAATCACCATCTCCCTTCACTGATGAACCACCCAATTCCGTTGCGCCAACGTCAGGGAATAACTCGGGATTTGGGGACACTTTTGACCAAACCATTGATATTCTAGCAGATATACTGCCTCCATCTGCACCGTCACAGACTGCTTTTCAAGCTCAACCTGATCAACTTTCAACACAGACCATTTTTTCTTCTCAAACTGGTCAACCTTCTCTACAGACCGGCTACGCACCTCAAGCTGGCCATCCTTCTTCTCAAACAGTTTTTTCAGCACAACCCAACCAGACCACATTTCCCTCAAGTTTTCCAGGTCAATTTGGTCAACCTACGTTACAGCCTAGTTTTCCATCCCAAGGTGGTCCACCTATGCCACATCATGGTTTTCAACCTCCAGGTGCCCAATCCATATTACAGCCAGGCTTTTCACCTCAAGGTGGTCAGCCTATGCCACAGCCAGCTTTTCCAGCAATAGGTGGCAACCCGCCTATGCCACAGCCAAGTTTTCCAGCTCAAGGTGGCCAATCTATATCGCAGCCTGGTTTTCTAGCTCAAGGTGGTAATCAGTCTATGCCCCAGCCAAGTTTTCCAGCTCAGGGTGGCCAATCTGTGTTGCAGGCTGGTTTTCTGGCTCAAGGTGGCCATTCTATGTTGCAGCCTGGTTTTCCAGCTCAAGTGCCACAGCCAGGTTTTGCAGCTCAAGGTGGCCATTCTATGCCACAGTCAGGTTTTGCAGCTCAAGGTGGTCAATCTGTGTTGCAGCCTGGTTTCGCACCCCAAGGTGGTCAAAGTGCATCTATGATCAGTGGCTTTTCACAGGCAGGATTTCCCAGTTCCAATGGTCATCCTGCTCAGCCGAATAACTTTTATGGGGGTTTCCAGCCTCAAGGTTCTTCAGCTTCAAATTTTTATCAGCAGCCACAGCCACAACCACAGCCACAGCCACAGCCACAGCCACAGCCACAGCCAGCTCTCACTGGTTCAACAGGTGCTCTAGCTGTAGTGCCTCAACAAGCAGCTAAAGAAAAGTTTGAGACCAAATCCACAGTGTGGGCTGATACATTGAACAGAGGGCTTGTTAATTTGAACATATCTGGATGTGAGTTATTTCATCTCTACCTCTAGAGTTTCTGGTGTTATATATAGACCTCTCTTAACATCTTTTGAGTTTATGCATATGCAGCTAAAACAAACCCATTATCTGACATTGGAATTGACTTTGAGGCCATAAACCGCAAGGAGAAGAGAATGGAAAAACCAAGCAAAACCCCAGTGACTTCAAATGTTACGATGGGTAAGGCCATGGGTTCAGGTACTGGAATTGGACGTGCGGGTGCAGGTACTCTACGAGCCGCATCGAATCCCATGGTGGGTTCAGGAATGGGAATCACAATGGGTGCACCTGGTCCAAGGCCTGGCTTTGGAGCTGGTTATGGAGGTGTAAACCAGCCCATGGGAATGAACAATATGCAGCAGAATATGGGTATCGGAATGAACATTGGCCAAGGTTTTCAGATGCAACAGCCACCCGCTGGATTTCCTCTGGGCTCAGCCATGCCTGCAAATTATAATCCAATGTTGGGTAGAGGTGCTGGTTATGGTCAGCAACCATATGGTGGCTACAGATAAAAATTGCGGCCATAGCCCATATGTTATTGTGATATAGGAAGTATTTTTTTGTAATTTTCTCCAGAAATATGCATTTCTTGTAATATTCATTCTCTCAGAGGTTTATTCACATTCCATATAGCTTTCTGTATACCATGCAGGATAACCATTCTCTGGTTGCCTCTTTACTATACATTCAAAACATTTTTGTATCTTGTTGATTTTTGAAACATGTAATGCCTAATTGCAAACAATAATCACTAGGATTCACATACGTTTCTGATCTTCAATATTCATGTCCTTCGTGTATATTTGTATTTTTCAGTTCTATAAATTTGTACAATTGCACCTGAAATAAGACTTAAGAATTTGACCAGTTGCAAAGCAAGAACACAAGTATATAATCCGATCAGAATAATGGGAAATTGTGATTGTAATATAAGATGAAAGAAGGTGGGTTTTTCTGCGAAGTATAATGAAAACGGATTTTACTCCAGAAAGACTTGAATCCTGTCGCCCATTGAGTCGTTAAAATCTAGCAAGAGCTTTCCTCCGACTTCAAATGATGCATTATCTAACAGCTCCTTGATGTTTACACCTCCCAAAGCTGTATGACAATGAAAAGTATTATAAAACTGGGTTCTAGTTTAGGGTTTAGGGTTTAGAGACATGATACCTGGGACGATATTTGTGATGCCATCCAGAAAACCGGCCTGAGAAAATTACAGGTCAAGTTAGCTCTTTAATACTTCCATCATACAACTAAAAGATGGTCAAAATCCTGAGAAAAAGGAATGTTTTACAACATGCACCTTGGATGCATTGGTTGAAAACTTGTGCGGTGATTGATTACTATAATGTTTCACTTAATTTAATTAACAAGGCTGTGTTTCACAAGCAATAACTTACAGGAATTCGGACATCAAGTTTTTCAAAGCCATCCCGCCCAATGATTTTGACTCTCAACGTATGAGACCAGATTCCTGAGAAAGGATTCTTTGTATCGTATGTATCTGGATTTACCAGTTCAACAACAGGCTCGGTTGGACCTTGACCTGTTTGCTCTGTATTATCTTGACCCTTACGTTGGATACTGTAAGGGTTGCTGCTACCTGATAAATACGTATATCATATCAACGTATTGATGAGTAGAAAATTAAAGAATGAAGCAAAAACCATTTGAAAATTTTGGTAATTCATCGACCTGTTTGCCATACAAATCGACTGCTTTTAGTAGAATAACGTTTTTCTTCTTCGTAATAGGTGTTGAAACCCAGGATATCTTTAACTTCTTCAAATGATGGCATGCTTCCGGGAGAAGGCACACGCCCTCCCTTAATGGCTACCAATGCATCCTGCAGACGTCCGTCTAAACTTCATGAGCAACCCAGTTATAATTTCAGGATGACATTTTGGGCAAAAAAATAATCAACTTTTCAAACCATCGTACTAGTCTTTTTGTTGCAAACACCATCATTCATGGAAAATGCAAACATGACAATATGCAAGAATGAGGTATTCTGGATAAAAGATGGCAAGCAAGATGGTTCCTTTTGCATTTACATTTTCGTAACTGGTCCAAAATTGATCATCCATATAAAGTATAGAGTCTTCTTTTGCATTTTCACAAGGATGATTTGCTTGAAACCAGGGTATGATAATATGAAAAGTTGATAATTCTATACTAACATGTAATGATAGTGTATTTGTTTGGGCTTTATTTCAGACAAAAGCATACACGAAATCTTAACAAATTAGAACAGATGGTGCAAGTTAGGCAAGGAGTGGCCATATAGCATCAATAGTGCGACCATTTCGGCAAGAAAAAGTTGACAAACCACTAAACCAAGAAATTAAAGTGAATTCTATAAATGCAGTTCTCCATCACAGTAGAGAAAAGAGCTGACCTCCATTGCCCGGATAGATACGGCCATCAAGGAAAGAGGATAGGCTATAAGTTTATATCCAATATCCTCTAGTTCTAGAGGAGTGAGTATTGGTGTTTTGCCTCCACCTTCAAGCATATTGGCCTACACAGGAATCAGAAAAGCTAAATGATCCTTAAAATCAACCTTGCCGCATCAACATAAGACCATGTTTGGCAACCATAAGTGAAAACCCACTTCAGTAGCGTTTTAATAAGCTCCAAAGGATTTTCCACATTATTCCACTTGCAACTTCAATGAAATTTTCAAAATGCCCTTTTAGGTCATTTTACATTCTCATCTAGCTTATCAACTAGTTTTTATCACACATGACTAGTTAATAAGCTAGTAACTAGCTTATTAGCTAGTTTACCAAACATAGGCCTAACATTTACATGCTTTATCTGCTAATGGAAAAATGAACTTGCTAACCATTTTAGGAACTTGAGGCGAGATTTCACAGAATGCTTTCATCTCTTCTCTTGAAGCAAGTGCATCGATAAAAAGGACATCAGCTCCAGCATCCGCAAAAGCCAGTGATCTCCAGAGTGCTTCTTCTATGGACAACGCTTGACGAGAATCTGTTCTGGCTACAATAATGATATCGGAGCCACTTTCTTTCCGAGCATCAACTGCTGCTTTTATCTTCATCACAGCTTCCTCTCTAGATACCACTTTCCTGCCTTGTGTATGACCACAAGCTTTTGGAGACACCTTGCAGTTTGAGCATTATCAGCAATAGATCTATAAATGGAAAGAAATGACATTGCAATTGTTCTCTCCATCCCAAAAATTAGTGTCCACATTTCTACTTTAACTTGTTCCAAAATAAGTATCCACTCTTAAAAGTAAGTGCCCACTTTCCAATTCTACCAAAACTCTTATGTACTTATGTAGTAATTATACGTTTCTAAATCTGTGTGCTTGGATATTTATTGTGGGACGGATGGAATAAGGTATAAAATTGAGTACAAGAATTTGTTCATTTATCAAGATGGATATCAAGAAATGAACCTGGTCTTCAAGAAGTATTCCTGCAAATCCTGCTTTAATATATCCCTTAATAGTTCTCTTCACATTCATGGCATTTCCATATCCATTATCCCCATCACCTATCACGGGAATGGACACAGCTTCAGTAATTTGTTTTCCTTCATCCACCATTTCTCCATAAGAAATTAGTCCAGTGTCTGGCAAACCTAATCGAGCAGCCGATATTCCAAAACCTATAGAGCAAAAATAGATATAGTCAATTTGAAATTAACCCCAACAAGAACAACCTAATTTACGCCGGTAACATAACAACGATCTAACACTTTTAAAACCAACTTCCCCCCAAAAAGATGCCTAAATCAAGAACACTTATACGACTACGAGAAAATAAAATTGCAAACAATTAAGCAAAAGGTACCAGTCGTGAAGCAGAATTGAAAACCAGCTCTTTCTACAAGCTTCGCACTGAGAGCATTGAAACAAGCAGGCCCCTGGTGAATTCCAGGAGAATCAAGTAGTTGCCGGAGCTTCTTCGCCGGGGAAGACTCTGCAGTTGTGTCGTACGCCTCTCTGTTTCCTCCATAAGAGCATGCAATTACGGAATTAGTGTGAATTGATCGCTGTGATTTCGATAGATGATCACAAGGAACGATGTTCTTGGCAATAATCGGATGAATCGAGTTTCTAGGAAGTGTAAAAGCTTTGGAATTAGAAATGAAGTTAACCGGCGATGACGGATGAGGTTGGTGGTGGCAGACGGTGGACATATTCATGCTGTCTCTCGGTGGTCGAGAGTGTAGACGTCAGAGATTGGTTTACGTATGTTTGATAATTACATATCTATACTATATTATAAAGCATTTGACTAAAACTCTTAAAAACTCTTAAACTCTTAAACTCTTAAAACTCTTAAACTCTTAAAAACTCTTAAACCCGTTCATCCCTATCTGATTTCATCCCATATCTGAATTCGTGTAACTAACTGCAAATAAACACAATCAAATACATGATAAACATCTTATTTTAAATA